TGACTTGGTCTGGAATTTTTAATAAGTTTTCTGTTATACTTATAATAAATTTTACTTAGAATATATAAAAATATTAAAAATAAATGAATGGTGTATTGACTCTTATCTTTGTGATTATTAATAAAATAGTAATAGTATATTTTTGCAAAATTTGTGTAATAATTGCAAAAGTGGTCTGAGGTCGGTAACACGTCTAGCGTCTAACATAAATATTCTGAGTGAAATGACCGTCACAAATAAATCAGGAATCAGTTGTGTCAGCTGTCTTCGGATAAGACTGAGTCAAAGAAGAAGAAAGGACGTGGCTTTGTGTTTCTACATGTCGTTGTTCTAGTAATCAAACCAATTTCACAGCTCAAAACTCCCAATTGGGCCACGACTTGGTCACAAGCACAGATTAATTATATAAACCAAAACGAATTCAATGTGTGCACCCGATTAACGCGCACGTGCCGACGTGATAAGATAAGCACTCGTTTCTAATACGTGACACTAACCTACGCCAGTCTGCTGATGCCTGTTGTCTGCCAATACTGACTGCTATAATTCCTGTTGTCTACCATCTCAAATACCCGACTCGACACATTTGTTGACGAATAAATACCCCACAGTTATTCAACCCAGTCCGACAACAAAACATGTCTGTGTTACTGACCTACCAATCTAATGATATTCTATAACTGTACAATAAGCAACATCTAGACCGAACATAGACAACTTGTCTACATCCTATTAATAATAATGCGGATACATTTTAAAATAGTAAATACTGTAATACGCACCTCAAATGTATATTAATTTCACAGTTTATGTTTGAGTAATTAAGTAAATGTATTAAATAATCAGATCTTTCAATATCACTGAAACTGGAGTAATCGAACTGAATACATACAATACTAATCAAATTTGGACTGATTGAAGCCTTACTATGCTATAATTGTATAATTATTATAATAAATATTGTAAAATGAATTATTAGTTAATTTCTCTATGTAATTTTAAAACAATTTGAAATATATATTATTGTTATTCACACAATCACAAAATCACACAATAAACTTATGAGATAATTAACAAAATGTATTAGCCACACTTATGACTAAATATTATGTTATATTTTTTTATATATCTTATTATATCTTGTAAACTTCCTTTTTTTAATTTACGCACTATAAGATGCACTCAAATTACAAATAGATTTCTCTGCGTAAAAAGGTGCTTCTTCTACAGGGCTCGTGTGCCCTAAGCACCAGTTAAGTAGATGACGTTGGTGTATATGATCCCCAAAACCACTGTGGGCCATAGGGACTATGCCTGGTGTGCCTAATAGATAAGACAGTCTTGGTAATATGATCCAAACAATATATAAACTCAAATATCGATAAAACCGAATTGAATGTCTATTAATATTATATAAGTTTGTATACCAATCATACCATGACATAATACTAATACTATTAAAACTAATATTTAATTTTCTTATAATGTACCGATTTTTTCAACTTTGTCACTAATTAAAAAAAACTGATTTTATATATTTTTCATTGTATTGCCTTAATGAAATGATAATTCATTAAAAAATTGAATAATATTATATTTTACAAAATTTGTTCGTCACTTCGATCGACGATTTCAGCAAATTTTCTTTTTTTAAATTAAATATTCAAATATTATACAAAAAAACTTAAGTCAAAATTAAGGCTCAGAAATATTTCTTTTGAAGCCTGATGTTTCCATTATAATTACTAACATTTTTATAGACAAAATACTGACTTAATATTGACCAGAGTATACAAATAAAAGAAATATAGATTCCAACAAAATATAAAAGTAGATAAATAAATATAATTAAATTAATAAGCAATAACAAAAAATAATTAATTATCTATCTCGCAAAAGGTTTAGGCCCATGAAGAATTTTAATTTCGTATAGCAAATTTGGCAAAAACCTAGTTCTCCATAGTTACAGAGTGATGCAAGTATTATACGTGATCCGATGCTAATTTAGCAGTAATATAAGCAAACGTTAACATCTTTATATTGTTTGACGTATAAATTAATGAGTGATTGAACAATTATACCATATAATGTGATATTTAGTAAAATATTTATTCATTCAAAGAAATGTAGTTTGTTTATTCTTATCTAAAGTAGAGTGTATTTTTTAGATTTGATTCAATAAATTGATTTCTCTATATAATTTTAAAACTGCTTGAATGTTTGTTTTTATTTTGAATACAAGACATATAACAAATTTATGAAACAATTTTTAATAAAACAATTTTTTGTTTTCAACAATTTTGGTCATTGTTTTTCATATTCTTGAGTGAAAAAATATTTGTCTTTAATTATACAAATATAGGCTTTTCTTTTATATAAGTATTACATACAGTTATTATCAATATATAGAAAATTTTAGTATGAATAAATATTTTTGTACTACACCTTTTACACGGTACTTTCTTTACACGTTTTCGTTTGTACACGGTGTACGGTGGATAGTTATACTTTAAAAAGTACTTCTTTACTGAAATTGTATCTAGATTATTATATCTTTATATCGATTGTTGCATACGTCAAATATATGCCTAATTTTAACTTGCAATTACACAAACAATTATTTTGAGTTGAATGTGCATCTTCCATATAATTCATGTAATCTGTTGAGTTTAGACGTATTTAAATTCATACATTTCACAATTGAATGATATTATATCACAAGGATGTTTTTCCTGTTCCTTGAGTAGTTTTATCAAAATAGTGAATACTTTTGCTATGTTTTTTATTGATATTTACTGTAAACAAAATTATTAATGTATTTATACTGATCAATCAATCACGAAAATAGGATTAATGAATGTGATAAAATGTATAAAAATATAGTTAATAATAACAAGTCTATGTTCTTGCTCCATTTAAATATCAAATTATTGTTTTCTTCACATCCTACAGTTGATTCTGCAAATGGCGTAAAACTACCAAAATCATTTTAATCACAATATTACTAGTATTTGCGAAAGTTCTTTTATTTTATTATTTAAATTAATTACAAACTTTAAGGTTCATTTTAATGATTATTTAACAAAAAAATAATAGAATATTTTTTTAAATATATAAAAACTGGAAATATCTACAAAACTATCATAACTGAAGCTTACGTATGTCTTCGCTATTAAAAGCCTTTATTTTTTCATTACAATATGTCAAAAAGGCAATTGAATTTGACATTGACAAAACGTCAAAAATTTCAATATATTATAAAATAAGTCAATCATTATCATTGCAATTAAATTAAATTTTAGATAAAAGCAAATTTGAAATAAAATTATTGTTAGAAAGAACTTTTATGTCGTATAATTTTATTCATAATCTGTTCATCAATGTGAACATTGAGTAAATTTAAGATCGCGGTTGACATGAAATGGATAATCTTTCCCGGTCATTGTCCATCGACTTGGCTGAACTTCATTCATTTGACTATCCATCTGTGATGAACAATGGCCCTATTGCTGCAAGCACCGAGATTGCTCACAAAGGGCCTCGCTTGACCAGGATTCGAACCGGCGCCCACGAAATTGTGACGACTTAATCATTCCGTTATTATTCGCCCTAATAATTATAATAAAAATCAAGTGTTCATTGCGTAATTTATTATAATTTGTATGATTTTGTTAATATTATATATTATTGTAATTAATAATTAGAAATTCGGGCAGAAAGACCTATGGTCAATAGCCCTTTGTATCAATTTACTTTTTTTTAAAATTAATTAGAAATAGAAACATTTCATAAAATGAATAATAATTTAAAGATACAAAAAAAAATATATTTAAATTATTTATATTCCTAGGGCAGAATAATGGGCTGTAAAAAACAAAACAGAAATGTAGAAAGGACAAATAAATTTTGTAATTATATGTTTATATCGTTATCATCTTAATTGTTTTTACTATTATCATGATGCAAATTTAAATAATTAGTTAATTTAAAATTCACATATGAAATTCATTTTAATAATTAAGTATAATTGTTATTAATTAAGCGTAAATTAATTTAATTAGAATTAAAATTCATTAATAATCCTAAATGTTTATGTATTTTATTGTTAAACAAAATATGCTTGTTGATATTTCCTGTGTTTTTAATTAATAAAGAGACTGTTATTAATGCAAATTCATTGTATTATTTATTATAATATGATATTGTTTGTTTTTAAATTACATGTTTGGATTAATCTTGGAAAAAGCCAGTAATCCCCTAAATGATTAATGTCGCTGAATTTCGACAAAAAATCGTCATTAACAGGAATTATACAATTAGCAATTTAAATCGCGATTTCGTGAATTGCTATTTCTATACGTTTCATTAGTCCGACGAGACATTGAACCATTGTCATCAATAAAGAACGGACGTTTATCGCACTCTTATCAAGCCTTCGCCGCAGAATAATAACAGTTATATGCGTGTAAAATATATACGAGTAAAAAAAATATATACGAAAGTTTAAGCTTTCTCATTAGAATCTTAATTTATTTTTTTATATCGATTTTATATCCGTGCTATTCCTGCTACTGACAGATATTAAAACGAAGTTCGAATCCTTCCAAAAATTTCCATACACGATAAATATGCTGATAAATTCTTGTTCATTTTAGTTTTTTCATCTCGCAAACCACTTTTGACAGCAATTGTTGATCAGTATGACGCAACCATTGGACCATCCAAAAAAGTACATTTCTGCTGCGCCTGTAGAAACGTAATCTTAATTATCTTGTTAATAAGCGGAAAATTGCAAATATTATTGATACGAGTTTCGATCGGAATTGCTATAATTGGATGGTTTTTAGGATTTATTTGGTCTTGGACGTCCAGAATAGATTTATCGATTTGTTAGACTCGTAGAAATGTAAAAGAAAAAAAGGTATTGTTTCCATGCGAAGATTCGCGCAGTGTTTTTGGAAAAGAAAAAATTTTAAGGCGAAGAAGAAAGAAAGGCGCATTCCGTTTTGTTTTGTTTTTTTTTCTCTCTCTCGCCGGTACGCTGATAAGTGTTCGCCTACAATTTCAGCAAAATGTACTTGCAAAAGGGGGATAATGCAAGAAGACATTAAATTTTTTGTTCTTCTTCTCGTTCACTGCATTTGCGACAGCTGGTGGGGAAGCACTGGATGGACGGGACACACCACGATGGATGAAGCGTGCAAGTGGGTAGGAAAATAGTAGGAGAGAAGGATTTGCAAATCACTCGAAGCTCCTAACTCTCCGAAGATTGACCTGCGAGTGTGGTGAATGTGTGCGAGTGTGTGCGTGTGTATGCGATCTGTGTGTGTGCGTGTGTTTCGTATGGTGACAGAGACAGAGTGCAATGGTCAAGTGAGAGTGACCCAGTGAGAGGAATGGTTCTGTACTGAATCGTCGCGCTCTCCGAATCCAGAAAATTTTCATGCAATTTGGAGGTAATCTATATTTAGCACTTATCCAATATTAGAGAAGCTGTTATCTGTTCGAGAGATGGGGACATTAAAGTTTTGCCTAACGTTCGCAAAATTGCGATTCTGCTGTTGCTACTCACAGTCGGACGATAGGAAGAGCAAGGCGTTAATAAAGGAGCGATAATTCCCAGAAAGTTTACCTGAAATTTTGTACTTCTGGGTTCCGGAAAATCCAATTTTATGGTCCTTGTATACCAAATTTACAAAAAATAATAATAATAGGTACAAACTATAATTGTAAAGAAACTAACAAAAAAATAGAGACTAAGCAACGAACCTACCTACCGCAATAAGCCTTCTTTATTTTCGCTTTCTCCTCAATTTCGTTAAACGTTTTGTTTCTTTTCAAAAATAATTATCTTTTTTGCCCTTTTCGATACCATCTGCAACCGTTCCCATATCGATACCCTCAAGGTACTTTCAATAGATGTAACTTGAACCGGGTTCAGGTTACATGCCTATATAAAGGTATCAATTTTCGGGTGCATTGCCTCATTCGGGGTGTACATTTTGAACGTTCCAGAGTGCCACCCTTTTATCCAAGATGCGATTCAAGCCATGCCTGATCATTTGTTCACTGGTCGTCTCCTTAGCAGAACTTGCACAAGCCTTCACCATCATCGACTGGGATAAGCAGCAGGCCTTCTGCGGCCACCGATTCCCTGACGTCCTTTCCAAGTACTGCCTCGTACACAACTGTAAGTAGTATCTTTCGCGACATACTATTACTCTTATCGCTGATATGATTTTGCGCGAACCAATTAAGATTTCCCCACGGCCGATCGTTTGTTATTGTTTATTTTGGAGACTACAACAAAGCACGATTCATTTCTTCTCTCCTTCTTTTGCAGCCCCGGACCACAACGTCGGTGCCTACGGTGGCACGCCCAAAACTCCAAAGCAGGAATGCTGTGATAAATACTGCTCAGTTCGATACATTCTCATCAATTACTGCACCAGAGTCAAAGAGTAAGTTATCGCATACAAATGCATCCGCATATTTATCTCCTATTCTAATTATAAATATTGAATTTAATTTTGAGCTAATTTTCACTCAATAAAGTACCAAAAGCATTTCAAATAATTACCGTATTTTCTGATTTGGGTACTCAAATTTATTAAATAATTAAAAAAAAAAAATTTTAATAAGATTTATATATAATCAATTAAAAATAACAAAAGCATTATAATAATTAGTATATTTTTCCTGATTAGCACTTCTTACCAAAATTTATAAAAAAAATCGATACTAAGAAAATTATAAAACATTTATTTGATAATTTTAGCAGAATCGATTAGAAAAATTAAATATTATAGTTAAGCATTGAAGAAATTATCTTATATTTTTTTATAATAAAAAAAAAACAAAATCGATTGTACATTGATTTTTCTGGTACGTCTTATAGTTCGAATATTAGAATTTCAATTATCGTAAATAGTAATAAGAATAATAATTCAATAATCCTATTAACAGTTAATCTTTTTTGCTTAATTATTATTGTTGATGTGTATGAAAATTTTTAATATTGTTTTTTTACTGCTGCAATAAAGATTATTATTAAAAATAATAAAAAATGTATTTATTCATGTAATGTCTAATGACCAATATTGTTGATGTAAATAAAAAGAATAATAGTAAGGTCAAGAATAAAAATGAAATCAATAGTCTAAAAATAATAATAAAAAAACTTCTAAACAAGTAATGGATATCTAGTGGAGTAGTCAGAGTCATAATATTTAATTTGTTGCGTAGTTAAATACATTATTTTAAATATTAAGTTGGAAGGAAAGACTTAAAATTATTCCACATTCACCTTACTCTATTTTCTAATCTAAATATATCAATGTTTATATTATTATGCAACATACATTATGTAAATAATTATATTTATGTCTGTAATTATACAATTACATAAATTAGTTATGCAATGCGTATTAATCTCATTTAGCTGCTGTTATAATAAAAATTAACCCATAAATTTGTAATAATTATTTATCTGTTTAATACAGATGCAGTGATGTTAGAAAATATGTTCTCATTTTACGAATTAACGCTTCATTATAGTTAACAAAAAATTAAATAAGAAATTTAAGAAATATTTTTTAAAATGTTTCCAAATTTTATGTTATTATATTATAATAAGTAAAAGTTCAGCTTATATGAAAAATATTTTTTTTTTGTTGCAATAAATACTTTCAAATAAAATTTGTATATTAAAATATTAACAACAGCTTTAATATAATCATTAAAATAAACGAAAACTAAAATAAATTGAAGCATTTAAAAAGTAAATTAAAACACGGTTGATTCTTATAAAAAAAAAGCAAATTTATTGCATTGATTTGAATGAAATTAATCATCAAAATTAAACTCTTACTATCTACTAAAAGAATATGAAATAACAATAAATTAATAAAAATGAAGAAGTAGTTAAAATAATAAAACAAATAAATATGCTTTTTTTGTTTTTGAAAAAATCTTCAAATATTTTGATCAAATAATAAATTCAGAAAACTCAATTCATAGGTAAATTCAGCGCCGCAGCAAGGGCGTAACACGTTTAAAAGCGTCAATTGCGTTGCTAATAGCATTGTTTTATTAAGGGCGGGGGCGCAAAGGAATATTTGGGCCCTATAATTTCTTGTGCAAGTTTTACTTGCTGCTGAACTGGATAAATTAACAAGAAACACTGTAGAAATTATTTATTACTTATGTAATTGAGGAAAAAGAGTGAAAATTATATTCAAATTAAATAAATATGTAACGTCGGTTAATGAAAAGTTTCATCTATTAAGTATGAAATTTCATTTGTAATTGGGGCACGTCTTATGGATTTTTATTTATATATTTTTTTTGCAAACATTTTCTTATTATTTTTTAATGCGTCTTATAGTAAGAAATATAATATATACTATTTTCTATTTATTTATCAATATATGTTATGTATTAATTTATCTTTTTTTATATTGATGATGCGGTCCTTTTGGTGGTCCTAGGACCTAGGGGCTGGTTTTGCGAGTGAGCTGTCTAGTAGTTAGTTTATGTTGTATTAGTTTAAAATAGTTTTTTAAAATTTAAATAATAAAAGGTACAATTTTGAATATTAAACCAACTTTATTATATAAATAAAGAAACCCTTTGTAACAGTGAATTAATTTTTCTTTTTAATATTTATATAAATAATTTTAAATTTTTATTCATATACAGGTATCCCCCGACTTACGAACTAGTTCGTAAGTCGAATTTGTTCGTAAGTCGGGGGAATTTGAAATATTTCAAAATATACTTACCACACTTTATCATGGTTTTTACTGTTATATATGTTAATATATGTTTTATATATAAATATATGTTTTTAATATATGTTTAATATATAAATTTCATATTACTGATTGCATAAATTTGGAAAAAATAGATTAAAATGAAGAAAATACTTACTTACAAATATTTTTACACAATTTTTTAAGAAAAAAACGACAAAAATATTATATTTTATTAAAGAAATTATAAATATTTGTTTGAACAGTTATTTTCTTATCACTATACTTGTAACAAGTTAGAGCTTTTAGAACTTTGTTCGTAAGTTCGGGAGTTCGTACGTCGGGAGATACCTGTATTCCTGTTTCAAGAAATATTATTTTTAATTTAAAATATACAAACATTGTTAAATTGCAGGTTTGAAATAATAGTTTACAAACATTCAATTAAATATATTATTTCATTAGTTGTAAAAGGGGACACCTGTGCGTCAAAGAAAGTTCTTGGAACAACTCGAAACGACGTTTTATTATTATTGTATTTTTATTACTATTATTAAAAGGTGCGTTATTACACATGATTGGCGTTTGTATAATGCATAAAAGAGACGGCAACAATTGCATTCGAAGTTAATAATTAATAAATCACGTAACATCACAAAAGGGCGAAAATATAATTTTATTTAATGCTTTCACAATCATTCATTTTTTTTGGTGATCTAACAAACCAGTGAACTTTATGTATTAATATAAATCACGAGGCTATTTTTAGCACTAAGCTTTGTGGTATTTATTACTTCAAGTCGAGTGCAAAGGCGCCAATACGTATTATTTTGATTTCATTTCAGATGATCATACAAAAACTTTATCTAAATATTGTTTGTTCGCTTGTTTTTCTTTATTTACTTTAGATATGTATTGAAATAATAGCAGAGATTTCTCTCGATTTATTTATTTATAGTGGTGATTAAAAATCCAGTAAACAAGCTGTGTTTGAAAAAAAAAAGTAGAAGCGCCGCGCTGTTTCAATATAGACTTGTTTTAATAATAGATTACAATAGTTAAGCAACGTTCGTTCCGGTGTAAATTTGAATAGGATTTAAAAACTGTTTTCGAACTATAAACAAATGTAATGATTGATCTTTGCTACATATTTGAGCGGTAGCAATCAAAATCCCGACAACCGAAATACCTCAATCAAAACATAATCATAACAAACATAAATCCCAACAGTATCTTTTATTATAATAAAAAAATACTGTCGGGATTTATGGTTGTCGGTATTTGGATACTGTCGGAATTTCGAATATCGATTTCAATATAGATCCATATTTGAGTGTTGCTATTGTAACATCAAATACAACTTTCACGTGTGTACTAATTAAAGAAAAAGTTAAGCAACATCTAACATAGAATTTACTTGAATGGGCTTAATTATTTTTTTTGATACAAGTGTAAAATATGAAAATAGTTTAAGTAATAGTTTAACAGATATTTGATGTTGTTTTAAAGTTTTAAAGATATCAAATAAATTAAATTAAATTTAAAGTTTTCATTCATTTCGATTGTTACAGTTTTTTTTTTATTTCAGGTATATTTTATTTATTGTTTTGTAAAAATATATAAAAACTTTTTTTTAATATTAACATTTTAAAACTGTTTTTCTTTTTTAAATTTTGGTGTTTCTATATTTTTTAATATAAGACTTTTGAGTGTTAACTCTTTGTGGGACAAGGAATTCCTAAATTTTTAGACAACTGAATCAGACAACTTCGTCAACTGAATCAGCATCGAATGGTAATTCCTGTACATTTTCTAGAAAATTATAATAATGCCCCATTAGGCATGTTCAAAAGGAGCGACAATACGTGTCAAAGAGTAACTAACAGTAACAATTGTATCAAGCGCAATTCTTACAAAAGGATTAAATTGTATGTTAATGCATTGTGGATGTGGTAATATGATTTTGTTGTTGGTTTCAGAAATTTTATGGAAAAGTACAATGAAACGTGGGAGAAACCGAAATCCGATCTGTTGAATGAAATCGTCAGGGAATCGGATAGGAAGAGGACGGATAACCATCCTGCTGCGCGAAGTATTATAAATACAATGGTAATGAAGGGGGTTTCAAAGTCTAAAGGTAGTGGTTGCAAACGTAAACGTCCGCAACGAAAGAGAAATAAGAATGGGACCAAACGCAATTGCAGGAAGCATCGCGCCACACCTAACACTAATAAACCATCTCCATCATCATTAACACCATTAAAAATCACAAAAACCATACGAAAATCAAGGCGCAAATGTATCTGCTGCCGCCAAAAGAGAATCAAGGTGATAGATCATTCTAATAACAAACAAAAAATAATCATTAGCCATAACAACAATAATTCATGTTATTAATACATATAATATTTCATTTTTTTCAGGCGCCAAAAATTCATCAGGATGCCAAACTGGGCATCGAGCAAGGTCACCAAATACCTATTAATTTGGACTTCAATATTAAAGACTTTATAAACCAATGAAGTGATCTTCAGCGCCAACGATGGTATTAATTTGAATTACGTAACTGAGTTGTAGTTACTTGCTGTGATTTGTATGTATTGTGTTTGTCCGTATAACCGTTTTTTTTTACACACACCTAATTATTAAATGTTGCTCTCTGAAAAGAAACAGAAGTATTTTTGGAAGGTGCAACCTATTTATTGTTTCGATTACTTTAAGTTTTAATATATTTAACGATGTAAATTTTTTATATGTACTTATGTGGACTGTATTTGTAAATAAAATTTAATTGTCGTGATCATTCATAAATTTGTCCAAATAAATTTGACATTTTCATTGTTAAAAAATGTTTTACTACATTTAATATAATTGTATATAAAAATATTATAATTCAGATCAAATTACTTCCATGAATTATATAATACGATAATTTATGTACATATATTACAGTGAATTTGGACTGAGCCGATAGTGGTTGCTGTTCTCGAAGATTTTTTTCATTCCCGGGATTAAAAGTTCGTAAAATCCCGGGATTTTTCTCAATTTGTATATACGAGTCTTCGTTCCTATTGTTTCATGTATTTTCAGCTCTTTTTGAATTATATATAGGTTTATAGAATGCTATGATTGCATTTGCTAAAGAGAAACTTAATAAAGATTTGCTAGTTGATGGGAATGTTTCATTAATCACTTCTACGAAATCACTACGTTCATATTGTTATTCTATACGTATCCTTGTATGATGACAAAAAAATCTAGTTAATCAAATCTTTTGCATATTTAGTAGCAATATTATAAAATTTGGTTGCCTGTTTTCATTATTACTTTAAATTTTGAGCATGATTGTTAATATTCGAAGTTGGGATTACAGAATCAGCCGGAATTTCACGAAAGCAAAATCTCGGGAAGTACCCACTATATGGGAGGTATTGCTGTATATTGTTTCCAATCCTGTGATAAAACATTGCATTCATCGAAAATATTGATACTTTTCACATAAAATCTTTTGTTGAATCCTATACTCATTTACAAATTTGTAAGTAGACAATAAACTGACATCATACAAAAGCTAAAATTGTTTGATTAATTTTGAAATAAGAAAATACAATGATCAAATTATACTTATTGTTAGTAATCTTATAATACGCATAAATGTACAGAATATTTTTAAGTTTAGTTATTTTCAGTATAAGCTGGATAACCTTATAAATAATCAAAATTAATCCCAACTGCTCTAATTAAGACAGAAAGACCTATAATAGTCGTTTGCAGCAAATTAAATTTGTTTTATTTTTCTTATTATGTTATTTTGTTGAGTTTGTTATTGCAATGGATACAAATGCAATAATCGTAGACTTAGAAAATTATCCAATGATTTAATCTCTAATGACTATGTGATTTATCTTATATAACAAGTCACGTAATATTGATATAAAATTCCATGCAATTTATAATATAATTGAAGATAAAGTAGAAATATACAAGCAGAGTTTTAAAACAATTATAATTAATTTAATAATCATAACTTCTTTTATGACTATTTTGATAAAATTGATAAAATTAATCATTTTATTGTTTTTATTTTCTATAAAAATGTACCGCACAGCATTTTTTTGCTATATAACCGAATCGAAAAAGTAACATAATTTTAAAAGGCCATTGTAGCGACATGCTTACACTATAGCCAGATATGGTTGTATTTCCTTCCATTTTTTGAAATAAAAGGCATTTTCCCATATATATGAATGCAACCAAATGTACACATATTAATGGTTTCTTTTGTAGTTTATTTAGTTTTTCTACATTATATTTTATTATTAAACAGAGTAGATGAATTAAACTTCTTTCTATTTATTTATAATTTATTATAAAATAAATAAAGTATTAAGCTATTTTCTATCATTCATTAAATTTTATTCTCAATTAATACAAAAACATATTTTTAGTTTACAATTTACCAAGTGAGGAGAGTAAAGACGCGAAAGAAGAAGTTCACAATTTATTGTTTAATACTATTAAGAAAAACAAGTTTTTTTTATAATTTATTTGATAGTGTACTTTCTTTTGAATTATACAAACGAACGAACATCAATTTGTTTTGAAAAAATTGTCGATAATCGTTTCTGCAGTTAATGTAATTACGTAATCTTATTACATCAGAATTAATTAACAAGTGATAGAAGTTATAGTAAGTAAAATTTAACGTTCTTTTACTCTTATATATTTTGATTAAGACTTTCAATTTAATTTTAATTAAGTTTAGAGTTGCAATTTTTGAATTTGATTTTGCTATAAAACATTTGATGTTTATACCTTCTAAAAATATTTAAACTAATTTTGCAAACAGTCTTAAAAAAATACCTATAAAAAATCTCTCTTAGAAAATAAATTGTAATTAAGCAAAGATAATGAAAATTACTTTTCTTAAACATGAATTAATATAAAAATAATGTATTATATTGATGTTTATTACGTAAGATTTACAAATGTTAATAGTAAAATTATTTATTAAAAACACAAAATATTATAATGTGTCGCATTACAAAGGGAATTCAAATATAATTTTGTAAAGGTAAAAGAAAAGTAATTAGTATAGATTGTATACATATATTTTTTTTAATTAGTGACAAAGATATAATATTTTATAAATAAAACAATAATTGTATTTTTCTGATGTATTAATGACAGAAATTAGTAAAGATATGCAATTTCATAACACCAGAAGATGAGAAGTTGCATTTGCTTAATGTCACATCACTTTCATGTCACAAGCAGAAACATTCAATTCTAGTGACACGTAGCCGCAACAATAATAATAATTTGGGCCACAATACCAACAATAATTCAATCAACAAATCATCATTTAAGTCGTATTCGTTTTATTTAAGTTAAAGAAGTAAGTAGAAAACAAATTTATAGTTAAGTAACTTGAGAACTTATGTTATATAGAAAATAATACCAATGTATAACCTCAACTCCAGTTTATTGAGATGACTAGGAGGCTATGATTTCATATGTTGCTTGAATTAAAAAGATATTTTATTAAATTGTATCCTAATTAGGTGAACTTTCTATTAAAACTTTGTGTTAATGATTTTAGCAGCTTGCCAAAATGACTGCCATCGAGCAGCCATGTTACACCCTAATAAACATGCCCTCAGATTCTGAGCCGTACAATGAGATGCAGCTGAAAATAGATCTAGGTAATTATAAATATAATAGAAAATTGTCTTTGTTTATTAATATTGTCTTGATATTTTAGAGAAGGGTGACACAAAGACAAAAATTGAGGCCCTAAAGAAGGTTATCAACATGATATTGGCTGGAGAACGTATGCCAAGTGTGCTGATGACTATCATTCGATTTGTGCTGCCATTGCAAGACCACACCATCAAGAAGATGCTGCTTATCTTCTGGGAGATTGTACCAAAAACGTCAGCTGATGGAAAACTGCTGCAAGAAATGATTTTGGTATGTGATGCATACAGGAAAGATTTGCAGCATCCCAATGAATTTTTAAGAGGGTCCACTTTGAGGTTCTTGTGCAAGTTGAAAGAGCCAGAACTTCTTGAACCTCTGATGCCAACAATCAGAGCATGCCTTGAACACAGGCATTCATATGTGAGGAGAAATGCTGTGTTAGCAATTTTTACAATCTACAAGAATTTCGAGTTCTTAATACCCGACGCGCCAGAGTTGATTGCTACACTACTACTTGGAGAGAAGGATATGTCTTGCAAGAGAAACGCATTTTTAATGTTGCTGCACGCTGATCAGGATAGAGCTTTATCTTATTTGGCTTCGTGTTTAGATCAGGTTAACACTTTTGGGGATATTTTGCAATTGGTTATCGTCGAGTTGATTTATAAGGTGTGTCACGCAAATCCCTCGGAACGTTCGCGTTTCATCCGTTGCATATACAATTTACTGAACTCTAGCAGTCCGGCTGTAAGATACGAAGCAGCTGGAACTCTGATCACACTTTCAAATGCACCAACAGCTATCCGGGCTGCTGCAAGTTGCTACATAGAGCTTATCGTGAAAGAGAGTGACAACAATGTTAAATTGATCGTTTTGGATCGTCTGATTGCTTTGCGCGAGCATCCGGCGCATGAAAGGGTACTACAAGAATTGGTTATGGATATCCTTCGTGTTCTCTCGAGCCCTGACTTGGAAGTGCGGAAGAAGACCCTCGCTTTAGCATTAGATTTGGTGTCTTCACGCAATATCGAAGAGATGGTTTTGGTTCTGAAGAAAGAGGTGTCCAAAACTCACGACGTTGAACACGAAGATACTGGAAAATACAGGCAACTACTCGTCCGCACATTGCACTCCTGCAGTATTAAATTCCCAGATGTGGCAACTACCATTATTCCCGTATTAATTGAATTCTTATCTGACACAAACGAATTGGCCTCCGCTGATGTATTGATCTTCGTAAGAGAAGCCATACAGAAATTTGAAACTTTACAACCTTTGGTTATTGAGAAGCTACTGGAAAGCTTCAATGAGATTAAATCATCAAAGATCCATCGCGCGGCTCTTTGGATTCTTGGAGAATATGCAGTGAACACGTCCGACATCGAGGCTGTCTTAAAAGCTATTACTTTTACCTTAGGCGAAGGGTCTTTATTAGAAGCTGAACAACGGTTGAACTCCGGTGAAGTTGTTGAAGAAACTGGAGCAAATACAACAACTCAAGGTAGCAACACTTTGGTTACTTCCGATGGAACTTACGCCACTCAATCGGCTTTCAACACAACTCAGAAATCCAAAAAGGATTCTCGTCCACCATTGCGGCAATACTTTATGGATGGTGATTTCTTCATCGGTGCTGCATTGGGTACCACATTGACCAAATTAGCTCTACGTTACGGAGTCGCTGTTTCAGCAGCCAAAAAAAACCAGTTCGATGCGAAAGTTATGCTTATCATGGCTGGTATCATTCATCTAGGAAAATCTGGATTGCCGACGAAGGCTATAACAAACGATGACAGTGATCATCTTCTATTCTGTCTGCGCGTTTTGTCCGAACGCACCGAGAAGATTATCAATATATTCAGTAAGCAATGCCGCGGCGCTTTGAACGACATGCTGACGGCTAAGGAAATCGAAGAAGTGAGCACACAGAAAGCTAAAGAAAAGCCTAATCATAAAATCCAAGCTGACGATCCGATTTCATTCATGCAACTTCAACCGGATAAATCTGGAGAGTTGGGAGAGAACGTGTTTGAATCATCCTTATCTCAGGCTTTGGTGGGCGGAAGAACTGGAGGAAATGAACTAGTTTCCAACAGCAAATTGAACAAAGTCACCCAGTTGACAGGATTCTCTGATCCGGTGTATGCCGAAGCTTATGTTCACGTTAATCAATACGACATTGTCCTCGATGTTTTGATCGTAAACCAAACGAACGACACGTTGCAAAACTGCACTTTGGAAATAGCTACATTGGGAGACCTCAAGTTGGTGGAGAAACCGCAGCCGGTTGTTTTAGCTCCCAAGGACTTCTGCAATATTAAGGCCAATGTTAAGGTGGCTTCAACAGAGAACGGAATCATCTTCGGAAACATCGTTTACGATGTAACTGGCGCCGCCTCAGATCGTAATGTCGTTGTACTCAATGACATTCACATTGATATCATGGATTACATAGTTCCTGCTTCCTGCACAGACACCGAATTCCGCTCGATGTGGGCTGAATTCGAATGGGAGAACAAGGTATCCGTGGTCACATCGATAACAGACCTATCTGAATTCCTCAAGCACCTGGTTACGAGCACCAACATGAAATGCCTCACCCCGGAGAAGGCATTGTCTGGTCAATGCGGCTTTATGGCAGCAAACATGTACGCAAAGAGTATTTTTGGAGAGGACGCTTTAGCTAATTTGAGCATCGAAAAACCTTACAATAAACCCGAGTCTACAGTCACTGGACACATAAGGATCAGAGCTAAGAGCCAGGTAATATTACCTTAACATTAATTTACTTTCTCAGACATTAACGATTTATCTGTTTCAGGGCATGGCTTTGAGTTTGGGAGATCAAATTACTCAATGGCAAAAGGGGCAAAGTAAAGTCGTGGCTGCTTAATGAATTCCAATGTTTTAATAATGTATTTTCCATATTATTTTCGTATTTATATATAATGAAAGAAAGATTTTATGTTTAACCAGAATAAAATAAAATGTAGATTTTAACGTTGTTTTACTCTTTTTTTTCTTCCATCAAATTTTAAAATTGTTTTTATCTCAATAAAATTGAATAATTTATTACTTCTTTAATTTTTGTCAACACAACCTACTAAACTAAGCCATAGACTAGTTTTTGTCTCTTAAATTCGTAAACGTTTCAATAGTTTTCGTTTCCAAAGGACGTTTTCTATATATTACTAGAATCAAACCACGCACGATGCTATTTCCAGTGTCTTAAAATGCTATTTCGGTTGATCTACATTTACACAACATACATTAGTCAAATGTACATGAATATATCAAGGTAGCAACATTTGACTGTATTTCCATAAACACTGCTTTGATATAAAAGAAGTGATAGATAATTTGGGAATTTGTAAGAAGGAATATAGTGAGAAAACTAGAAGTATTTCAATGAAATAGTTAACATTATAATTGAGTAACCTTGGATAAAATAAAATACATTATTTAAGTGTAATATAACAGTGAAATGTGTTGAAGCGATAAAAATATATGGGAATATTTTTTGTTTCTAGCTTTACGGTTGAGCAGCAAGAAAATATGCCGCGATGTTTGTTTCTATTGTTATAATTATTAGTTTGAACACAAGAAAGAAAAAAAGATAGATATTCAGTGAATTCAATAACCAGAGGAAATATTTATATTTTGCTCAATACATGTATATTCAGGCAAATAAATTAGTAACAATAGAAAAAAGAGAGAATAAAACAAGTAAATGAAATTTAAAACTTTTTACAATCTTAAAATAAATATATTAGAATAGACATTTTATTCTTCTTCCTCCTCTTCCTCTTCTTCCTCCTCCTCTTCTTCTTCCTCCTCCTCTTCCTCTTCTTCCTCCTCTTCATCTTCGTCCTCCTCTTCGTCGACCTCAATTTCTTCCTCCTCTTCCTCATCTTCTTCTGGTTCGACTACAGGCTCCTTGAGGGGTTCATCATCCTCATCGGCGGCGGCTTTACCTTCCTCCTCGCCTTCTGGGGTTTCTGGGTCTCCGGCCTTCTTGCCTGGCCTTTCACCGAACCACTTGGGAAGCTTGCCTAAGTTTAAAAATCACAATTAATAAATTTTCCAACATTTGTGTTATAATAGTAAATTATTTGAAAGTTCGTGTTGTGATGTTAGATAATTTTAATTCATATTATTACACAGATCCTTACTTTTTTGTCTGGAATCGAATTGGCCGAACTTTTCTTTCCAGGACTTTTCGCTGGTGTCCTTGATGAGTTCTACAAGACCCTGTTTATGTGTAAGAAAAGGTTAGAACATTGTAACACTCGAGACAGATACAGTAAGATTTTCTTAACAAGGGGAACGAAATTTGTGTAATGTGTTCGGGGACCAACAATACACAGTTAGAATTATTATTTTGATTATTCCTTGTATACGCAACACATTGAATAAATGAGAAGAAAAAAGGAAAGCTGTATTGTGATTTTCTGTGTGTTTTATAGTATACACACTTACGTCGTGACCTTTCCATAAACTCCGTGATTCTTGTCTTCCAAGCTTTCTCATTACCTTCCAGCAATAAACTATCAAAACCCTAGGCGTGATAGAAAAAAATGATTTATATAAAAAAGTTTTAAGAACAAAAAAAGACTATCACATTATTTCCCCTTTATAAAATAAATAATAATTAAACGTAATTGATTGAATTTGGTCTGATATGTTTTTTTTAAAGGGATTAAATCCTAATACTTACACCTTCGAAGAGTTTCTTCTTGTCGTCGTAAGATCTGGTGTCGACGCGACGTTCGTATTTGGAGGCGACTTGGATTTTAGGCTGAAAAGATTATTTGATTTTAAGTAATCTTCATTTTTAGTTTTTTCTTTGTTTCTTTAACATACTGGGTATTTGCCGGTGAGGGCTTCTGGGTCCAAACCCTTCTTCAAGGCCTTGTGCCTCAGTTGTTGTTTCTGCCTTTCCTTCAGTTCTTTAAGCTGTTGAAATATAATAAATTAATATTTATGTTTCAAGTGATTAAGATTCGAGTAATTACATCGTAGTCTTGACGTTTCTGCCTTTCTTCCAAATCGTACTTTTCGGTTTCCAATTTGACTATACAATCCCAGAGCTCAATGGCCTTCTCTCTGAGTTTAGCTTCACCCAAACCGTCGAGGTGCAAGGCCTTGATGCGGATGGAAAGAGAGATTTTCTTTTCTTCCTCAAGCTGTTCCTTGGTCTTGTTCCTTTCAATTTGGGCAGCGGAGAGGTTAGCCTGTGATCATTAAACAATACATTAAACATCGTTCTCAGGAAACGTGAGTTCTTTTGTGAACATACGGTGGCGTCCTTCTTGGCAATGGTGAAGTTGGGGCCCTTGGTCTTGCTTTGGTCCTTGAGAGCTTGCATCATAGCTTGACGCTTCTTCTCGGCCTCCTCAAGACGTTGCCTCTTCTCCTCAATATCGCGTTGTTTCTTCTCTTCGATTTCACGGACGCGACGCTCTTCCTCTTGCTTCTTGCGCTCGGCCATCTTCTTCTCTTCCTCAGCCCTGGTGACCTTGCGCTTGGCCTGCTTTTCCTTCAACTTCTTGAGGTCATCCTCTTCCTTGGCGCGCTGTTTACGCCATTCTGTGATGTATTCCCTAAGTTGTTCATCTAAGTCTGATCTTTTTTGGTCTTGGCGCTTGATGAATTCTGGATCGCCGGCTTGTTCCCTAGAAACAAATCGCAATCAGCACACGAATTATCCGATGAATTGTAAGCTGAATATAGCAGAAGTTGATGGCTCTGAAGATCCTCGAGCATATTTCGTTATAATAGAAACTGCTCTCGTGAGAAGAATAAAAAAAATAAAAGCTTTTTCAAAAAAATGCTTTCAGATTGCGGCCAGTTGGAATTGATGTCAACTTACTGCTCTTCAACGACTCTTCTCTCGACGTGCCTGTTGAGGTTTCAAACGGGGTCACGAAGTAGGGGGGAGACAAAAAAAACAGAGAAAAATTGTACAAAACACATTTTTACAGTAAAAAAAATAATAAAATCATAATTGTGAAAGGTGTGAAACTACTACAAAAAGAAAAGAAAAAAAATGTTGCATTAATTGATCCTTAAAACTAAATTAAAAACTATTTTATACCACAAGGACAGTATTTATACATGTTTCAACTACAACAAACGTGGTGCAAGTTGAGAAGGGGGAGGGGTTGAGTCTAAATACTACTTACTTTCTGTAAAAAAGAAAGAGAAAATAGAGTTACTTAAGTTAATGAGCTGAGTAATAAAAAAAATAGAAAGCCTTTCGAATTTGGTGGTATCTAAAATTTGGTTCAATTAATGCCAATTGTTTCCCTAAACTTTTCCAATTTTCTGCGCTTCATGCAATTTATGTATGCAAATTTATGCATACTTAAATGCATGTATTGTTTTTTATTTGTATTTTTTTTTTTGGTATAGACTAAAATTTGTTCGATCCTTACGTTTCCACGATTTCTTCCTCTTCCTCCTCTTCTTCGCTAAAATTTGGAACAAACAAAATTAGTAAGACACGGACATGTTGAACGTATTTTTAGCACTTGGTAGCCACTAAGCAATCACGAAAATACATTTTACGAGGGCAACAAGCAGAGAGCATAGAAGAGATTTCATCTCAATTCATCATTTATTTCTACTTACGAGTAAACTTCTTCTTCGTCGGACATGTTGGAAAGGTTTTTAAATTAACTCTGTAAATCAAAATAGAAAAAAAAACGAACATTACTTTCAAGTTACACAATTTGGATAGAGTACAACTATTGCGCATTTGGATCCTTTTCTAATGATTAATCATCGGTAATTATTTTAGGCAACGATAAAATTGATCTTGTTTCCAAGTTCCATCTTAAATACTAATCGTCTTCAATATAAATCCAAGATTTAGTAATCCAAAGAATTGATTGTAAATATTTTAATGTGGTAATCATACTGAATCCTTTAAATCTTCAAATATTTGGAACTATGGGAAGTTTCGTAAGATATGTTGAAAAACTCGGTTTCGTTTTCATTCAGATAATAGTAGGCCGCGTGAAATCCACACCGAGTTCGACGGAGCAGACTGTATTTGGCGTCGCGACGCGCTTAGTTCTATTCTTAGTTCTTCGTTCAGCAGCTCACCATCCAATTTACGAGTAGCTCCAAAAATAAAACTGTTAAAAGCGAAAAAACAAACGAAAACAACATCTTCCGCCGGGCACAGAAAAATAACAAATTTCAAAATAATTAAATAAATAAAAGAAAAACAAGACTAATATATTGGAATTACATAATTTGTAGTCCGATTCATAGTTGATAAACCCAAGTTAATATTATGAGATTAACGAAATCTGAAGTCTGGCTTATACTAATGTTTCAAAGTATTTAGTAAGTGGATTAGCACAAATATATGAAAAGTGTTTATAATTAATTGCCGTGACCCAAAGAAGTGTCTAAGAAAATATATGAATTTAAGAATTGACCTATTTCTGGAAATGTATCTCCATTAAATTATTAAAACTATAAATCTTCTATAAACTATTTGATTTGAGCGAATTTTGAGGTCAAGTAGTTATGCAAACGCGGTCGAAATATTTTTACTGTAGGGTTTAGATTAGTTTTGTAGCTCAGGAATGTTGTATAAAGATAATCCAACTAAAAGTAGCACCGTTCAATCTATTTTTAGAGTCAGCTATGTAACGCAACTGGTTTATAATAAGTTTACCTAATAATTTAAAGTGTTTTTTTTATAATATTATAACAAATTTAAATACTAGCTTGTTGATGTTATGTAATAGATTTGAGCGTTTCATTAAAACTATAAAAATTCGCGTTGATTTGATTCAATGATTGGATTGGAAATTATTGATTATTTGCATTGTTTCTAGTCGTATAAAATATTAGATTTGTGTATTATAAATGTAATAATAAGTTAAATTTGAGATGTGGGATAATTACGTAACGTCGGATGCGAAGACCAGTGGGATATCGAAAAGTATTGCAAAATGCAAGGCTTCAGGATGATCCTAAAGGTGTGTTTACGAACTGTGTTAAGAGTTCTCAGTATATTGGAAACAGTGTGTATATGTAAAGTGTAAAATGACAAAGTCGTACTCACATTTAAACAAGACAAAGAGCGGGAGGAGCACCGCACAATCCTAGGAGTCTGCAGTGACTGAGTAAGAATCCAACAGGAACATCCTTCGGGATAACTGAGTATATACCTGCGTGCGCATCGACGCCCACGCCATTTTTTTCCCAATCCTTGCATTCGCCAACGATATCTGTTTTCATTCCACCCATCCGTCTGTCCTTTTCTAAACCGCAGGCCTACTTCGAATCTGGTTTCCATTTCGCTTTAAAATTAACTTTTTTGTCCAAATCGAACTTGTTTTAGTGTAAAAATGTAATGCAACGGGGTTCCGAATAGTTATTAATACACGATCAGTCTAAAAGTGCAAAAAAAAAACCCCGGAGGAAAAAGAAAAAGAATGAAAAAAGAAAAGAAAAATAGAAGTGGAAAAATGGAAATGAAACGGGCACTACCGACGCGCATATATATTTTTAATTCTCCACCAGAAGGAGTAATTGTGAACCTGGGCAGTAGTAGGCTTGCCCCAACTATTTTTGGATTCCGGTTTATTGCAATTTACACACTGTTTACACAGGCCTACATTTGCATCCAGTTCTGTTTAGACATTCTTCCAATATTGTAAACATCTATTTCGAATCGACTCTTTCGTGGAGCCGATATAACCCTGAACCTGCACCGATATCTTGGGACTCAGTCAATTATTACACATATCGCAAAATGATTCGATTCGATTACATAAATATTTTTTTAATATTTTCCTGCTTGAGATATAATACCAATAATAATGGCGGATGCGCCGGGTCGTTTAAACAATCAAATTATCAATTTCAATTTCTCACAAATTATTATTTAATCACCAACAAAAAGATTATAATCCATTAATTAAAATGATATACTTTTTAATATATATTATGTTTTAAAACCAATTTATTTAAAAAAATATAAAATAATTACAGACAAAAATTACAAATTAAAAAAAATATAATTTATTATAAATAATATAATTACAAAATGTATCATTAGAACCAAGGTCTTTCTGTTCTCAAATATTAATTACTTGTTTAATGACAATAATTGTTCGCAGTATAAAAGATACATTTTCAGATTTTTTATAACAAAGTTTACGATTTATCAATATTAATAAATCAACCTTAGTTGCATTAAGATCAAAGGGTTATCTATAATAATAAATAAAGACTTTTTATATCTATTTTTACATTATATAAAAAAAAGGTACATTTAAAAAATGTTTTAATATACTTTTTTTAATTAGCGAACTTAATTAAGAAATGTGAACATATTTATTACAATTTCAGTACTATTTAAGTAATTTACTTAACAATTGTTTCAATTTTCATTTTAAAATAATCAGTTTCACATAAATTGTTTATGAAATTTATCAATAGGACGTTTTGTATTAACTAAAAGATTTTTAATTTAGAAACGAAAACTGTTAAAAGTATGAATAATTACAATATTGTATTAATTTCAGCAATTTTTGTATACTTCGCTAATTCGCACTATTTTATTTTTAATTAAAATTAATTTAAGATTTATAAGACTATTCATATTTATATTTTTTAATAGTAACAAAATAAGTAAAAGTTTTATTTAAAAACTGAAAAAATGAAAATAATAACATTTTGTATATTTCAAACAATATTTCATTTTACACTAACATTTCTTAATTATTAATTTTGATTTTACAATTATTAATTTCGTACTATTTTTTTTATAAATTTATTAAATAGTACAATTTGTTTTAATTATTTATTATTTAAAATCATATTTTAATCACTTTTTAACAGTAAAATCTAATACAAACGCTTCTTATCTTTGTTAATTAACCAAAATAAATTATTTTCAGTAAAAATTGTGTAGTTTTTATAAATAAATGTAAACTATAATTAGAGAGATTGAAAAATTGTTTTATATGAAAATACAACATTTTTTTAAGAATGTAAAAAACGGTTTATTTCAAAATGAAAAATTTGTATTCACATTTTTTTTTTTTTAAATCTAAATTTTCAATAATTATTGTCCATAAATGAAATCAAGTTACTATAGCTAAATTTTGTACAATATAACTTTTATAATAAATAATATGAATTATTGATTGACATATTTCATATAATTAATGTCAATTAAAAAAAATGAACTAATTAAAACTTAATTGTAAACATCGCTTTGATTGTGTGTATATTTTAAATCTATTTAAAGAAATTCCATCAATTGAGCACATAACGTACTATTTTGCTGAAAAAAAGTTATAGTTCATACCATAAATCTTCAAATTTTCTGAAACGAATCTAGAAATTGCTGCCAAATTGCCAATCTTTTCATGTCTTATATTGTATGTACAAATCACTTTATATTCAATAGCAATTCATAAATTATTTCCAAATTTAAACATATTTATTGAATTCAATTTGGTTTATCGACCAATGCCTTTCTATCCTTTATATTATTCACATAATTAGTAAATATTATTAATGTATATATTTTGAAAAAAATATGTAAACAATCAATGTATTTAAATTGATGAAGTGAAAAGTATTTTGACAATGTTTATATTTACGGAAATATTCCTGACGTTATATACAATTATGTAATGTTCCTGAATAATGAGTTGTTAATAATAAACAACAAAAGCGATAGTATTTAAATTGATAGGAATCTTTCCATTTTAATTACCAGAATTTGATATACCAAAAGAAAATTAAGATGAATCTATAAATAAAGTCACGGTAATAAATCGCCTCAGCTATCTATTTTTACCCTAATCTTTTTCGCTTCTGTCAAATGTAAGTCCGCTCGTAATTGTTTGACCCGAACAACGAAATATTACTTAACGATGATTTCATAAAGTGCTGTTTACTAATTTATATACAAAGCGCGTTCTATTTCGAACGCTACTTTCTGTGTCAAAGATCCTGAAATTGTACGTGAAAAAAACCAGTAAATTACGGCTCGCATTATTTTCCACGAAAATATTCCAGAAAATTTATTGTTTCTTTCCCTTTCCTCTTCGAACAAACCATGAAATCGCCAACTATTACATTTAAGAAATTAGCCAAAAACAAAATGGTGGAACGAAATGAGTTTTAATGTTTTCGGTACACTACAAGTAATTACGTAATTCGGGCGTAAAGCAACAAAGTGGAACTTGTTATTGGATTTTAGATTTATATTTTTTTTTTGCAAAGAAAGTGAGCTCGAATCAAACAAGGATCCAGAAATTCTACGGATCTATTTCGAGCATATAAAGTTTCACGAGACTGGACGATCCATCCGCCCACGTGCCAAAAAAATTGATGAAGAAGATGATGGAGTTAAACGGTTTTTAAAGGATTCCAATTTGGTGTTGGAGATTGTTGGTATTTTTTTTTGGTGGTTAAAGGTTTATTGTTAATTTATAATAATTTTGGGGAAAAATTGTTGAGCTCGCGAGGCGTCGCGACGCCCTTATAAGGTTTCTGCCCACGTCGCCGGGACGTCTGCGGGCCGAAGACGCGCGCATCTCCTGCTATTCTCGTTTTCCTCCCGGTCTTTCCCCACTTTTCGCAGATAATCTTATATAAATCAGAAGAGACGATCGGACGGTTTTCATTTTTCGAGGGATTCCAGAAACAGAAAAAAAACACTAAAGCAATTCTATGTAAATACACCCTTTATATACGAAAATAAATTAATTTAAGTAACAATTGGAAGTAACCAAAATATATTTGTATAAAGAAACTTTAGAGAGCAACGCGAGTCTTGATGGGTGAGCGAAGGTAACGACGATTTAATTTTATTTATTTTTTTCTTAAATAACTAATGAGGTAAGATGCACCCAAATGCTCTCGATTTAAGTTCAATTGCGCTAAACAATACTTTACATTATAATAAAGATTCATATTTCTCTACGCCCATTGTCCATAGAATAGTCCTATCCGTTTGAACCGTAACCTCTTCATCGTCACTGTAAGTATTCGACGTGCTAACCAACTGTCCAAATTCCATTAAAGAGTTTTCTGTAAAACCAATATTAATCCAAATCCCAATACACCAAAAAAATATAACATACTCAAATTCCATTTCAATCCTGTCGTTGTTACTCTACAAGCACCTCCAATCGGTATTAATCCGCACCAAACCTTATCCTTCCGCAACTGCGCTGGAATCTTTATAGAATGTTCACCTTCATCCAGAAGCCAGCTCACGGAATCCGGACATACCAAATACACGTTCGTTTGAGGCATAAACTTCTTGGCCTTGTACAAGGTATTAACGTTCGAGAGGATTTGGTCTAAACGACCAGATGTTTCGGTCAGCACCAAGATGTTCTTCAAGTCCATTAACTTTTGCACCTCGAGAAGAGCTTTAGTGAAATCTGTTTCGTTTTGATCCGGCGTCGGGATTATTTTAGAGAGATTCGCAAACTTGGATACGGCCAAACGGGAAATCGAATCCATGTCACCCGTTATCAAATCCGGGTGCGGAAGTTTCTGGATCTGTCGGGGCTTCGTATACGTAATCCATCTATCCGTACCACCATCAACAGTCACACGAATCTTAGCTAATTAAAAACAAAAAATATTAAATTAATCATTAAATTAAAGTTATTTGAATTAACGCAACAATTAACAAAATAAAACAACTTCAATTCAAAGCCAATTTCTCTAATTACATCTTTTTTTTTATTTAGAGCAATTGAGTTGAAGTTGGGTTAGTAATATTAATAAATACTTTTTAAGACTACTATTAAAGTCTTAAAAAATCAGTAATAAAATCATTTGAATTAAATTAAGCAAAAAGTATGTTAAACCAAGAAAAAAATCTAATCTAAACAAATACGTTGTTATCAGGAATATTATTAGATATTATCAATAGGTCATAAACAATTCCACTAGTCCACACTATTGAGAAACATACATCGATTTGTAAATAAATTTAACAAACTTATTGCGCAAATTATCTATCAATAACGAAGGACGAATCAATTACGAATAGATGTATAAAACGAAAATGTGCTATAACATTCGTTTAATATTAACGTTATAAAATATAAAAAATTATAATTTAACAAAAAAATGAGAGCGAAAAGGAAAGTTTGGTATTATGTCTTCAGTTTGAATTTCTTCATTAGTTACCATTACTCCAGATTTTGAAAATTATGTACTCGGAATCGTAGTTCATGGGTCTGTTGAGTACAACGACTCCGTAATCCTTGCATGTTTCTTTATCCTTGTCAAGGATCAATTGCCATGGATTCCATTTTTGGATTTTGCTCATATTTTGTAATAACACCGTCTACCATACGCACATAACCTTAAACACTGTAATGTTTATTTTTTTGTATGCAATTAAGTATGCGGCTTGATGTACTTTTGTAGAGACTGGAAGATTCGTTTATAGCGAGGACATCTAACAGGTTTTTGTCGAGTTCGCGCAGCAGGAATCTAACGAGCAGAGACATCTGAGAGTGGTTAGCTGCAGCTACGATCTCAGCTCAGCAGGATCAATACTCTGTTACGTAAAGCGTTTAAAATATATTCTACCCATTGTTCATGTTTCTTTGTGAATTTGTGCTTTGTTTGTTACATATACACTTAATTATAATTAATAGAATTAATTTACAATTCTTTAAAATATAAAATTTTAAATTAAGTTTTAAAACCGTTTTCTAAGAATTGCTGATAAAATTGTTCATAATATGATTTAAAGTCTAAGACCAGTTTTCAATATGATTCATATTAAAATAAAATTATAATTCCTAATTAATATTAAAATGATTGTCTAAAGTTTTGAACATTTAACAATTTTTAAATTAAGTTTAAATATATCATCTCGAAAAGTTTTATAAATTGGATTTTCCAAATGAATAATTGTTTAAACTTTGATTTATACTTTATGAAGATTTCAATATAAGATAATTTAAGATGATTCATATTAAAATAAAATGATAATTTCTAATTAAAATTCACAGAATTGTTTATTTTCTTTAAAGTCATTTTAATTTAGCTTTAAAAAAAAATAGACTTTTGATATCTTCAAATATTATCAAAGATAAAATGAAAAGCTTGAATTTATCACTTAATATTACAACTTTCTCTCTATTCTTAGTAAAATTGTTAAATAATCTTGTAAAGAAATACGTTATAAGTATCAAATGTGTTAGTTTCTTAACATTTTTCATACAATATTTGGGATGAAAACATATTTGAAATGTTAGTAAGTGCATATAGATTATCGAAGATTTGATAACCGAAAGTCATGATTCCAGATGAGTGCTTGTTTATGAAAAGATTATTTTATTTGATTTGACAGATATAAATTGTGTACAAGTGTTGGTACTTCTAAAAAGAAAAAAATAAGGCAATCTTATTAATTTATGATATTAAAGAAACGATATCAAATAGTTATATAATAACGAATAATTTTATAATATAGCAATACCTCGCATAGTGCGACTTTTTTTTCCATTAACAGACAAGTTTCTTTTTGTGCGGTTTATTTGTGTATGTATACCAATCCCTCGTTTTACATGGTATTTTCTTTAAACGGTTTCGCTTTTACACGTTTTGACGAAAAAAAAATTTAAAAAAAACTATCCTATGCGTTTTTTTACATACCTTTCGATTTACACGGTTTTACATTCAACAAGTTACAATTTCGAATTACACGTTTTTCTCAAGAACCTATCTACCGTGTAAATGATGCATTTAGTTCCTCGATTAGTACGGTTTCAAGCAGTCTGGGAGACGGAAGCAAATGCTTTCTATAACAAAATATAAGAATTTACTAACATTTTGAAACAAAAAGAAACCCAAAATATCCCAATTAATGTGTATCCCAACACATTCTTATGTCAACTTATTTTTATCTTTAAATAATACCATCAATGCAATTGGATTCATTTTTTAATTGCGCTTACTTTTATTTTTTGAAAGTAAATAAGCTAAAATCTTTATCACAAAAAATATAATATTTATTAATTTTTTTTAATTCTAAATACCCAATTATTTTGTTTTAAAGTAATGTAATAAATAAAATATTTATGTAGAAGCCAAAATGTAACAAAAAAAACTATTTTCTATTTTTAATTACATAAGCAGTATTAGTAGTAATTACTGAGTATATATTATATTAAATTCCTATTCCGATCTTGCAAAATACATTAACGATGTTTCGTAATAGCAATACAATCTAAAGTAGCATTTGTTTATTTCAATTCAACGTTTGTTAAATGCTATCGTCTGTTATTATTTACGTACTCAAACAATGGTCGAAAAACAAATGTGGGAAATTAATTATTGTTTCTTTTATTTCGAAAAAAAAAAGTAAAAAACAGAACAAAGTGCACAGTCACCGGTTGATAAGGTAGCAATCAACAAAATAGTGTTTCCAACATTCGATACGGATTCGGCGAATCGCATTCGCCGAACAGCAGTTTTACATTACCGACGTTGTCACGACAGAAGCGTCCCATTACGCAACGTTGTGCGAAGCGAAACGATTCTTAAGCGTGAGCGCGGTACTTTTCCTTCTGCTTCACGTTGCTCAACGTTTAAAGACAATACTCACTGTTTGCACTCTCGCTATCTCTAGAAACACAAATTTATTTGCTGTATAAATTTGTACAATTCAAGTTCATTACTATCATTGTCATGACCTGCGTTATAATAATAGTATGAAAATAGTATTTTATGTTATTGTTTGATTTAAAACGTGAGTTGTAGTATACAATTCGTCGTATTACAGTTTAACTTTCAAATTTTTTGAGGTTTGAGTTTCGATTTTCAAATTGTTCGACGTAAATTTGTGATTAATCCATATCGAAATCCCAAAATTTATCTAATATAAAACAAGACATATAGTATAAACATCAATTGATTCATTCGACTTTCAAATTGTTTGAATTTCGAGTAAAGTAAATAAATTATTTTATAATTGTTATTGATTTTTTTTTAATTTATTTAGAAATAAAATAATACTTAAATCTAGTTTCGAAACCGATTTTTATTCGAGTTTCGAGATGTTTGTTTATAAGGATATATATAAACGTCAATATTTTGCAAAAAGTGACATTAACGGTTCTTTAACATTACTTCTTGATGAATCTTTAAAATCGACTTTCGAAATTTTTTTCGAGTTTAAAACAAATTTTCTGTTGCATTTTCAAGTTGATCGAACACTAAACAGTTCAAATTTGGAAGATATACTAAATTTATAATCAATAAAATAGTTTTTTTTTTGTAAATTATATAAATTAAATATAGTTAAAAGTTCAATTGGTTTTTATGTGACAATTATAGTTATGTTAAAATTTAATAATTTTAAAATTATTCATACAATATGTAAAAAAAAAATTCAGAACTTTTATCTCATTTATTTCGCAAGTAATTTTATGTTTAATTTTGCATTACTCATTTATTAAATTTCCAACATTATTTATGTTGTTTTTGGTGGCAACTGATATGTTTCGAACAGAACAGGATCCAATTGCATACGTCATCAAGAGATAGCACACGATAAACATATACGCTCTGATACGTTTTTCGAGAATCTTATCAAGATCTTAAATTGCTTAAACTTCTCTAATATTCTTCATATAATTACTATTAATAACCCAAGCAAAAACAAAATGACTTCTCGGTATCTGCTCAACGCATAAGCCTCAAAACAATTAACAATTTTTCCACCACAAAATAAAAAAATAAATAATTTCTTATTTGTTAATGATGTGTAACGTATCAATTAGCGTTCTACAAAGGCAGTACGAACTGGTAATAATTACGCTTCTGTTCATCTCTTCTAGACCGCACGCTTTAATCATTCATCCAAAAGGATTATTGTGTAACGCTTCTGATTAATGCGATCCGAACAAATAATAAAATATATAAAGAGAGACATTATCCAAGATAAAGTGTAAATGCTAAGTACATAGACGTTCAAACATTTGCCGACAAGCCGACCGTTTTTCTATGGATAAACGATGAAAGCATATCAAACAAAATAGGAAAGTCGTTCATAATTGGACACATTATCAAAAATGCATATTTTTCAAACGTATCACATGTTTATTTTCGCATCTCTGTTATTTCCACATAATTTAGCCCATTAAGATGATTTAATAGATAAACAAATTTTATGATAAGCATTAATTATAAAATTAAAATTATAATTCGAATACACAAATTTTTTTTCTATAAAAAATAAATGATAAAGATTTATCATGATTATGGACAATTACAAGTGCTGATAGTCATTAGTCGCGTGCGGTTAGGGAAATAATTGCAATTCTCATTCAAGTAAGAGCGAAGGTCGAGTTTACATAATAACTCGTAAGCAGGCATTTGTGAAATTTCATTTATGTTTGTTAACGTTGGAAGCTGCTACGATTCTAAATTAGTTTGTATCGAGCAGTGAGCGGTTAGAGATGGCGGAGTACTCTGTGCAGAATCTGGATGAGTTGCTCACCAAGTATTACGGGCAGCCGGTCAAGATATTGGAGACCAAATCGAAAATGTTGACCGCTCCAGGTGAGAACTACGGAAGCCTCATGTTGGCGCTGGATGTGACCATAGCGCTTCGCAAAGATCAGAAGCAACTGCATCTGGTGGCTAAGCTATTGCCGAAGAGTGAGTTCATGCGAGGACTATTTGATATATTTGTAACTTTTAAGAAAGAGATCGATGCCTATACCAAAGCTATACCAGCTTTGATTGAGTTCCAAAGGGATTATGGAGTAGATAATGTTATTGATTTCTTTGGGGAATGTTATGGAGCTAGATGCAGTTTATCCAATACGGAGAAAATCGATGAAGATGCTGTTATATTATTGGAGAATTTAAAATATGAGGGATATGATAACATCGATAGATTGGTAGGTTTCAACTTCGAAGAAGCTGAATTGATTTTGAAAGATCTAGCCATGTTCCATGCAGTTCCCATAGCGTTCAAAGCTCTCAAACCTAAAGAATTCGAGAAAAAGATAGGTCCTGCTATTATACGTCACAGAGGTATCGAATACGCTCATCCTTCCATGATAGAAAGTATTTACGATTGTCTACGAGATCACCTCAAGATAGCAGGATTTGAGCATCTGACAGAGAAAATCTTGAACATCTTAAGAAACACATTGCATTCGGAGCAGAAGAACAAGGTACCTCCAAATACACCATTCTTAACGTGGATCCACTTCGATTATTGGGTCAACAACACGATGCTGTTGCATGATAAAACCGGAAAACCGATTAAGAACAAGATGGTCGATTTGCAAATGATTCGCTACGACTCGTGCACGCGCGATTTACTTTTCGTCCTCTTCACGAGCATCAAAACAGAAGTTGTTAAATCACGATACGACGAGCTCATTAAAATTTACTACGACTCATTCATAAAATCGTTGGAAGTCTTCAAAATAGACCTTGAACCTTACAGTTGGGTCAACTTCTTGAAAGAAATTGATGCTTATGCAGCGTATGAACTTGAGCATATTCTCTTCATGTTAAAACCAATATTTACGATCAAAGGGTCCATCGAAAGCATGGACAATTTGGATGATAACGATATGAATAGACAAGACTTAATTGGCGAAGCCTTCACCAATAAACTTAAGGATACGATAGAAGCATACACGCAACGAAACTGGTTGTAAATTAAAGTAATTTTCACCCGAAAAATAAAAATTATGTTACGTAACATCAGTTGCTTTTTTCTTGTACATCCACATTTTTTTAAAATTTATTTTATAAGATTTTTTTATATGTACCAGCCTCATTATCAACATCGCATCAAAGGATATTGCGTAATAAAAATAACGCAATTTTATATAGCAATGAACTATGATGATTTCTATGTAATTGACTTGACGTGAAGTGAAAGTGATAAATAATTATTTTTTCTTGTTCCATTTATTTACTTTTTTTGTTGTTGAAATTATTTATAACACATTGAATAATTATTATATAATTATCAATAATAAATATAAGAATTCATTTATACTTGTTTTTTATTATTGCTATTGTGTTTATTACTGGAATTATTTTATATAGTCATGTTGTTTCGTACTTGTTTTTCCACTTAATTTCAAATTGCATTTGAAGTGATGCCGCGAGAATATTCTATTTATAAAATTAATTACATTTATATATATTATTTGTACACTTTGATAAATGTTATATGCAACATTTATTATCAATTATAGATAAATGGAAATTGGGTTTAATCTTCGATAGAACTTATTAAATAAATGGAAAGTTCAAAAATTGATCTATTTTGTTTTCTTTTATTCTCATGGGCGGATGTAGGCTTGGTCTCTATTGGCCTCGTCTAATCAAAGGGACCTCAAACAAATTTGAGATTGGGCCCTCAAATAATGTAACTCAAGGATGGTCTTATCTATTATGTCTGGTTATGGCTCATTAGAATTTTTTAGAGAGGGGGTGTCAGCATCAAATTAACTACAAAATAATATTTGAGTTAGAATATAAGAATTAATATTTTGTTTTTAAGTTGCTAAAACTCGACTTTCCCCGTCATCATCTACTTAACTGGTGGCCTAACAACTTAAATACGCCCCCCCCCCAAATAGTGTTACCGCAGAACATGTTAACAATCCGTCGCTGCTTTTGTTTGTTTGTAAAGATCATTAACTCACATTGACAATTTTAATATTTTTAGATGAATTAAATATATAGGTCAAATGAGAATAAACAAAAATAGAAACGAAAATATGTTTTACAGCCAAATTGCGAAATAAGTTATATTTAATTGTTGTGTACTGTTTTACAGCGTAAACCCTGCATGAAAGTATTTCATTACCTATACAATAAATGTATTATTTAAATATGCATATCTCGCGTAGTCCGAACTTTGTAAATCCGGATTAATCGAGGATTTTAAAACCGCATAAAAGAAAGACTTAACTATGTGAAGAAAAATACAATCATTTATGAATTAAAAAAATATTTTGTGAATTTATTTTATTTTGTTTTGAAATTTTCAAACCGGACTATAGAGAATCCGGACTGACTGAAGCCGTCCTATACGAGGTAATGCTGCAATTTTGAAATAAAATATTTTCTAATTTGATTAATTTTTAAATTAATTTTATATTACGTTAATTTATTTAATCCTGATGAAAAAAAAGCAACTATTTTCGTATTTTAATACATTTTTATGTACATAGTAACAAAATCTTTTAATTTGTATGATTTTTTTTTATAAATTATTCATTATTTTTTAATACGTTAACTTATTTACATTTAGATCAAAAAAACAATTTAAAATTTATACGATAAATTTTTAAATTAATTAAAGCATATTTTTTTTTTAATATTGGTTTCATTAAATACCTATAATAATTACAAATATATTTTCAGTTAAAGAATAATATTTTTTTAGAAAGATTTGCAAAGACATGAAATTTTTATAAATAGAAATAGTTTTGGCAGAAAAATTGTGGTCAATAGCCTTTTCGTGTTTTAATGTAAGAAATTTAATTGGACGATTTTGTAATAATTATGTAATCTTTAATTTTACCCATTTGGCAATAACTTGCTTTTGATACTGTCGGGATTATGGTTGTCGGGATTTCGATTGTCTAGTTACGCCACTGCCTTTGTAACAGTTTTGTTTTCCTTCAACATGGTTATATGTTTTACTTTTTTTATTGTTAAGGAAATTTAATAATGTATATTTAATTATTATTTTAACAAACAGTTATTTAACGTTCAATATAGTTTAAATAATAAAGCAACTAATTATGTATTATTTCTATGAAAAAATACCAATTAAAATTCATGCTTCGGGCTTTTCAAAAAGCATTAAGAATAATTAAGTATAATTATTATATTAAAAAAAACGCTTCATTCATACATGCTTTTTACTCTAGCATTCCATTCATGAATTCTTGGAATTTACGCAAAGTTGTTTATATTTCCTTTCGCGAATTATAAAAAAAGTGTTTAATTTATAAATATACAAATATCTATTGATTGTCATTTAATTTATTTAATATTTATTACTTAATATTTTTATAATTACAATTTTTGATATAATTAAAAAAACAAACCAGACTATAATGAAACAGGACTATTCGAAGCCACACTAATTTTAATTTAGTTTTTTGAAAATGTTGTTAATAATTCTAGATTATTTAGTTTATATATAATTTTCTTAGAAAATTCTATGGCTTTCCCAAATGAATTTGACTTTCTAGGGTTAACAGAGGTCAGCAACCTATGACCCATTGCTTACTAAGCAGATGCACAGCGTCAATTGAATATTGAATGATTCATCTATTTTTGTAAAAAAATAATACTTGAAATAAACAAATAATACTGAAACTTCAATTTTAATTTAACTACTTAATATAGTGATTTTTTTGAACAAATAATTTAATTTAAAATAAAGCAACTTTTAATTGTTTTTATGTTTTGAATTATAATCACTTAATCAATTTATATTTACTTTTTGTGAAAACTTTATTATTATATCAATAATAAATATAACGAGTTAATTGTTGTTTAAACATTGTTTTCAATAAGAATTTCTGTTTTATTTGGTTTTTATTATGTTATGTGCGATAGTTTACAAAAAAATATTGTCTATATTCTTTCATAAATATTTCTAATAATATTGCTTGTCGTAAAACCTTACTTTTTTTTAACTTTTATTTATTATTCACAACCTGTCACATTTAGGCAATAAATAGAATAATAAATACCACACAGAGTCCTGGTAATTAGTTCCACCAATATCCTGCACAGCTTAAAACCGGACTAAGTACGAACTTTAAAATTATATACAAATACGAATAAACTGTAGAAAAGGAGACTTGACTTTATAAAGGAAAAAATCGATCAAAATTTGCTTTTTGAAATTTACAAACCGGACTATAGTAGATTCGCACAGATCATAATAACAAAAAATATCAACGTTGAAAATTTCTATTATATAAAATTTTAAATATTTATTGAAAGTAAAACAATTATAAATTAATATAACAGACAATTATTTGCAATTTCATACAAATGTATTAAATTATTAACAATTATTTGGTATTGCGTGTTTCGGTGAAATCAGTGACTTTTTTTTTTACTTATGAATGTATTTTGAATTGTATTTAAATGGTACATTGGTTTATGGTTTATTTCCAAGGCTACCGTGCATAAATAGTCATAATTTTGACTGTGCGATACATAAACTTCAATTTTAATATTACTCATAAGCATTTCCACATATCGAAGTTTGTATTATTTTTCCGCGCAAAATTGTCGAAAAGATAAATTTGTCGTTAAATGCTCTGATAAAGTCAAGTTTCATAATTTATCATTTTCTTTGCGAAGTAATTCTATACTTGAGCAAACAAACTAATAATTCTGTCAGTAATAGAATTTAAAAATATTGTATGCGTATTAACTTATGAATTATTAACCTAATTATGGTTTGAATTGTCTTTTAGATAATATTAATTGCAAATACAATAGGCAACTGCAGACCGATACGAAAAAGTGTATTTATAGAAGTGCCATATCATCGTAATAGAATGAGACTTTCGTTGCACATTGCGTGCATAAACTTGAATATTATTTACATGGAATGAGCTTAAAATCTGCAACATTAAATACACATCTCCAACACATTTTCTTTGCGAAGTAATTCTATACTTGAGCAAACAAACTAATAATTCTCTCAGTAATAGAATTTAAAAATATTGTATGCGTATTAACTTATGAATTATTAACCTAATTATGGTTTGAATTGTCTTTTAGATAATATTAATTGCAAATACAATAGGCAACTGCAGACCGATACGAAAAAGTGTATTTATAGAAGTGCCATATCATCGTAATAGAATGAGACTTTCGTTGCACATTGCGTGCATAAACTTGAATATTATTTACATGGAATGAGCTTAAAATCTGCAACATTAAATACACATCTCACTTTGTAGATAAAGTTTTATATTGATTTTAAGAAAATTAATTTTTATAAAAAAATATGTAATTATGAAGAAATATTATTTATAAATATTTGTATCTAATTTCGACCGATAGGTCCAAAGTTCGAAGTATATTTTTTTTTAATAGAAAGCAATGTTTAGGGAAAAAAATCTAATGTTATATATTATTTTTATTTGATTATAAGTTACGTTGTTTATATTACTGAATAAATATTATTGTTCTGAATATTTTTTATAATATAAATATTAAAGTAGTTCATGGAAAGACATATTTTTTTGCAACGATTCCTGTTTTTTTTGGAATTATGTATTCACTTTTTATGTTTTTTGTAGGGCAACTAATAGCCGAATGGTTAAGTCGCCCTAAGTTCAGCATATGAACCATCAGCCAAGTCGATGAACAGTGTTAAGGATAGCAGCAGATTCAAGGTCAAAGGAAATAGTGGAATCGCAGAGCATCAATATACTAATGAAGTTAACATACAAGACGACAGCCAAGCCTGTCATACGCAATCTTAAATTAACAGATTGTAAATAAAATTACACAATAGACCCAATAGTTGATTATTCTGATATAAATATATTTTTATTATAATAATATATGTTTAATGAACGTATACTTTAAATTGTTTAAATAACTACAAAATGTGTGTATTAAAAATATAAATGAAATGTAATGTAATAATGTAACTATCCATGTGGATATGTATTTCTTTTAAGTATACAATAAACTATTGTGTCTCATGTATGTTGGGAATTGAATTTAATTGGTTTTATATAACTCTGTTAGCAATTGTAAAAGAAGTTTTAATGGAGCGGTCGGCATATCGGGGTAAATTATCCCAAAGAATTCACAGATACTCCGTGAATACTCCTTTGGGGCAACGAGGACAAATATATTAGAGTTCACCCACTTGCCATCATCTAAATACAGGAATTCACCTGTAGACATATTGAATTTATCACTTTTTAGAAGCTTTTCATTAAAATTGAAAACTAGTTTTATTATTATAATATTTGTAGACTTTTATTTTCATTATTAAAAAAAATGGATATTGTTATAATTTGCAGAAATATTAAATGTTCCACTTTTATTACAAGACTTTCATGAAAAATTGGCTATAGAACACTAGTTTTATTATGATAATGTTTATAGACTTTTATTTTCATTTAAAAAATGTTTTTTAAACTTTTGTAATTATTTGTGGCTATTAAATAGGAAGTTTATAATATGTATTAGCATCGCTTGTTATAAACAGTATTTTTTATTTATAATTAATTAAAAAATTAGAAAAGTACATAATATTTTAGATTTGGTTTTTAATTTTTTTAAACAGTTTTTTAAAATTTTATTATATTTATATGAATATGTTTTAATTTTATTATTTATTTATGGGACTGTTATAATAAATATTATTATATTTTAATTTTTATTATAATTTTAAAAAAATGACGTTTTTTTTTATAATTTCCCTGTAATTATTTATGTCAGTTGTATGCTTTAGAAATTATTATTATTAATTGAGATGTTGTTGATTTGTAACAATATCATTTGATGCATTGAAATAACACAGTGTTTGCGTACATGGTGAATTAATGTAATTTGTCGTATCGTTTGGTAAGTACATACAATTAAAAATATAATTACGATTCCAATTTCGCTCAATTAAAAACAATTGAAGAGAAAAATAAATTTGAAGTTTCGTTGTGTCATTGTCAAATGTTTGTATTTCGCTGCGTTGCGTATCGTTTTTTTTTCGTGATTAATGATAAATTTTGTGACTTTATGATTATTTAAGTAGTGGATTTGTAAATTTTGTATGATTAATGTAGGAAATAAGTTTATTGGTTTTAATAGCGCAATTGGAAGTAATGCAAGTGGCGTTGCGCCATAGAGCAGAATGTGACGGTCATGTTGTGGGTTCAAGGCCAAGTATCGTTTAGAAATGGGTCTTCGCAAGATGATGAACTTGGAGAAATTTAAATTCGTGATGAAGGAAAAGGCACAGAGAGAGCACCGTTTCTGATGCGGCCAAAAAGTGTCGGTATTTTTGTGTGTTTAATTATAGTCGGACGGTGGTGACACGAGCAGCAGTTGTCTCGGTTCTACTCAGCGTGTATAGTATACGATTATATTATTTATTTTGCCATTGGTCGCATGTGTTTTGATAGCGCATCGTGCTGAGCGCGACCACCACGCACTTATTACAAAACCAATCCGATAACATCACTCATCGCCAGTCATTCAATTGAGTAACAAGTGCTTCAAAAAGATGCCCGAGTTCGAAGTGAAAAACTTGGATAAGATCCTATCCGATTCCCTCGGCAAGGATGTGGTGGTTATAGAACAGCGGAGCAAATTCCTGACACCACCTGGTGAACACTATGGAAGCATCATGCTGGCGCTCGACGCTACAGTTAAGATCGATGGTAAAGAGGAAATCTTGCCACTGGTTGCGAAGATGCTTCCAGCAAGTGATATGCTTCGAGTTGCTTTCGATTCCGGCGTGACGTTCCAGAAAGAAATTGACGCATACACAAAAACCATACCGGCTTTAGTGCAGTTCCAGAGGGATTACAACGTTCCGGAACACAAGATCCTGGACATCTTCCCGAAATGTTTCGGAGCTCGCATCAGTTTAGATAAGGATGAAGTGGATGAGAACGCAGTGCTGATCTTCGAGAATCTGAAGGTGAAAGGTTACGATACCGGAGATAGGTTTGTAGGCTTTGATCTTCCGCATGCACAGATGATCGTCAAAGATTTAGCCAAATTTCACGCCGTTCCTATTGCTATGAAGAAGCTTCGTCCGAACGATTTCGACAAGTACGTAGGACCTTGCATCATCCCGAACGCTGGTATTGAAACTTTGCCCGATGACATCGCAGCCGCCTTCACAGATAGCATTATAGAAATCGGGAAAACCATCCCTGAGCTCAGTCCTTACTTGGAAAAGATTACAGAGATTGTTTTGACTAGCACCGAAGATATGAAAAACAAGAATGGGCCTCCGATAATCACCCCGTACGCTACAGCAGTCCATTCAGATTACTGGGTTAACAACACTATGGTTCTGAGAGACGCCAATGGAAATCCGCTGAAAAATAAAATAGTCGACCTACAAATCATGCAATACGACCACGCTTTACGTGATTTGATCTTCTTCTTGTTCACTAGCGTACAAAATCCAGTCCTCGACGCCCATTACGATGATCTTATCAAATTGTATCATGAAACATTTTACGATTACTTGAAAGACTTCGGCGCCGAAAGCGACGATTATTCCTGGAAAAATTTCCTAACCGAATTGGAGGATATTGGGCCCAAAGAGTTCCATCACGTCGCCTTCATGCTTAAGCCAATCTTCACAGAAAAGGGAAAAATCAACAACCTCTCCGAATTCAAACCCAGCGACTGGGGAAGACGGGACCTCATCGGCCCAGCCCACAAGCAGAAACTTAAGGACACAATCCTCGCCTACGTTAAGAGAAATTGGATATAATCCCAATCCAATAATCGAATTATTTATTCCCCAATTAATCAAAGTATTCTTAGACTAGAGTTGAATGTGATTCGTTAAAGAAATCACGACTAGTTCTATTAATGAAATTGTACTTTAGACAAATTTCTACCTAAAAACTAACGTTATTGGATTTGAAATTCCTGAGTTTAGTTCAATTGTGATTTAAAATCATAATGTTATTACTGTTTTATGTACCTAAAAATTTAATAAATCTATTTTTTGAGCATATTTTATTGATTCTAGTAAATTAGTTCCTTCACAAAAGAAAATTAATAATATCGAACTAGCATTTAATTGCAAATTATTGACTTTCTTTCTCAAATAATGAACGTAATTACAGCACGAATGCGAAATAAAAATTGATGGAGTGTTTATGAAATTAAGGCTTCTGTTTATTTTTCGTTTAATTAAATCGATAACTCTTCAAGGATGTTTGTGAATTTGATGGAGTGGGGCTTAAAATACGGGATTGATAGTGACTATCAACATGAAATTCGTTAAAGCGCAGAAATAATGCATAATAATAATAATGATAATTGTTAGTCGGAATTGTGAAAATTATCGTTAATTGAATTAACGTCAAGGACGTTGGTTCGTTATTGAAAACACACGTTTGGTGGACTTTTCTCTCGGATTTTTTTTCATTGGAATTTGCAATTTAATATATTCGTTGGATGCAACATTTTTTTATCATCTCCGACGTTCATTTCAAAGCCTGACAATTAATTTGGACTTTGGTACAAGCATTTCCTTTGAATCGCCAAAATGAGATAAATGCTTATAAAATTTAGTCTATCAAACACGTCAGCATTTGTTGTAATTATTTTGACAGGGTCATAAGTATGAAAAATTGTGAAGTTGTTTACGAATTGAGCTTTAAAGTTTTACATATAAATTATCCCTACTCAAATAGGATAATTACTTGATAGTGAATGCATTACAAGGAATATTACTTATAAGGATAATGTTTTTTTGTCACTTGTATGATGATCACAAAATATTTTGAAAGAAAAGAACTTGATTTGTTTTTATTTGTTAATTATCTAATTTATTAAATACATTTTTTTTTTCAAAATGAATAAACAATAATAAGTCTTTTTGGTAAAAAAAATAGTCGTGTCACTTGTCTAAAAAATATAAATAAAAACAGTATCATTATTTAAATTGCATGCATAAAATATATATTTAGAAATAAACTACAGACTATGACGTAACAAATAATTCATTATAATAATATTATTTTTGTTAGCAAACAATTAAAAACTATTCGTTTATTAATTATAAACAAAAATCTACTTTGTTTGAAATGATTGGTAGCTCGAAAATTCAGTGTATTGAATAATATTTAAACATAAACTAAAGTAAACTAGTACGCTTTCTAAACTAATACTCGTAATATATAGTTGAGTAGATAATAGAAACTGTAAACGATATAATATCAGAGTAAATAATAAATCAAGCTTGATTGAATTTTAGGTAATCATCCAACCATTTCTCGATAACCGGCAGATTGTCGGTGCTCCATTTGGACTCCTCTTTAATATTCTTTAAAGCTTTTTCGACGACGAAGTCGGCCGTTCCGAATTCACCTTGCTTCTCCAGGTAGAATTGAGCGACCATATCGAGTCCTTCTTGAGTCTTGAAAACACTTGTTGCTGAAGTAATCAAGCTGTTCCACAAATGCGCTTTCTTCTCGAATCTACAAATTAAAATAATCAAGTAAATAACAAAAAAAAAATAATGATACAAAAAAACATATACAGTAAATACAAAATAAAATTGATCAAATGTATTGCGTAACAGGCGAAAGTATATACGTTTTTTCTGTTTGTTATTGTGGGTCATTTCGATAAGGAAGTGGACGTGTACGTGTCTAATTTGAATTGCGGCAGTCACCTTGCTTTACGAACGACTCCGAAATGATAAGTTGCCTATCGCATGGCGAGTCACGTAGTTACGATGCAATTAGTGCCCTTGCTCAATGTATTATAACCCGTCTTTATTTATTGACACGGAAATGCAGTCACATTGACGTCACCATCGGGCATAGATCAACTTCTTTGAATTTTTAGATGTCGCGACTAGGAAATTGTAATCATCCAAATTTTTTGTTTAACGCAAATCTCAAAAAAAAAATGTGCGATTAGTGTCAGCTAACGATATCTGCTTCTTGCGACTGAACTATCAATTCTGACCTCAAAAAACATGCAGATTATCTTCGACGGATTCGAGTACATGACGTATCATTATTAGCGGTATTTGTTTGTTTGTTTCGTTTTGAGGATTCATACCTCGCTTTCAGAGGTTTCCAGTTCTTGTCGAGGAAGTTGAAGAGTGTGGTGTATCCGTTCGCGCCACCTGTCAACATGCTGAAAATCAGGTAGATGTCGTTGTCGGTGAAGTGACGGTTCTCCTGAAGGACAGTGATGTTCAGTAGTTTTTCAATCTTCCATGAGTCTATCGGGCAACCCGCCAACGTTTTCAGGAGGTACGTGCGTTCGTTGGCTTTGCGGGATTCCGGGAAATTGATGATCCTCTGCAAACCAAACTCCCACTCGGCTTTGGTTCCCCATTTGAAAACGGGACAGATGTACTGATTTGCAACGCTAAAAACAAACCACACTGAGAATTAAAATTAGGTTAATTAGGTCGATGACATTTATCTAGAACTATTAATACCGATAGTAGTACTAATACTAGTGTTTTCAATATAAGTGTTAGTACTCTTCATATAACTGTGTAGTATAAAATATCGTGTTAAAAGTAAAGTATTGTAGAAACTCTGAAATAACTATATTTGAATTAATTAGATTTTTGGCTAATGACCAATGCATAATTAAATAATATTAACAAAATAATGAGGCTAACAAAACTATATAAGCTTATCGTAATGACCGGTTGCACAACAGACAATAAATATAACCGGACAGTTATAAACCTATTAGTAATTTTGTTGCATACGTAAATATTAAAGAAATTTCTCTTATTTGTTGATAAATTTGAAATAAATAAAAAAAATATATACAAAACTTACGGATTTCCTTCATCCGGATTACCAATTTGCATCCACTTCTTGAATGCTGCTTGTGCTTCCTCGATGCATGGTTTGTATCCGGCTTGGCACAAGAATACCTAAAAATTAAAGATTAAAAATTTGCACTACGTTTCTTTATTTTTTAAATTGTATGTAAAATACCTTTGAAGAACTCCTCAAATGCGCTCTACCTTCTGTCTCTCCATCTTCTGGCTCATTTCCCAATTCTTCGTACAACGGTGTTAGCAAAAGTCTGACGTAAGTCTGAAAGTCATTTAATTAATTAAATTGCTTTTTCCGCGTTGTAATTTGCAAATGATGAGGTTATTTATCTTATTTCAGGGTTTTCCAGTTTATACATTAGTTTTGTTTTATTCATATGTAACCTTTATACTCACTTTTATATTGGCATCGCTTCTGAGAATATTCTTTATTATTTTTATAAGAATTATTACAATTATTGGATTTTCCCAATACAATTAACAATAATATTGATTATTATAATAAAAAAGTAATAACTATTTCCATGTGGATTGGTAATATTATTTAGAATCCTAATTGGAGAATTAACTTTCTTGTGGTTTTCAATATATTTCCTTTAAATATCATATGTATATATCTTAACTTCTTATGTATGTTATGAAAATTATGAGATTAAAGTATCAAATGATGGAAGATGTATTAAGTAAGGAAACATTATTTGTTACCTGGAATTTCTGGTGGACTTCGGAGCTGTCAATGTGTCTACCAATGTGATCAATCATGGTAAAGACTGGATCCCAGGCAAGATACTCCCTTTCGTATTTCAGAAACAGAGTCATGTTCAAAGCAGTGCCGAAGCACAAATCTCCAGCGTAAGCTAAGTTCCAGGCATCATGAAGCAATTTAGCTCTGGTGTTAACAGGAACTTTGGTTCTAACATCATCGTTCATGAGGTATTGAGCAAGCATGTTCCAATTCTTATTGTCGTAGTTAACAGGGAATGGGCCTAAGAACAAAACAAAACAATTGTATTAATTATTGTTAAATAAGCGTAGCGATAAACAAAACCTATTTCTTCAGGATTGATAATAATGAACATATCAGAAACGGGCATATCATTCAAAACAATTTCCTTCTCCTTTTTGATCCACATCATCGGTGTACTATTTCCAAAGTTCAGTTTATCTTCTCTGACCATGACCAAAGGAATCCACCAAAGGAATTTATCTTGATCAGGTACATCATGCGGTCTTTCCCTCAGGTAAACTCTCTACAAATTTTAAATTGTGATACCAAACATATTTTGTTATATTGAAATGAAGAAACCTGTTCAATTTTTGCAGTTTTATTTTCATAATCCCTCACAACGTTCAAAACTGGTAACCTATCTTTAGTGATCCAAGATGCGGCAATCTCATTGACTGAAATAGATGTATCAAGGACATTATCGTTACGAGCTTGAGTAGTGAGTGTTGACCAAATATCGTCACTGAAGAATGTTTTGTATTGTCTGTCGGACATGAACTTTTGAAGACCAGCTCTGAAAGTCTTCTCGCCTAGTGTGTAATTTAACATTCTAAAAATTAATTCCGTCTTTGCTGAGGCCGAATCCTGCTTGATGGCTGTGCTCTTTCCATGAGGATAACGCTTGCTGAATTCGTAATAAATCGAATAGAGCATCGTCATCGGCCAGTTGTTGAAGGTCTCGTGTCCGTCATTGATCTACAACCGCAATGTTAATGTTTTATTAAACTACACAATTTACAGCTATTTACTTTCTGCGTTGTATACGCTGTTAAATATCTTGCTAAAGCATTGTTAACGTGAGCATCACTCCACCAGTATGGAGTAGCCAATGAACCCAACCATTGGTAAACCAATTCTTGAGAGATGTGCCAAGTCTTTTTTCCCGCCATTTCGCTTTCCCTAAAAATATTTATTATATTAGCTTTGAAATATATATTTAATTTTCTTTAATTCACTTGAAAAGAATTAATCCCCAATTGTCGGCCGGTCTTATGGCTTGGTAGTTTGGTAAAGCCAAGCAGTCCAATTTAGGTAGAGGATATTTGGTTCCCCAAAATTTTTGGATAATCTTCAAAGACCTTGCTACTTTCAAAGTAGTATTGTTGAAGCTCAACAGGAAATCTGGCCTTGCGAAAACTCTGACTATTGGCATTCTTTCCCTTTCACCTCCACTGTTGTAAGTGATTGAAGGGAAGTTAGTGACGACGACTCCAACGGTGAATGTAGACATCGGAGGAGTTTGCCTGAAGTGGTCCCAAACCCATTTCGGTTCCGTTTCACTAAATTACAGCAGTTTTCAGTAATTAAAATAATAATTCAATTATGTTAATAGCTCACGATGCTTCGGACCATTCCAAAGGCATGTTGGACAAGGAATTCATGTTCTTGTATCTGGCAATGCTAACCAAGAAAGGAACCTTGAAAGCCGGTTCATCGAAGCAAGGGAACATACTTCTAGCTAAGTTTGGTCTTAGATGAGATGCGATGTACCATTTCGATTCACCAGTTACAGGATCATCGTAGTTATGCATGAAGAGACCTTCACTAGTCTCGTTGTTCATCTTGCCGTTGTAAGTAATATAGAGTTCACTTTGGGTACCTTCTCCAATCTTCTTCTCCAATTTGATGACCATAGGCTTCTTGGGAAGTCGCACCACATCCTTTATTTTTAATTTGGTATTTGGAGGAATCACGGAAGAGAACTTAGTCCTAAAGTATTATCAATCAATACAACGAATCTTTTTAATTTAAGATTTGAAATTTACGTGAGATCATCGGCAACGTATTGCGTGACATCGACTTCGTTTATTTCCAATTCCTCATCGGCGTGCAGGACGATTTCGTCAGTTGCAGTGACCCATGTCATGTTGATCCAAACGGTTCCTTTGAAAGTGCGTGTTTCTGGGATAGGCTGTATTTCGAGTTTGTAGAACGTTGGGACGACATTGCGAGGTAGTCTGTTATCAGATATTAATCCGTGAGCTGCTATTAAATCTATACTTCGCTTTACACATAATGACTAAAAAGTAATACTTATTACATTTGAAATAAATTTAAATTAATTGATACTTATACCTGGGATAGGAAAAGGCTAAGCAGCACAAAGCTGCGTATTGTTAAATTCATGGTTTTATATTCTCTTCGGTGTCTGAAATACATAAATAAGAAAATCATCATCATAAATTTATAGAAAAAAAGACTGCAGTTGACAGACTGATGGAAGAAGACATCAGGTAGTAATAGTACTGTACGTCTGAATGAAGCCGCACTATGTGAGTTATAGCTATAAATGTAACTTAACTAATCATAATGAACATATCTCAAGTAATGTTAAAAATATGTATGTTTTTCAAAAAGCTTATATTATTTGAAATATTCTATTTACACTTATCGCTGGAAAGTAGTTAATGGAGTAAATTATTATATTCAATGTACGCACACATATTTTTTTTAATAAATGGAGTTATACATTTACGTAAATATGTATACATTTATGAAGGACATTTTTGTTTCTAATATTTTTTTTTTTAAAGAATTCAATATTGAACTGTTGACTACAGTGAATTAGAACTTGGAAAAATTATGAATAATTTATGTTAAATGTTGTTATTATTTGAAATATTCTGTTTGTACTTGTCACTGAAAAGATGTTAATAACATAAATGTATATACTTGTCACTGTATGCAAATAACAATTTGAAAAATTATGTATTCTTACATAATTAACCAAAGTTTTTACATATACATATAATTTTGAATACAACAAATGTATAGAAATATCAAATCATCAAAATAAATAAATATTTTTTTACGTTGTACAAATCACAAACTAAAATGCGTCATAAAAAAATTATGAACATTTGGGTTAGGTTAAATTCGGTCATGTTTACTGATGTAAATATTAGAACATGTGCTTTACTAAGTACTTAAAATTTGAGATAAAGATTAGGTTGTAAATGTAAATATATTTAGAATCTGAGATTAAGATAGGTTAGGTTTGGTTAGTAAATGTAAAGTTAGATTAGGTTAATTTAGGTTGACCGTTTCAATAAAAAAATCGCGATATGACTCTGATTCTTCACTAAATTATGTTTCTTTGTCTTTATTTTAATACAACAATCCCAAAAATACAATTCGGGGATACTGGGATATCTAAACTAAAAAAAAAGAGAAATATCGGGACGGGACTTTATTTAGCTGGATTAGGTTATATATTTTGAGCTTAGCATAGGTTAGGTAGAGCTATTAAATGAAGAGTCCAATAAGGTTATTTTAAGGAAGATTGTATTAGTTTTATATAGCTATTGATTAAATTAGGTCAAGTAAATTTTTTGATAAGAATAACATACATTATCATATTTAATTGAATCAATTGTTTAATTTTATTAGGTTAGGTTAGTCTTATATAAGCGGTTACATAATTTTGAGCTACACAATTTATTGTATAATAATATAACAATAACATATAACAACTGTTAATTCATAACGACAATTGAAATAAACAAAATGCATTAATTTCATCTTTAATTGAGTGATATTAATATGTGATTTTTGCTTGTAATCAGGTATCAGATAACGAAAACAAAATTTCGCTTTTCCGTACTAATCGATTTCGCATAGTGGAAATTATGAAAATTTATAGAGAGCAATTTCGCTTTATCGCACAGCATCGGCGTGTCAAATTCCTTTTAGAAAAATATTATGCAGTATTTTCATATTACTTTCTGCATCGTGCTTTTCTGATTAAAACGTGGACACGAATACGATTTGAAACACGTCCGATCCGATCCAGCGACCCGATGACTGCCGTTCATACGGTAATCCAGTGTAATCGCAACGGCGGTAGCAGTGCGTATTTTGATTGTATAAATATAATGCAAATCTATTATCTTGTATTTGCGTAATAAAATTAGTTAAACAAATGGTTCGCAGCAAGCAGAGCAGAACAGAAATAATGAGTGAGGACAATCGAAAAAAAATATGGGAAGCAAACGCGCGCTCTTCTGTATCTTCCTCGCTTTTCTATCTTCGATACGAAATATCAGCTCCAACCAAGATGTAAGTACGAATCCTTTAATTTAATCTGGATTTTAGGATTGTTTGATTTCGTAGTTCTGCTTGGAGGGAATCGAGTATGTTGGAGACGATAAAGTTACTTGGAAATCGGGGAGAGGATCGAGCATTTCGCATCCAGCGTGCTTGGATTTCAACAAGAAACTGGTAATCAGAACGTGCGTCAATGGTACATGGGTCGGCGGAAAGTGTATGGAAGTTTTAAGTGCGTGCGACGAGAACGGTTTTTACAAGCACGGCGATTCCTGTTTCGGGATTATTTTTGGTGAAAGCTACGACACGCCTTGCCCGGATGGAAGCTACAAGTACTACAACTATACTCAACTATCCAACAGCGAAAACTTCTGGATGCCCTTGAAGAACAGGAATGGAAGGTACATTTACACGTCAATCGATAAATTCAACGGAATGGAATGGTTGCCTATGACGAGAATGAACAAAGATTGCATAATCAAAAACCTAACAGATTTCGAGCAAGTCGATTGCGCCTCTAAATTCAACCATATGTGCATCAATAAATCTCATTTTAAGATGCAAACTACATCGAAAAAGAACGTTCGCTTAGAGTTGAAGCGCGATTCAAAGAAGGAAAGATTAATCCTTAAAGTCTACTCTCCAGAAAAGCTAATGAGGATGTTAGACGATGAGAGAAAATACGCTATTTACTGTTACACTAACGCCAAAAAGAACGCCTTGAAATCTTTAGTTAATCTTAAACAAGTATACAATAGCTCGGTGAACAGCCAATCCAAACAGATAGAGCAACTATTGATTTATCAAATTAAACCTGAAGATTATCCGGGACAGTACTGGTGCAAAGCTTACAATTTATCAGAATCTGAAATAAACTCGAATACGTTGATTGCTCAAAAGAAGGAAGTGGGTAACGAATTTTCATTAAAAATTCGCATTATTAACAACATTTGTCCCGAATCTTGCAACATAAGTACTGTGAGTAAACACCTAGAAAATTACGGTTTGTACCGAGTATTTTCAAGAATCAAAAAGGAAATACGCGTGATGGATTACCAAAATAATACTGTGCTTCTTCACATAACAACCAAAAAGAATAACGATATTTCCGATGATTATATGAAGTTGATGAACGCTTCTAATGAAATCCCTACTGAATTCAAATTAGACTATATTCGGAGCAGCGAGTATTGTTTACCTGAAATGAGTAGTAACACTTATTGGAATTTGACTAGCTTAGGTACAAAAGTAGCTCCCAGAGATCTTTGCTTGAATCCTAGAGGATTCCCGATAACAAGGACGTGTTTGGGTGATTTTTTGTATGGAGCTTATTGGAGCGATAATTTATATCAATGCAACGATCGAGTTTCTCTAAATTATAAAACGGAGATACTCTACAAAATAGCTACTGCAAATATAACAAGTAACGTTACTGAGACTATAAAACATATTACTGCCGATTCGAGCGATTTGACTTCTGTGGATTTCTACTTCGTTGCTCGGACTTTATACGATCTTTCATCAAAGAAAGACAAGGATGAGCAAGATAAAGTCGTTGTTAATTTAATCGACACCATTGATAATATAATGGCTGGAAAAGTGGAGGCTTTGAAGGAGTCTCAAGTACATTTAAATGCGACTGATACAATTTTGAACGCAATTGAAAATATTTTGATGAACGACATCGTGGACGAATATTTAGGTGATGGCGATTTCTTGATCAGAAAAGATAAATTCCTTGTGCACGTTACCAAACCATTTATGAGCAACATCAGTGGTATTGCTGTATATTCTAATGGAGAAAACGAGATTTTCGATAAAGGCGAAGTGGTTAGAATGAAGCTAAACCAAACTTTCGATGATTTAACCAAAGTTAATTTAGATTTGGCTGTTTATGCTCCTCTGAAACTCTTAGAAAATATGATCATTGATGAAGAAGATAAACTTAATCTGACTATTATAACAACTATATTTTACAACGATAAATTATTTAATACTGTAGAAGAAACTAATTCCACGACTTTTGGTAAAGTTATTAGTGTGAGTATACCTAATTTCGGGTTATTTTTGGAGGAACCTATACCACTTCTCTTCAGAAACAAGATTGGAAAGGAGTTTGATAGCGAATGCGCTTATTGGGATTACGGTTCGAATTCGCCTAATAAATCAGGGAGATGGTCTTCGAACGGTGGGAATTACATGGATTCTAATGATCAGGAATTTTCTAAGTGCGCATTCACTCATTTGACCCATTTCGCTTTATTAATAATGAGTCAAAAGTTGCTGGTGCATGAAGATCAGGAGTGGCCTCATTTCGAAGACTATTTCGGTGATATCGAGGATCACGACAGCGCTTTGAACATAATAACTATTATTGGTTGCGCTCTTTCTTTATTTGGTATAAGTGGCATCTTCCTCACGGCTGTATGCTTCAGGAAGTGGAGACAAAAGGCTGGAACTAAGATACTTCTACAACTATCAATAACAATTTCTTTGGAGATTGTTGTAGTCCATATAGCTGATTCTAAGTATTTACCAAACGCGACTTGGGGTTGTAACGCTGTAGGAATCTGTTTGCATTACGTGGTTTTATCTAAATTTTCGTGGATGTTCGTTTCGGCTATATTACAATATATTCGTTTTGTTAAAGTCTTCGCAGTTCTTCCACCGAGAATTGTATTGAAAGCTATGATTTTCGGATGGTGCATCCCTTTGCTACCTGTGACTTTAGTTGTGAGTTTCATGCCTAATAACTATAATTTGGGAGTACAAAATTTTTGTTACCCAACTGGTCTAGGTTTGTATTTGGGGATCTTCGCGCCGATAGTTTTGATAGTTACTGCAAATCTCATAGTATTTACTTTAGTGATGAAGAATGTTTTGGAAAATCGTATTGAAGGCTGTGGAAAATCTAGAAACATGCTCAAGCTTCAGTTCTACTTAGCCATCCTCCTGTTCTTCATGTTGGGAATCCCCTGGGTGTTCGGAATCCTTGCAGAGTGGCTCGAGCATTCAATTTTGCAATTGATGTTCGTTTATTTGTTCTGCCTCACAGCCACTCTGCAAGGCTTCGTTCTCTTCATATTTTACGTACTTCTCGATAAAGATACAAGAACCATGTGGAAACGTATCTTTAAATAAGTGAAGGTTCTTACCTTCAATCTCACATTATCCAAATATCGGTCTTCACACCCGAACCAACACCAACGATTTGAAGCGCGACACACCATACCAGAAGCTCTGTAAACGAAGCCAATTATCCAGTTAAAGAAATCATCTATTTAAATTATCGTCTACCGGTCCTCGGAATTGGCAAATAGCACTTGCGCTCCCCTTTCAAACGGCACAGATTGGATCCGCTCTTAACAATGATTGACGTGCTCCGTCGTTCTCTCCCCTTGACGCATTTGTCAAATCATTCTATAAACAAAATTAATCAAACGGATAAAGTTGTTTTCAACTCATTCATCATCTTTGAAAATAAATAAAGTAATTTAACAATCAGCTTAATAAAATTTAAGTGCAATTCTTTGTGCATCTCTTGCACATAATACCACTGCATTTACCTATTAACTAAATAATAGAGAAATTGAATGCATACAATTCCTGTTCAAACATTCACTGATTATATAATAGACCTAATAATAAAAATGTAACTAAATAAAAAAATGTTTTATATAGAATTTATTTATTTATTCTTATTTTGTATTTCTTAAAATAAGATATTTCAGTTATTCTTAAAAATGTAACTAAATTAAATTAACCTTAATTATTTCTTTAATTCTGTTTCTATAAGTTTATAGTATACTATAAGATAATAAAATTAAAAAATTGAATAAAAATATATATATATATATATATTGTTTTATTTTAAAACTTTTTTCCTTCTAAAGAATTCTTCTTCAAACATCATCAAATTATAAAATAGACCAAATAATAAAATTGTAACTGAATAAATAAAAAATATATATTCTGAACTAATGTTTATCTATTTATTTTTTTACTCTTGTTGTATTCTTTTTTCGATAAGACTCTTTCAGTTTGTGAATTTTTGCGATCGGGGAATGTTTCACTCATGGTTCACGTTAGCGATATATTATTAACGACAGGTAACTCGAAACCAATTATTATCGACAAAAATTGATTCCCCATTTAAAACTCTGAATAAATAATTGATCCTCGTTCCTCCCTACAATTAATTGCTCATTAAAAATCCATGAAATACACTTTTCCCATCCGAAGGGATATTCTCGAAAGATATTTTATATGAAAACACAGTTAAAAATATGAAAATTATGTATAAATTCAGGTAAACAGATCCTATTAAAAAATACATTTATCTTTGTTTTTTTAAGACATGATTGATGAAATTCAGTGAAAAATCCATGAAATGCATTCTTCAAATTTGAATTTAGATTCATGAAAATACAATTAAAAATCCATAAATATGACGTTATTTACAAAAATCAGTGAAAAATCCAGTCTTTCCCATGAGAAGAATACATTTATCTTTGTTTTCTTTTAAACATGACTCATGAATAAATTGATAATCAATGAAATATAATTTTCTTCTTCTTTATATAAAAAATAAAAGTATATTTGTTTTATTTTAATGATGTTTAAAAACCACAAAACAAGTTAATAATAATCTAAAGAACACATTAATGGTACTTTTCTTTTGTCGAAAGATACGATGCATGAAAACACTGACCATTCCAGTCGGATAGAATTTCTGGAAAGCAAATCGAAACCACGTCGCAGATGCTTAATTTCATTTAAGAAGGCCCTCCTCTTCATCGTCTGCTCAACTGTTTCAATTATTTTAATAGTCACATTCATGTACTACTTTGGACCAACTATGTCATTCAAGGTAACCAAACCAAATATTTATATGTCGGAAATCTTAAAATCTGAACATTTCAGGGGAAAATGTTGCATGATTTGGAAGTTTTCTTGAACCACGATAAGCACAAACCATTCCGACTCTCAGATACCGTTCAACCTACCCATTATAGGTTACGCATTTTTCCAAATCTGGAAACTTTCGCTTTCGACGGAAGAGTTTCCATAAAAGTATTTACAAACTCGGATACCAACGAAATAGTCTTGCATTCCGTGGGATTAAACATAACTAGTGTTGAATTACTGAAACCTATGAATGGAAGTGAAACATTGGAACAATATAGCGTTCACAAAAAAGCTTATATTAAGCTTGTAACTACTTTAACAGATGATGACCGCATGACTTTCATTTTTGAAGAGAACTTAATTGCTGGTAATAGTTACCTTCTCGATTTGAAGTTTCATGGAAAAATTGGAGATGATCTGATTGGGTTTTATAGAAGCGGTTATTATGACTCTCTTGGAAAGAAGAAGTAATTTAAACGAAATCATAAAACTTCAGTTTACAAAATTATATTTATCTAGGTGGATTGCAACCACTCATTTTCAACCAATTTATGCGAGAAGGACGTTTCCTTGTTTCGATGAACCCAAGTTCAAAGCTCAATTTCAAATTAGTATAGCCAGGAGAACAAATACTACAGTTTTAAGCAACATGCCTTTAAGAGAAACCGAACTACAGTAAGTATACTTTTTTAAAAAGATTACAGATATTTATCTTTATTTTCAGCAAAAATATTACTGGATACGTTTGGGATCATTTCATGACAACTCCTATAATGTCCACGTATTTAGTGGCTTTCACCATTTCCGACTTTAAAAGTGTTAATGTTTCTACCAAGATCACTGGTCCAGTTATCAGAATTTGGGCTCCAAAGCAATCATTGTATCAAACTGATTTCGCTGTAAACTCAACAAATATGATTTTGAACTTCTACGAATCGTACTTTAAGCAGAAATATACTTTACCCAAACTAGATTTGATAGCCATTCCCGATTTTAGTAAAGGAGCTATGGAAAATTGGGGGTTAATTTCTTTCAGGTAAACTTTAATTTTTATAAAAAATAATATTTCTATAATTCGTTTATTTTAGAGATAGTTCGTTGCTTCTGGATAATACAACGGACGGATTCTTGAGTAGGGAACACGTTTTTAACACGTTGGCGCACGAAATTGCTCATCAATGGTTTGGAAATTTGGTCACAATGTCTTGGTGGTCTGATCTTTGGTTAAATGAAGGATTTGCAACTTACATGGCTTTCATGGCCGAAGCTCAAGTAAGTAACTTAACATTAAACATACTCAAAAATTTGATCTTCATTTTAGCTTAATCCGAGTTGGGAAAGCTTCGATTCTTTTGGACTAGAAGTTATGCACCAGGCGTTTACATTCGATTCGTACAGAACTTCTCATAATCTTCATGCTTTGATTGTAAACAACTTGGAGATTGAGCAAATCTTTGATACGTTAACATATTACAAATCGGCGGCAATTTTAAGAATGTTGAATTTTACAATTGGTCAAGATAAATTTGTAAAAGGCGTTAGAAGATACGTCGAAAAGTGGTCCTTTAATTCCACTTCAGAAGGAAGTCTTTTCCACTCCTTCGATGATTCCATCAAGGAAAATATTACTTTAAATGCCATGATGAGCTCTTGGACACACCAATGCGGCTTTCCTCTAATTACAGCATTAACAAAGAACAGCTCCTTCACAATAATCCAAACCAAATTTCCTGTAAACACAACCTACGGATATTGGGTTGTCCCAATTTCCTACAAAACCAAAAATAATCTATCTTCTACTATAATTCTACATAATAACACGAGAACTGTATTTTTGGATTTAAACCAAAATTGGTTACTCTTAAATTTATATCAAGCAGGTAAATCAAATTCTATAATAATTTTATAATATTAAAGTTAATTTTGCAGGTTATTATCGCGTGAACTACAATCAAGAAAATTGGGATTTGTTGATTAATCAATTGGAAATAGACCCAAGCTTAATTCCAGCTTCAAATCAAGCTCAACTAATAGACGATGCCTTTGAATTAGCTAGTTATGGGTTTATAAATTACGAAATACCTTTTCGTTTAATCAAGTATTTAAGTAATGAGACCAGTCCTATTCCCTGGAAAGCAGCGCTGAAAAGATTGAGCGTTATTGAATCAAATTTGTTGGAAACTCCGCATTACATCAAATTTAGAGTATTTAATAATAATCTATTTAATTAATCAAGTGTAAATTGATTTATTTTCAAGGAATTCATGTTGCAATTCTTGGAACCTCTAAAAGAAGTCATAGGTCATGAAGATGAAACCATTCTTAGTTCTTTAGTTATAGAAAAACTTTGTTCTTACAGATTCAAACCGTGCATAGACTTTGCTTTAAATACCTTCACCAATTGCAAATTTGAAGAGTTAGTTTATTTTTATTGTTAGTATTTTCTAATTATTATATATAAATTATTTCAGAATTTCGTATAGCATACGACAAACTGTATACTGTACTGCTGTAGAAATACGGACTGAACATGAATGGGATTATCTTTGGAATCAAACTTTCAACTTGAATAATTCGGGAATTAAATTGAGGGAATTGTATTTAGCTTTAGGTTGTAGTCGAGATTCGTGGATTATATACAGGTATAATTTATGTTTTTTTTTAAGATAGAACGTTTTTATAATTATTTTTTCAGATATTTAAATTCAACTATTAATGGATCGATAGCTCCTCAGAATGTTCTATATGTTTGGAGATCAATTTCCAAAAATCCTATTGGAAGGATTATAGGTTTGAAGTTCTTAGAGCATAATTGGAGGAAAATATACGATATTTACAAGGACCATTTCGATGTTCTTCTGGGAATCATTGAGGAATTCGTGTATAAATTATCAAATCAAGAAGATTTAGAAAAGGTTAGTAAAACTTGAATATATCAGACAAATTAAATTTTGAGGGCCCTAACAAATTCTGGCCCTATAAAATTTGAATTTGTAAGATTTTGACAAAATTGAATGTAAGGGCACATGAGAATTTGAATTGTGTCTTAGTTCAAGTAACAATAACAGGACACATTGGAACCATTGATTCGTGGGCCTTGTTTATATGACTAATTGCTACGCGATTCATGATATAATGATATAATTCATGATATTTGTTTTAGGTAACTACATTTTATGCATTGCATAAAAATGATCTGAGAAGTGTTTCGGGTTTCATACTTGGCGCTATTGAGAAAATAAGTGCCCACGTTTTTTGGCAAAAAGAATATTTAGAAGAAATATTACAATTTATTAGTTAAATTATATATGTGATTCTGTTGGTTATTTATATTGTTGTTTCACAAAAAATATATAGAAAATACATATGACTTAATTGGTTCCAATGTCTCATTATTTTTAACTATACTAGGAATTATCTAACAAATAACAAATGGTTGTAATCGGGTGACTCAGTGAAATTCTAGTAACGTGAATTATTTTTTGTTGACATGAATAAACACACAATTACAATAATTGGAGAATGCAACAACGCATAACTTAAGTTTCAAACATAATTTGTGCAATAATAGACGTATTATATAATATAAACTACAACTTATGAAATCTGGGGTTGTTAACATTTTTCAGCAAGAAATTGTTTAATGTTTTCTTTACTTTCTTTATATTGCTAAATCTTCCACTAAAATCCACTAAAAAATCATGAACTTTTGCATTCAATGATATTGATATTTCTAGTAATAAAAAGTTCTATTTCGTATAAACTTGTTTTACAATCTTTGGACTTTAAACATAGTTAGAAATTGTACCCACAACGTAATTTGATGAAAATTTTAAATAAATATTATAAATTTCTTATATTGACTGGATCTAAAAATTGTATGTCCGTTAACCTTTTGATTAGTAAATATGGAATACTAAAGTTATTAAGCTATTAAAGTTAAATAATATTTGTTTGTGTCTTCCAAATTTAAATTTGGATGGAACCCTTACAATAAAAAGATTCAAGAGTTTAAAACGCTTCAATATTCTTGTAGTCACATCATTATTCAAGAAGTTGTCCCCAACACATTTCCATGCGAATCAAGCCTATCCGTGTATTTCCTCGAGATTTTGACATGTTAATTCCAATTTGCCATCTCCTAAACCACATTTCAAGCAGATTAAGCTCATTTTGAAGTTGTTGAGATACAATTATGGGTCTTTTATCTAATACAATCATTGCGATATCGTCTGTAAATGTTGTCATGTTAGTATTGTCTGTCCTTGAAATGTCTGCAAATAAAAAATTGGACACGCCAAATTCGTGATACTCAGCTTAGTTTGTAACGTTGTAATTATTATATAAATTGTATAAACAAACGATTGTTCATTACGTAATTAATAATTTTGTCTAGTCTAAAATGCAATCAATACATAAGCAATTTATATAATAAATAATGAATTAACATTATGAAAACTGCTTTTGATTGACATCAACTTCATTATGCATGTACACAAAACCATATATAAACAAGCAAATTAAACCATATGCGATTATTTAAGAAGCATACTTAAAATGGTAATAACTAGAAACTTTAATACAATTATATATATATACACATTTTTTTCAGAGACCAAAAATTTCAGGTGCATACAACAAGGAACAAGTATACTTAGAATATTTTGGCTTCGGAAATGTGGATAAAAAAAGAGCACTATTCCACTTTCTAGCAAGATTTTATCTAATGTTCTCTATAGTTTATCATATGTTTGCAATGCTTTGGCAAATATTAACAAGTTTCGACGATCCAGAAGTGGTGCAAATCATCTTGTATTTCGGTACACACGTTGGAGCAATCTTTAAAATAAGCAATTTCATGATCAAATCCAAATGTTTAGCAAGAATCGAATTTATATTGGAAAAGCCGACATTCAATGCGCAAGATATATATAATGACGAATTCATAAGCCTATCTAATAAAAAGATGCATATATTTGCTAAGACTTTTAAAATATCAGTTTATCTAACTGTAACTATGTTCGGTATTCTTGGCGTGATTCATTCCAGCTTACCATTCGGAGGAATTTACTTTCCTGGGCAAGAAAAGTATTACTATTTTATAGCAATTTTCCAGTTGATTGGTATGTACCTAAATTCAGTTTGTAATGGTACCATAGATTGTGTTTCTGTAATCCTGATGCAATTAGCATCTAATCAATTTGATGTCTTAAAAGCACATTTAAAAAATATAAAATATACAGATGACAAAGACGTTTCAAAGAAAATCAAAACACAAATTGGATTTCACCAGGAAATATTAGAGTAAATATTATTAATTTAATGAAGATTAATTAATAAACTAATTAAACTTTTAGGTATTGTGAATTGGTTGAAGAATTATTAAATTATGGAATTTTAGCTCAATTTCTATGTAGCGCCATATCGATTTGCTTTACTCTACTCCAATTAATAATGGTAGGTAAATCCACTTTTTATTTTTTTTTAACATTGATCAATGTTTTAGATTCCATACAACTTTAAAATGTCTATAATCTTATTATATTTGACTTGCATATTGTGTCAGTTATGGATGTATTGTTGGTTTGGACATCTAGTTTTAGTTAAGGTAAATGCAGTTGTCCAACTATTATAGCATTGTTAGTTGTTGTTGTTTTTTTCAGAGTTCGGAAGTAATCGATGCTTGTTACATGTCTGAATGGTATAAATGTCATCCAAGGATGAAAAGCTTTTTTTTCTTAATCATGGAGAGAAGCAAGAAGCCTACCTACTTCACAGCTGGAAAGTTTTTCATCTTATCGTTGACAACATTTGTTACTGTAAATATTATTTCATAAAATTGATCCTGTGAATAACAATCGTTTTTTAGATTTTGAAATCTTCGTATTCTTACTTTGCAGTTCTTCAGCGAATGTATGAAGGATGAATTTTTAAGTACAAAAGTATATACAGTTCTTACAGTTTATTAAATTTAGTTACATAATTATGCACATTTTTATATTATTAAATTAATTATTATTATCCATTGATAAATTAAATTTCATATAAATATCAAATAATTACAGGATCTGTAAACATTGTTTGGGTGCCTTGGATGAACACTGTTTTGCACACTTGACTAACACTGATTAAATTAAATCAGCATATATGTTATGGTAAAAGTACATAATTGTTAATGTACACATTTACCAGCTTGGTTGGTAAATCTAAGTTAAACTTACTTTGACCACACATTTTCTGGAAATGCATACATTCACCTAATGACGTCGGTAAATTTTCATATATTTTTACTAAATGCACATTTAAAGGTTATTGTTTTTGTTTATTAACGCTGTTGTCAGAATTATACCTACATTTACCGTATTTATTTCCACGATGTGTCCTTTCTCAAACAGGAAATCGATTACCCGGACTATGCGAAGTATTGCTTTATGTAAACCATTAGAAAAATGCACTTCAATAGCTTAACTAAACTAATTTCAATGGATTTGTAAATACTAGGATAGACGTTAAAGTATTCATGAGATTTGTGTAGGAATGCCATTTAAGTAAATTACTTTTAATTAAGTGTTTTAAATGTTGGATCGAAAAATTGTCGCGTGTTGACAAAACAATTTATTATTTCTTCTAAACCCTTAATTATCCTCAATCCAATAAAAGTATAGGCGCGAACCATCTCAGACCAGTCGAAATTGAACAAAAAACAATGGAGACAGTCTATCAGAACTTTTACGAAGTCACCGAGTTTGAGATCAAACAGTTCACGTTTACTGGGCTGTACCCATTACGTGATAACAAGTATAAATACTTGTCAACTTTCTTAAGATGGAATACGTATTTTTTCTCATACGCTGTAGTTTGTTCCATGTTTGTAACTCTCGCAAATACCGATGATTTATCAAAAGTGATAGACATTCTTTATTATTTGTTAACGCATAGTACTTACCTTTGTAAGCTTTATAACTTCATCAAGAATAGAAGGAAGTTGCTTGATATCGAAGATGTGCTTCAAGAGAAAATACTATACAAGTATTTTGATAGATATGGAAAAATCTATTGGCACGAAGTCATTAGGAATTGCAAAATATTATCGTACACCTTCAGACTGAGCGTTTTCCTCGTCGTTTTATTCTACGCGCTCTTTCCTAAATTCGATAAAGACCCAGATCGGACTTTACCATTAGCAGGATGGTTTCCATTGAACATGGACACATTTCATACAGCTATTTACGCATTTCAGATTTTTTGCATGGCAGTTAGTGCTGGAACAAATACAAGCACCGATATTTACTGCACAAAACTACTGAGTCTCGCCATTATTGAGATCAAAATGCTAAAGAATTGCTTAAGAAATGTGGATTATTCAAATGGCAATAACGGAGGGATTAAACCCGAAGAGCTTGGCTACATCGTTGCCTTACATAAACATTTATTGCAGTCAGTAACGATTTAAAAGATGTTTCTTCTCTACAAATTTTATTTTCATCTGTTTTAGTTACATCACGGTTTTGGAAGGAATGTTCACATATGGTATCTTTCTGCAATTCTTGGCCAGCATTGGTGTAATATGTTTGACTGGTGTCCAGATGTTGGTGGTAAGCAAAAAGAATTTACTACTTAAATATACGTTTATTTTAAAAACATTTAGAACCAATAAAAATTAATAACTATAAAAAATGGAAAACATATTTTAAAGTTTAAAAAATGAGACGCAATTAAGAAAAAACAAATGGTTTCATCTTCGCATTGAATTTAATTTTTTTTATAATCAATCGGATTAATTAACATATAATTAATAAATATTAATGTTGTCGCAGTAACCTTGTCCTAAATACTATAAATATATTTCATTACATAATCGAATGCATTATTAATTTGTCATCTGTGAATGGAACTTTAATCATTTCAACGCTGGCATTTAATTTGCGTAATTGTAATGTAAATATTATAGAAATTTAAAGTATATGAATACGCGTAATTTATTGCTGAAAATTGCGCGTATTCATCTTATAAACATTTCCACATTTGTTTAAGTTAATTTTGAAGTCTGTTTTTTTATGTCATAAAAAAATCTGAAGCAATAAGTACACGTAATGTGTTTATTCATTATTTTTCCAAGCAAAATAATTTGCATTAGAAAATATTTATTTAATGCGGCTCCTACAATTTATTATATTATTGTTAAATTAATGATAATTATTGAATCTGCTATAGATTTATATATAAAATAATGAAATCAAACATTTTTTTGTCATTTATAAGTCCATTTTCTTAAAAATATCGTATTTTTAAAAATGCATACATTTAAAAAAATAAGTACAAAATTTTATAATTTAAATTATGTCTTTGTTTTTATTACTACCTAAATTATTTAATCATAAATTAGATTCTTTATTACAAATATACAATAATACCTCGTAGTTGTGAGGTCCCCTTTTTATAAATATTTTCGTTACCAAATATTTCTAATTCATATTTTTTTGTGAACTCTAGTCACCAGTTAAGAAAAGATGTTGAGTAGGTTCTTAAAGCGTAAATCCTGCACTGTTAATACTTTCCGTTTTATTGGAATCAATTGCTCACCAATTTCATTCTTCCGTTCATCGCGCGTTGCTTAACTTTCATAAACTATAAATATCTAGTAATTTTTATTTGTATACTTAATTATTTTATTTTTTTGTTATAAAATATTCTTTGCAATCTTATATATAAATTAATAAAAAAAAATACCAATTAATAATAAAGAAATAAAAAAATAATTATTCATTTATTCAAGATTAAAATTAATACGTAATATATTATCCTTCATATTTTTTTAACCATTTTTTTTGTCTCATTCATAGAAAAATATCTTTTCTTTCAGACTGATCCAAGAAGTGTTCAATTTATTCTTCTCATCGTTTACTTAATATGCATGTTATGTCAGTGCGGTTTATACTGTTGGTATGGAAATGAAATATTAACTGAAGTATTAAAACATCATCATAAAAAAATCATCATTACTAACAATATTTTTTGCAGAGCAACGGAATTGCTGAAGCTTGTTATATGTCAAATTGGTACGAAGGTACTACTGAGCAAAAGAAGGTACTTTTTCTCATAATGGAACGCTCGAAAAGGCAAATCGAAATGACGGCTGGTAAATTTTTTACCCTCAATTTGGGCACATACATGATGGTAATTACATCCTAACGAAACAACAAAACTCACTAAATTAATCACATTTCAGATCCTGAAATCCTCCTATTCATATTTCGCCGTACTGCAACGAGTTTACAAGGATTAAGGTGCATAATGAAAGCGTTTCAACACTTTACACCGTAATTAAAACTTTGCCGTTTCATAAACTTATTACAGAGGCATTATATAAAAGCTAGATAAAATGATTCATTTCACTAACGATTTTGTGTTAAATATAAACAGTTTAATTTGTTAAAATATAGTCAAAATTTAGTTAGTTTTTAACATGTACAATCAGGTATATTAAATATATTTATATAAATGTTTAAAAAAGAAAAAAAAAGTTTGTTTTATGATGTAATTTTCAGAAATCAGTTCTATTAGATTGTTACTCGCCTGAAAAACGTCTTTTATATTATGCTGGAATCTACAGGGAATCAACCGGATTCAATTTGCGTTATTTCGTAAGCGGTTTAGTGACCATCACTTTTTCCATCATGCAATTTATGTCGATGCTGATGAAGATCATTGATAATATATACGAATTGGAAAAAGTCATCGAAACGCTCTATTTCTTCAACACTCAGGTTGCTTTCCTCTGCAAACTATTCCCTTTCATGTTACAACGTCACAAGATTAAAGAGTTTGACAGTATTGTGAGCAGCGAGTTCTTCAATAGTTACTCCCTCGAGCAAGCTCATTTCCAAAACAATGCTATCATGGCATACAGAAGGTTTGCGAATACACTTAGATACATGTGCTTGACGACTGTAGCTTTATTCGCTGTATTTCCATTGATGGATGGGAATGAATTGGCTGTACCGGGATGGTTCCCAGTAGATATTAAGAAATACAGGGCACCGATCTTTTGCTTTCAGGTCTTTTGTTTCTTTCTGAATGCCTTCACGACCTGCAGTATTGATGCAATCACAAATGCTTTAATAAGCATTGGGTCAGGCCAGTTCGAGGTACTTAAGGATAATTTAACCAATTGTAGAGAAATTAATGGGGATGTGAACATGACCAAGGATGAAATTAATTGCGTCGTTGTTGAGAGATTGAAGAGATGCGTTCAACATCACAACGTTATCTTAAAGTTGTGTATTTGCAAATATTATAAATCATTATTAATTTAATATTTTGCTTATTTTTAGTTTCGTTGATGAAGTTGAAAGCGTTTTTTCTGCTGGAATTTTTCTACTTTTCGTAAATAGTTTAATGGTTTTCTGCTTAACCGGTATACAACTTTTAGTGGTAATTATACATTACTATTTTATTCATAGTTTTTCTCTATGCCTGAAGAAAGTACAAATTTTATTTTAATTGCTAATAAATAAAAATATTTTATTATGTAAATAATTGCAGACAAAAAATGTAAAATAAATAACCACATTATTATTTTATAAATTTTCTTATATATTGCATATGAAATATTCGCAAGATTTAATAAATATTTCTTAAATTTTATTTCAATAAAATTTATTAGTTTTGTTTATTAAAAATATAATTTTTGATTAAGATTTCGCCGAATATCAGAATTATACACACTACATGCACGATGGAAAATACACTTTGTCAATTCTTAATGCATATTTGTGCATATATTGACAACTGATAGGTGAAATTATATGTTTTACAATAGTGACTTAGATGAACATGATTAATTTTGAAATGGTTTTAAAAACTTAAAGAAATATCTGATATTGGACAATACATAAAAGTTAAGCATTGAATGGGTGACTTGGTGATCTTTCTACAATTTAGCATGAACAGCTTCAGGTATTTTAAACAGTAGTATTAACCACCAAAGTATGTGCCAAAAAGATGTAACAAAGATTTTCTATGCATTTTTCTATCCTTCACTATATTCAGAATCTTTCAAAAAATCTATAACTGTACATAATATATTTACAGCAATACACCAAATGTAATACTAAAAATGTTACTTAAAGTTAAAATAGAAGAACCTTACTTAATGTATTACAATCAGTTCCTTGTTGAGAAACCAAAGTTCTGTTTAAAAACCTATTGTTGTAGATTTCATACGTTGGAGAATCCATGTCCTACTCTAGATTATAACTATAAATTATGAGAAACTTACTCTTCTTGAGTTTGATGTTAATTGTATCAACAAGTAAATATTCATATCTTCTATAAAAAATATAATAATTATGTTTACAGGTACCTACAAAACTACAGTTTGTATCTTTACTATTCTATATGGTAAGCATAAATTTCGAGGTGCTGATATATTGTTGGTTCGGACACGATCTAATGACGAAAGTACGTTTATCAAAATCCTCCTATTTCCTGTCTACAAATCCGATTATTTACAGAGTGCTGATATTGGACAAGCTTGCTACATGTCCAGATGGAACGAGTGCGATAAAAAAGTGCGTGTGATGCTGTTCTTAATCATGGAAAGAGCCAAGAAACCAATTTGCTTAACCGCCGGAAAACTCTTCACATTGACATTATCCACTTTTGCGATGGTAAAAATACATTTCAAATTGCTTAAAGAGAATACTTAAATAAATTATATTTGCAGCTGCTGCGATCGGCGTACTCCTATTACGCCGTATTAAGACGTCTGTACGCAGAAAAACCACAGTTGTAATTATGTTCATTAAGAATTCCGTTTCACCCTGCACTTCAACTCACATTAGATCACAAGACGTTGTTGAAGATGTTCACGAAACAGGTTTAATTAATTAAATGTAATTTATAGTAAATTTTAATGTTTTTGGTTTCAGGTGCAAACGCCTAAAAACTGCTTTGATTTTGAAAAGAAAGTTATGTATTTCTTCGGATCTTATCCGCTGTACGGAAAGGATTTTACTTGGTATTATTTCTTCAAATATTTGATAACGTTCACCTTCAGTTTTGGGTTTATTTTGTCGATGGCTTTTAATATTTATTATAACCTTGATGATTCCTCGGTGGTTATTGAGACGCTTTACTTTGGGTTAACTCAAACAACGTATGTTTCGAAGCTGCTGAACTTTCACATCCGATTTGTTGGATTCCAGAAGTTGGAGGAATATTTACATGATCCATTTTTCAATAATTACGCTGAAAAACAAAGTATTTTCATTAAAAACGCGATGCGTAAATGCTTTATATTCGGATGGTCCTTCAGAGTTTGCGTCTCGGTGACTATAGTTTTCTTCACGGTGTTCCCGTTTCTAGACAACAAGCTGCTACCGCTTCCCAGTTATTTTCCAGTTAACGTTAAAGATTTTCGCTACGTCCTCTTCGTTTATCAAATCGTTTCCGTTATAATGAACGGATATGTTCACTCAAGCCTCGACTGCATAGTTTGTATTTTAATAACAATTGGCTCGGCCCAATTTGAGATCCTTAAGGATAATCTCACCAATCTGCGTCTAGGGCTCGACAACGACTATGGAAATAGAGAGAAGAATGATGTAATTGTTAAAAGGCGATTGAATTATCACGTACAGCATCACGTGAAAATAATAGAGTGAGATTATATGGAATTGAATGCAATTTTCCAATGATATTTAACAATTGTTGCAGGTACTCACAACACATTGAGAACATGTTCTCGTTCGTGCAATTTGTTCAATTCCTTGCGAGCAGCATTATCATCTGCGTCACTGGCTTTCAAATCATTGTCGTGAGTTAGTTAATTATGCATTGTAGACTAATCTCATTAAGCATTTCCGTTTCCAGACCTCACTGAAAGATTTAAAGTTCATTACACTTGTTCTATACTTTGCGTGCAATTTGATACAAGTATTAATGTGCTGCTGGTTCGGACACGATATTCTTAGTAAGGTAATTAAAGTTCTCAACGTAAAACGGTTCTTTTTTACTATAAAATCAATGTTTTCGAAGAGTGAAGGTGTCGGAGAAGCTTGCTACATGTCTGATTGGTATTATTGCGGGTCAAGCGTTTGCCGTACGATTTTCATAATCATGGAAAGATCCAAGAAACCCGTTATGCTGACCGCCGGCAAGTTCTTCAACTTATCACTACAAACTTTAGTGCAGGTATTTCAATACGCACTAAAACTAAAAACACTTCTTAATCCATTTACTTTTTTAAGGTCTTAAAAACATCTTATTCTTACTTAGCATTGCTAAGAAGAATGAATGAAATTAATGAAATATAAATAATAAATATTTATACTATACATTTTGTCGCTAATCTATAAATATTGCTAAAGTTAAGCAATTGATGGGTGATCTGCACCTTCTTATAATAACTACACGGACTACAAAATAATTCTTAATTTTCAATGATTTTCTTATATAATTCATACAATTTTATCGAGTAAAAATCCTGAACAACACAAATATTTACGACAGAAACACTGATGAATATCCTCTCAGTTGATTCAATTGGGCATAAACTACTCTAGCTAATATAGATACTACCAATAATAGAAGAATAGTATAACTATAGTAATAAAAATAATAACTTATATTTGACAGTTTACAAAAGTTAAGCAACAGATTGGTGATATGAACTTTAGTGTAATAACTGGACGGATAACAGATTACAATATAATATTTAATTTTCAATGGTTTTCTTAGATAATTCATAAGATTTCATCGAGTAACAGACACAAATATTTACACAAATATTTCGGCACAAATATTTACACCAGAAACACGGATGAATACTCTCGCAGTTGATTCAATTGGACATAACATAACTAATGACTAATATTACAAATGCATTAACAACTTATATTTGACAGTTTACAAAAGATAAGCAATGGATAGATGGCCTGTACCTATTATCAATGGTTTTCTTGTATAGTTCATAAGCTTTCGTCAAGTAACAGTTTAAAGTTTACTTCCAAAATATTCACATTTCGGTTGGAGATATGCGTGTTCATGGAAATAACAGCGTCAGCAAATGTATACAAACTCATTTTTATGTAGAAGGAAATGAGTTATCAAATTCTCAAAGACATAAACTCAGATGATTTTCTTACATAATTGAAATTATATTTTAGAATATTAGAGATTAATATATTAGCACAAATATTCGCACGATTGAAAATCTGCGTTGTAGTTTGGACAGGAAACATCCGACCAAATATAGATTCTGCTAATATTAAATGCTGTACGATTTATAAACTAGCTTCATTGCAGCTGCAATAAATAAGTGCACCGACGTAGCTAAATTGTGACAATTAATCAATTTGAAAATGTCAATTCGCGTGAGAACAGTCACGCAAAATGTTCACTGCTTTACCATTCTTCCGGTCCATATCAACAACGATTTTGCGTTTGAAATATAATTTGGAGGTGACTCCATCTCAATTCGTTATGAAATTGGAAAAGAAAACTGCGTACGTTGATTATGTAAAAAAGGGTAACGTTTATGAATTATTGAAGATGGAAATTCCACCTGATTTTGGATCGGATTCGGCTTCTCACGTTCTAGCAAAGGTAAGAATTCAATTGGTCACAGTATAATTATTAAATTATTTTATTTTTTTTTTCAGGAAACGTTTGATCATATTATCAAGAACAAAGGCAAAATCAAAATTTCCTGCTGGTATTTAAGAGAATATTATAATTATAATATTAATAAATACAAGGATCACGTTGTTAATTGAATATTTTTTATATACACTTTTTAAAAAATTGCTTTAATAAAAGTTTATTCGATTTGCAAGTGTTAACGTTGTAATAATTTTAAATCAATACTTCAAATAGTGCGGATAATCGTTTTCGGCAATATCCAGAACTGTTTAAAACCGGACTAATCGAGGAATTAAATACATACAATAAACTGGATTTTCTGAATAAACTGAATAAACTGAATTTTTCGAACTGGACTATAAAGAAGAGGTGTTAATCGAAGCTGCACTATACGAGGTATTGCCGTATTTATGAAATGTGAACAATTTGACATACACATTTTATTGCAGATAACCGTATTTATAATTTCATATTTATCTGTATCATCATTTTAGGCACACTTAACACACTTATAAATTGTTACAATTGCTATTAATGACCTTTCATTATTTATATCTAATTGTTATTAAATTACATTCTTTTTTTTTATTATCTGTTACTCTTTATCAGGCAATGACAATGATCTTATTATCAGCGAATACAAATAAAAGATAATACAAATTATCTCCTCCATTGATAAATCTAATATATTCTTAAACAATTCACATTGACAATTACATATATTAATATGTATTGAAAAAGCTGATAACCATATGTTTTACTTAATATATATTAAAGTGAATCCGATAACAAATGTATGAGCACACTTAAAAATCTATTGTTATATAAGTGGCAATTTCTTTTTGTTCCTAAATTGTGCTCTTTGAAGACTAAGTTGAGATTTAAGAAAAAGATTAATAAATTGATGATTTTACTAAATATATATTTAGACTTCTGAGAATTTCAATGGTACATATTTGATTCATAATATTCCTTGACCTATGACCTATTGACTCCATTATCTACAAAAACTGTCATACCATAACATATCATATAGTTGATTTAAGAATATATTTTCTCTAATAATATCAATTTCCAAATTAAATACTTGAAAGTTTTTTACTTAGTTAAATATTACCCATAGTTTTACAATATATATACAGACAATTTGAATATTTTCAATAATAGTTTGATGTATTTATTATCAGTTATTTCATAAATCCAATGCAGGATTTGTTATTCTTCAGAATTTGTTAGTTTTTGAAATGTTATTAGTTATTCACGGTTAGGCAACATATGTTTCATCATATAAAATATTTAAAATGTATGCGTTGGAAGAAGAATAAAAAAGCATTATTTGTCAATATCTATATTAAAATAGATCCATATCAAATATCTATAAATATAGATGATTACCTGTTATTCCACTCGTATGGCATTAAGAATACTTATCAGTAATTTAGTTCATTTTCTTATTCTTGGTGATTTTCGTCTCCTGTAATAAACTTATATCATGACACAAATATATATACTTAGTCTGTATCTAACTGGCCTAATTTGGTTAGTCTTTGTACTTAAAAGTTTGATAAGTTCTGAAAAAAGGTAAGATAATTGAAGCAGCGATTTCAGAAACTATTATTCTATACTTGGAGCTTGGTATATTTAGCCTATGTCGATCTGAGAAAATTATGCCAGCCTCGATCTTTCCACAGACTCTGATAATTTAGTTCCTACTCAGATATAGAAAAAGCAATCTTGTTTACTCATAACTCTCAATATACTTGTACATACTTTAGATAAACAAGGTTGGCATATAAATAGCATGTTATAAATATATATTATGAATGGTACAAATATGCCCTTAACTACCTATTAGCTAGTAACAATTTTCAATATAATTATCTTGTATATTTGGTTGCAGAACTACTCCAAAACTCTTATATTATATGGTTTGCATCACCAATAATAAATAGAAATCTGAACCTGTTAATTTTCTGTTTTAGTCAATTCATGATGCTTCAATTACAATTACAATTTATTGGTCATTTTGACCTAATAACAGAAGTATTTTTGTCAATTAATCAATATTCTATACTAATTAAAAATGGTCTCAATCCTTTTTACAATAGATCCATAATAAAAATGATTAATTCTGTTTTATTGAGCTAAAACTATGTAAAAAATGCGGATATTTTTTTAAATTTTATTTTAAGTTATATTCTCACAATTTTATAGAGAGCAACACTTACTTTTTAGTTTAGTTTCAAACCAAATTATTTTTTTATATATTATATTTAATTCATATTAATATATTATACATATTTAAAGACTATAATTAATTGAGTAAATATGTTATTAATAATTAGATTTAATTTGTAAGTAGTTTAAATAACTATGATATAGGCAACCATATTATCGTTTACACAAAAATCGTTATTAACTTTATTTATGTATTTTCATCAAAATTATCTAATTTATTTTATAACTATTATTATTATACATTGAAAATATAAGAAATATTAATAATTAATAGAGTTAAAAATAATATTTTTTTAGGTTAGTGTACACTGTGCTTAGTTCATGACCTTCCGAAACCGTTTTGAAACCTCTCTTGTTTCCATGACGTCTGTTTTTTAGTAAGTTTGTAAACATCAGTTTGTCAGGCGGGGATAAAGAGTACACAGAGTAAGAAATCATTCTATTTTTATTTGTAGTGCACTAAACATCGTTTATCGTTCTAAAAAATAATGAACGCCACGAAATTGACCACAACAATCGGTAGAACAATGAGAATGACCACTCGTTCGATAACAACATCACAATCAAGGGAGCTTCAATACAAGCTTGAAGATTGCAAGGATCAGAACGTTTTCAGAATCGAGCTGGCTCCAAAAACATATGCATATATTGAGTATGATAAGAACAACACCAGATATGATTTGAACCATACCAAAGTCCCAGAGGAGTTTGAGGGCCAAGGCATTGGGAAATTACTTGCAAAGGTTTTATGCACCTACTGTAAAAATCAATAAATCATTCATATTAAGTTAGATACAAACATATTTACACTATGTGGTTTATATATCATTATTATAAAATTAATCGTATTTTGATTTAAATTATTGCTGTTATCTAATGTTTTTTATTTGTTTTGTTTTACAGAAAACCTTTGATCATTTGAAGGCTGAAGGCAGTAAATTCGCTCTACATTGCGATTTTCTGGTGCATTTTTACAACCAAAATGAAGATTTGTATGTGAACAACGTAGTTTCGTGAACGTGAGCCATGGAGTTCGAAGATGCCTACGCCTTCATTCATTTCTCCCTTCGGGAAAAGCTTCACCAACAAATGCTGCTTCTTTGTAACGATGCTTTGAAAAAGTTTGTAGGTGAAATAAAGTTTAATCTCTATCGTGCGTTAGCTCTGAACCTAAACAATCGCTTCAGCGAGTCTATAAAAGAGCTCGAAGTACTGAAATCCGAAAATGATATCAGGTTGGCTTCAACTGTTGCTCTCATTTACACCCACAAGAAAATGGGGAACGTCGAGAAAGACGTTTTCGTGAATCTCGAGGCAAAATTGCGAGAATATCGGAATGTGGCGACTGCATCGGATTGGACGAATGCCGCCTTTGTTCTTTACACGCTTGGAAAAACGGAGAAAGCTTTGGAATACATCGACCGCGCTTTGAGAATAAATCCAAGTACTAATCCTCTCAAAGGATGGATCCTGTTGAAGCTTCGCAAAACGCAGGATGCAATCTACGTCTTTGAGCAATGTCTCAAGGAGAATAAAAGGAGTTTAGATTCGACTCTCGGATTATCGCAAGCTTTCTTGCATAACAAAAACCACGAGGAAGCTTTAAATGTCGCTAATAAAGCCGTAGTTCGGTTTCCATCTATGAACATTGCGCTTGTTAATAAGTTGATTGTATTATTCACCGCTCAGGATTTCGATCAAGCTAATGAAACGCTTTTAAGAATTTTATCCACCGATGATAATAGTTATACAGCATTAAAGATCGAGATCCTCATCATGCTTTGTAACAGCTCGAATTACGAGGATATTGCTTTGAAGATTAATGCTTTCGTGGATCTCTTGGAGAGGCTGGAATCAAAGAACGGCGAAATTCTTGCTACCAACGGGTTCCTTTTCTCGCGCTTATGCAACAGGAACAAGCAAATATTGGCCGAAACGTATAACATGCTTGAAAAATCCGTGTATTTATCGAGTGACAATGTTAACAATTTGATTGAATTTGGATATCAGTGCATTTTGCAAGGAAAAATTAAAGAAGCCATAAAGTATTTTAAAACTGCTTCGAAAAGCGATAAGACTTCTTTTGACGCGTTGCTAGGAATGACGTTATGCGAGTTTCTCGAAAATGGAAAATCGGAACAGATTAAGCAGCAATTATTCTTTTTGCTCGAATTGCAGGAAAACCACGAGAACCATCCTTTACTATTGTTTATGCGGGCAAAATTGTCGGAAAACGCAGATTCGGCCATTAAATTTCTTGAAGAAACAATCGCCGAACAACTTAAAAACGTTACGCCGTTAGCATTTGGTGAGGAGTATTTACGTCTCTTGGATGCAGATTTTCTGTTGGGAGTAATCAAAGTTTACATAGAGTACGCACCGAAGATTTCATCGAAGAAATCTCTGGATAAACCTGACAATATAATAGTGAATTCTTTAAAATCTCTAAAGGTTCTCACTAAAGCTTGCCCTGGATTATTGGAAGCTCAATATTTGTACGGAAAAATTCAATTCCTTAACAGCGATTACTCAGATGCTATGGCAACTTTAAATTTTATCATTGAACGTGATCCAACTTTAACTGATGCACAATTATTGATTGCGCAAATTCATTTGAATAATTCTTCTTACGAAAGAGCATCTCAGTGTTTGGAAGTTGCGTTGAGTCATAACTTCAAGGTTCGCGAAAGTCCTTTCTACCATTTGATTCAAGGTTTGATTGAAAAACAGAGGAACAATTGGGATGAATCCATCAAGAGTTTAACTACTGCTTTAAGCTTGACGAAAATCCGAGACGTTTCAGCGGATAAAGCTACAATTTATGTGGAACTCATAGATAGTTACACTAAAGCAAATCAGAATCATGAAGCTTCGAATTTGATTGAACAGGCTATGGCTGAATTTCAGAAGACACCGGAAGAATCACGGATGATGATATTGAGTGCAGATTATGCAGCGAAAATGGGGAACGTCCAAAAAGCAATTGACGTGCTGACTAAAGTGAATCCCAACGAATCTTACTATTTGAAAGCAAAAACACAGCTGGCTGAAACTTATTTAGTGTATAGACAGGATAAGAAAGCGTTTATGGCGTGCTACAATGAAATGGTTCAATTCAATCCCGGACCGGAAAGCTTTTTATTACTCGGGGACGCTTATATGAGAATCCTGGAACCCGATAAAGCTTTGGAAGCGTACAACAACGCATTGCAAATGAATCCTTCCGATCCGTATTTGACTTCTAAAATGGGGAAGGCTTTAATTGATACACACTATTACAAAAAAGCTGTTGTTTTCTACAAAGATGCCATCTCTTCTACAGCGAATCCCGATCTGAAATTGCAGTTGGCCGAATTGTATATGCAATTAAAGGAGTTTGAGATGTCGGAAGTGTTAATCACTGGAGAATTGGAGAATAGCAAGAAGGATGATTTGTTGTCGCTTCAATACAGGACAAAGCTTTACAAACTATTGGCTGAAGTTAAAGAAAGGGCAGGGAATGTTAAAGGAGCTATGGACGTGCTAAAATCGGCCAGAGATAATCAAAACAGGGTACGCAAAATATTAGCGGTAGAACAAGCAGGTAATATTTATTTGTTTTATATTTAACAACAGTTATTTACAATTTATAAACAAATTTTAGTTATACCTGTGGAAGAGGTTAATTGTTTGATACAATTGAATATGAAATTGGGAGAACTTGCATCCGGCTTTAGAGATCACGAGAAGGCGATAAATCATTACAAAGATGCGTTAACTGTTTCCAATGATAATCCAAAAATTTTAGCTGCTTTGGCCAAGCTTTACATGCAGGTAATTTTTTTAATAGGTTTTATTATTATTAGTAATATCACTTATTAATACTTAATACAATTTTAGATCAATTATTTAGAGCTTTGCCAGCAGACATGTGCGAATTTGCTGAAGTTGGACGCTGACAATGAAATTGCTTCAGTTTTAATGGCCGATATTGCATTTAGAAAGGTTGATTTCGACATGTCCGTTTTTCATTTCACTCAATTAGTGAACAAGCAGCCTACTAATTGGGCTGCGCTAGTCCGATTAGTGGAGGTTCTAAGGCGTACGGGAAATTTAGATGAGGTTTCGCAATATCTACAATTAGCCGAGAAGCAGTTGGATCGACCCCAAAAGGAACCAGGTAACGATTTATTTTTTTTTCTTCAATTTGAACGACAATAAGCAATTATATATTTATGTAGGTTTTTGTTTCTGCACGGCTTTATACCAATGGTATTCTGGTAATTTGAATGGTGCTTTGAGGAATTTCAACAATGCGAGGCAAGATGCGGAATGGGGACAAGAAGCTATCTATAATATGATTGAGATCTGCTTGAATCCTGAAGATGAATTTTTGGGCGAGCAATTCATGGATTCTGATGATTTGGAGTATAGAGATTCGAGAAGCATGGCTTTGAAAACAGGTTTATTTGTTGTAATTTTGCGATTAACAAGATTTTTAATGGATGTTATATTGATTCTAGCCGATCGGTTATTGAAAGAATTGAAGCAGAAAGTCGTACATAGCATGGGGGATGATGAATTGAAGTGCAGATTGTTGGAGAATTTCTTATTGATCGCAAGCAAGGATAAGAGCAATGTGGAACAGGCTTTGGAGGACTTTATTTCTATTGGTTCTATGGAAGCTTATAAGGACCACGTCGGTCCTATATTGGGGATGGCGATGGCTTATAGTCTGCTGAAGCAAGGACAAAGGGCAAAAACTCAATTGAAACGAGTTATTAAGAACATTTGGACCTTTGAAGAAGCTGATTACATTGAAAGATGTTGGTTGCTCCTCGCCGATTATTACTTGCAGTCCAATAAATACGAGTTGGCTGCAGATCTTTTGAAGAAAGTTCTTCAGCACAATAAAGCGTGTTGCAAGGCTTACGAGTTTTCTGGTTATATAGCGGAAAAGGAACAGAAATACAAAGAAGCAGCTAATCATTACGAAGCTGCTTGGAAAAATAACGGGAGAAATAATCCGGCTATTGGATATAAATTGGCTTATAATTTGATGAAGTGTAAAAGGTATGCTGACGCGATTGATGTAGGTCAAATGGTTTATAAGAATCATCCGGAATACATGAGGATCAAGAAGGACGTCCTGGATAAGAGTATTAATAATTTGAGAACTTAACAAGACTTCGTAGCAAGTAGCAAATCCGTCCACTGTGTTTATTAGATTTAATTTGTCACATTAATAAACATATAATATTTCGCACTTACTAAAGCAAAATTTATTTTCTTTTGAGGGGCGATGTACTGTTTTCTGGAGTTTAATTTTGTTTTATTTTGCCACGTGTGAGCCGGAGGGAATGTATTGTTTTGGCAATTGGCTCCTGTGATATTGGCATTGGCCGTTGGTTCAATAATAATTTGAAGTTCAGTTGATGAGAATGTATCGGACGAAGCGCAAAGTGCCGACGACGGTTTCGTGGGCTGGCTCGGATGATATTATCCAAGTGCACAAGTTTGAAGAGGAGCTGGAGCTGGTGGAGGGTGACGAGGAAGAGTTGGTCCGGGATGAATGTCACGGTTAGTAGTAAGCTTTTAGAGGTTTAAATACATGATTTGTGTGGCTGAAATCGCGCCGCAGAAGGCTAACGAACTGGCGACACTTACGACTGCTGTAGTTGTCCCGGATAGGGATACAATAGTCCCCATGCATATGGACAGTATGAATTGGGCCAGAAATACCATGCTGCCTACTAGCGCGATGTCCGTTCCTAATCCTCGCACTTGTCCTCCAATTATTCCTGATCCTTCTTTGTTGGTCTCGAACTAAAGATAGGAATAAGTTAATTGTAAGTTTTCGCACTGCTTTTAACTTTCACCGTTGATGTCGAGTGGTAATGGGCGACAAGCAAGTAGGGCATAGTGAACAAAGTTGAGTACATAACTCCGGCCGTCCAACTGAATAAAATTACCCCAACTTTGTGTTTAGTTAGAGCCATTAGTAGCATTCCCGAGGAGTAAATCAGCAAGCCGCCCACATACACCTTTTTCGCGCTTAAATGAAGCTTTAAAAAATGTTAATTGAATCTAAATAGAAATAGTTCTCACCCGAAAATCCGTATCAACTTTTCGATTACCATGGAATAACATGCGCAGGATAATGAGTACATTGACATACCCCAGCATCCGAATCGAACGCCTTCCTCATACAACAACCTACTTTCGCTTCCCTCCAAAGCCTACAATGTATAATTTTTAATGAAATTGCTTTCGGTCCTATACATCTTTAATTACCGTTGGAGACCCATTAAACACGGATTCCCCGACGAAATCAGTAAAGTACAGCGAATAGCAGACGTGCGCCATCCAGCAAAACAGATTCGTCAAACACAAGATTCTCAAGCTGGACGGCATGTAAATTATGCTCTTGAGATAGGTAATTAAGGACGCATCTGGATGAATGCTTTGCTGCCTGACAACCCTATTCCTCACCCAACCCTCCTCACCGTCTCCGTCCTATTAATAATAAAGGACTAATTAAGAAATATTTGAAATGAATTAATTAAGAACCTCGTCGACAGCTCCGTAAGTTTCTCCGACACCTTCCATGTTTATATCCTCGGGTTTGCTCTCCAAAACACTCAACGGCATTTCCTTAAAACTCGTCAATGTGTACGATACGCATATCACGAAAATGAACGTTATTAACGTGAATACGGCCCTCACATGGCCACCCAATAAAATTCCTGAAAATTTATTGAAGTTTAAATGCAATTACAATATTTATTACCTTACCTAAAGCGGTGACATCCCAATTGATTCCTCCCAAGGCGTATCCAAAAAATCCACCCAAACCAGCCATTATGGTGAAGGTGCTTAATCCTTTTGCGTGATCATCTACCAGTTATACATACATTAATTGAAGCCATCACATTTAAGATTAAATTTTACCTTCAATGGTGACATCCAATAAATAAGTTCTAGCAGGGCTTTGACAAGCGTCCGCATCGAAATCTAGTAGAACCGTGCCTAAAATAGTAAAAAATACACCCCATGGATGAGAATTAGGTATTTGAAAATCATCCATCTCTTCATCCACTTCGGTATAATTGAAGGTTTGAGCGGAGGTGCGGTGCGATGAAATCTTCATCGAATAAGTTTCATTGCTCGGTAAAGGATCTCCTAATTTGTAACCGATAAGTTCACCGTTGGGCACCAATATGAGGCCTATAATTACAGTTGTTAATTTATCACCGCACAAATAGTTTATTTAGTTTACCTAAGAGAACTCCAATAGACATGGCTATAATAAAAGGTCTTCTCCGTCCGAAGCGCATATTGCATTTATCACTCAGTGAACCCAAAATTGGCGTCAAAAAGAACCCAATCAACGGCGACAAGGCCCAAACCAAAGTCATGTGTTTATGTTGGACACCAATTTTCAACAAAGTAGGAGAAACGAAAGCCGTTTCAGCGGCGTAAGAGAATTCAATACCCATTACAGCTGCAGATATCCTAATTAACTCCTTTCGGGTTTTTCTCCTAAAAGAAAACAAATATCCCGCAATAAATTAAACTAATAATTTGAAAAGATACTACCTGTAGATGTGCGAAAAGTCCTGGTTTTCCACTTGATCGCAGGAGTACAGTTTATGCTTCAGGTAATCCAAACAACCGCCCGGATATTTCTCTTTGTACTCAGTCCAGGATTCGCGTATCGAATCCCTGGTGGTGTGCCATCTGCCCAAAGGGCCTTGGTATTCGTACAGCTTCTCGGCCATTTCTCCACTGGTCGCGGATTCATCTCGCGCTTCCTGAGCGACTGCTGTGCGCGCGATTCGTTTCTCTTCTTCCTCTGGCGCGCGATAATCAAGAAACCGTACAATTCGATTTGGGTCAAAGGACTAATTGGATTTAACTCCTCCGTTGGACATTTCCGTGCAATAAGCAAACTAAAAATACTGCTCTATTATATAACTCTTAGTTAGCTTCATATTTTGTTTTTCCATGTGAGTGGGTTAGCGCGTAAGGAACTGTTTATTTGCATGTAAATTCGGTATTAGGGATTTCGATTCCAGTTTATATTGGACTATAAAGAAGCGAACGTCACTGTATTCTCATTCCGTAGTAAATACGTTGGGATTTCGTAATGCACGGATAAAATGTCATGGGGATGAAAAAGAGAGGCCACTAATTGCGATGTTTGGAAGAGGATTTGCTGGAATCCCGTGGGATTCAATTAAACGACAATTTAATAACGAGCAATTCGGTGGACGCAATATTATTTGTGTATACAGTAATACCTCGATTAATGATCATGTGAGCGTACGTATCGCTTAACGAAACAACGATGAACGGAGTAATTTTATGTTCTGCATATTATTTTTTATAAATATGTACTTTTGAGCTTTTGAAATTTTTGATATTTTAAATATGAAATCTTCTTAAATCATTTAAAAGACAAATTATGTTAGAAAAAGATTTATTTTTTGACAATTAAAGAACATCACATCCAGAATGCCACCTCTTACATTTCTTTCAAAATCTAGACAATTCGCTAAAAATGAATCAATAATTTCAGTAATTGATAACATTTTATTCATATTTATTTTTATGGTTTGTTCGTTTTCAAAATCATTATTTTCAGATTCTCTATAAACCTTTAAATTTGGGGCTTAAGAGTGTTTGGGGCCTCGGCTAATACTGTTTGGGTGCCATCGGCTAACACTGTTTGGGGGCTCTCGACTAATACTACTTGGGGCCCTCATACTGTTTGAAAGCTCTCAACTAACATTTGGAAGGCCCTCGACCAACACGGTTGGTTTGTGTTAGGTGTATTTTAATTTTTATGTTTTTCATTGCAAAGATGTGAATCATGCAGCACATCTTCAATATCCTGCTGATCCACACTGTTAGTTCTACTACATTGACAACTCGTCCATGTCATAGTTTTATCAGTCACTTCTTTTCAAACGCGTTCGAATTATATATTTCTTCTAAAATTTAATAATCAATTGAAAGGTCCTATTTTGTAACTTGCAATATTTATATCGAAACAACGTTAATTTGAGTATCTTTTAAACAAGGTCCTTACTGTATTTATGATTGAAATTGCAGAGCACGCGTTCATCAGAATCGAACATGAGAAGGCCTGGAAGAATTCCGTTTGCACAATCAACCTGTGGTCATTTACTTATTTATATTGTTGTTGGGTCTGTAACCTTCTAAATGTTTACGAGTTCGACGGAGGCAACAAAACGATATTGATCGCTGTTTTAAATGGTGCGAAATACAAATTGTTGTGGCGCAAAATTTGCATATCACCTACATCTCCTTCACCATTGGCCAACCCATAATTAGGATTATATCATAGAAGAACAGATATAAAAACGAATTATGTAACAGCGTGAGATCAAAGCTCTTGTTAGCAAATTAATTGATTAAATTTGATAATTTCACAAGTTTCACATCAAATAGGAAGAAGAAACTATTTTTGTTATCCGAATTTTATGCTAAATTTGTTTTCGAATTAACCTAAATATTTTCTATTTCTTTTTATTGATGAACATCAATTAATGAATTAAACAAATGCAATTTTAATGTAATGTTTAGATTAATTATAGAAGATAAGTAAATGAAATTATTCGGGGATTATTAATTAATTATATAATTGTAATACAGAAATACATCGAATAGTGCGGATAATGGTTTTCGCACTGTTTGAAACCGCACTAATCGAGAACCGTATTAATCGAAGCCGCACTATGCGTGGCATTGATTACATCTTATAGATTTTCTTCAAGTTGATCATAATTATTAAGAAGCAGTTTGCAAAAAAAAATCTGAAATATAAAGTATGAATATTTCAGGTAATACTTTTGATTTTTTTTAGAATTAGACTATATTGATTTAAATTAGATGACAAATATTGAATGCTTAATTAGTAATTAAGAGTAAAATCTTATAAAAATATCCAATATTTCTATACTATATAAATTATGTTATATTTCATTAATTCTAAACTTATCTATATAAAATTGTAAAATGTAAATAATAATTAATGCGTAAAAGTTATTTATAAACGATTTAGCCAGACACATTTTAAAAGAAAAATACATTTGTTATTTCTAAATCACTTATGATAAAATTATTTCAAGTGATTTACACTCATAATAGACAATAGCAAATTAGTAAATACGCAGCTACAATTGAAACCAGCTGTTTGAATCATTAAATTCACTGATAAAACTCATGTAAAAATAATTACGATAATTTCGATGTAATCGTGAACTGAAGTGTAAAAACGAGAAAAAGTGAAATATGAGCTATTGTTAAAGGTCACTTGCAAGGAAAAAAATAAATAAGTAAACGTCAACCGTGTCAATAAACATAAGACCTTTTCGTAATTGAATTTTTAGCACCGTGCAAAAAGTATTAAAATATTAAATAATTTGCGATCCGCCAAGATTTATATCTACATCAACAGTTTTCCTTGGAAATGTCACGAGTTGTTCGGGTCGACATCTCGTTTAACAAGATTGATATGAATTGGGTTATAGTAACAAAGTACTCTTCCGAAGCCTACGCTGGTAATTAATGATGCAACATTAGTATCAATCATGTTAGGACAACAATATCTCACTTAGAATTTATGTTCAATTTGAATGAATTTATACACTTCTATGGTCCAGTTTTTCCTCTTAATTTCAGAGAGGTAATACGGAGTGAGAGATGGTGTTCAAGTTCGATCGATAACGTAAGGATTATTAATAATCTGGCATTTAATGCTGTTTTTTTTTGTACACATTTTTTACTCAATAGAGGTCGTATCTATTTCTACGGTTTTATGCAAATTACGCGTCAGGACCAAACAAGAGGATAAAAAAACAACAATTGATAAATACCTAGTGACAACAGTCTAAGGTCGATGTCAGTAATACCTCTTCATTTTGGGGTCAGATGAGAAGGGTGACGTAGTTCCGGTCTACGATTGGTTTGGTGAGGAAGAAGCAGAAACAGGATGTGCGTTTCGCAGCTGGAGATCTATGGCGTCTTTACCAAATTCGCAGACCGGTCAAGAGAAACTTGCTTGCGACTCTCTTCTGGTCTTGACATCCAGATTTGCCGAGGTCGTGTACTTGGTACTTAGGATAGGTGCGAACTCGATTTGAATAAATCTGTTATACAAGCAGCCGTTCGCTCGCAAACTCAGCAATTGGGCCAAGCGAAAACGAAATTTGCACACAAAGACGCCACTCGTTTCTCACTTGAATCATTGTATAACGGGGATTCCCCAAAATAATATTCCATTACATAATCGACATATGCATATTTTATGCTAACAACAAATTTAATCAATCTACATTAGCTTTTTAGCACATTGTATTTAAATGTAATATTAGTTACAATTAACAATAATTAAGTAAATAAACAATTTTTTTTAATATTAAGTTTTTCGAAATTTGTTTATATTCTCTAATATTACTTGCTTACATATAAAATCATTTACTAAATACATTAAATCAAAGATAGATCATAATTTTACATAACAAACAAAACTTTTTATATATTTATGATTACATATTTTTACGTCTTCCTAATTTATCGAAATAATCTATAAAAACCACCCTAATTTTATCATTAAAATGCATATTAAATATAAAGCATTTCCAATGGTCAGAAAAATAAGGTACATTGAAGATATGCCTAATAGTTTTAGGAATTCTGCACAATGTATTCTGTAAAATTGTCGTTTCATTAATTCAATATCCTTACTTCCTTATTTTTCATGATTATCAAAATATTGCTTGTTTATATAAATAATTTATCAAATAACTATCAATTTATATTAAATACCTAATTACCTAAGCAATATTAAAGTTGTAGTTAACATAACATTAAATAACATTGTTAAAATAAATGATAATGTTGTTAAGTGTAACATATTGACAATAATATTTATAACTTGAAAGCCCATTTTGTTGTTCAATTGAGATGCTATACTTAGAGAAACCTGTCTTTGACTCACACTTAAACAGTCCTTAGGATCACATGAGTTCACACCTGTCCAACGTCCACTAATTTCATCGGCAAACGCCTAATCTGTTTTCCATTTATGCAAATATTTTCCCACATGTCTGAAATAACTTTACTTTACTTCTTATTATCTCGCATAGTGCGGCTTCATTCAGACCGAATTCACTTGGAAATAATAAATTGAATATTTAAAATAAAAATTAATTCTAACAAAATTAATAAACAATATATTATTTTATACACAAATGATAGTTGTTTCTCTTCTGGGGTAAATTACCCAAAATGGGGTTAAAGTTAATTGTTGGGGGTAATGATCACCTCTGTCCATCTTTTATGTATACATGAAAAATACTAAAATTCGCAATGGTCTCATCATAATGTGGTAATTCCGGCTTAAATTAATATATTTTGGGGTAATAGGTAAAAAACTGCATTTTATTTTTATACGTATTTTCTTTGGGATATTGGCGGAACTAATTACCCGCGCTATGCGAGGTTATTTAATATAATATACACTTATTAATATGTACGCCCAGATTAGACCTAATATCATTGCATATTATATATGGAAAAATAATCGATTGATATTGAAAATATTAGTGCAAGGTTTCATACTAAAAAAAATGAATGTAAATCAGTTAAAATTAAATAATGTTAAGAAAAAAACCCAGGACTGTCAATAAAATCAATACAAAAATTAGTTTTATTAATTTGTTAATAATATGTATTGTTTAATTGAAGCAAATTAAAATGCTTTTATTTTTTTAGTTGTGTATTTTCGTATTTAATACTTAAAGACAAAATTAAGTGACTTCAAAGGTTTTTTTCGGTTAATTAAGAATTTTAAATCAAGAATCGAAATTTATAATTCAATTATATTCAAGCGAATTGACAAATATTTTAAAAATTTTAAATAAATGTAAATAGGTCTTTCCAATACTTTTGAAAAATATTTATGTAATCATGATGGTTTTAGTGTAAATTTAGTGTTTTTTTTTCAACTTTATTTTTTTTTTATGGAAGTGTACAAATATTTCATATTCTTGATTGCAATTTAGAAATATTCGAGAATTAATCTTAGTACAATATATTTAATCTATTAGATTTTATTAGCATATAAAATTTAAATCTTAATAATCTTGTCAAATTGATTAAAACACAATTTAATTATTAATAGTAATTAATTCTGTTTATTAAAGTCATAAACAAATTTTATCTAAAATTTATAATGATCAACTTAAATAATACTAATATTTTTTTGAATTATATGACAATTGATTGATTAGAGAAATATAGTTTGATTATATTAAAGCCATAAACTTTAAGACAATAAACAAAATTATTTTACTAACAACTGTAAAGCAAATTATATAAAATATTTTATTGCCCATGGCAATGTCATTGTTAGTGTAAATATATTAATTCTATATTACACAAATTTATACAAATTACAAAATACACAAGGACTCAAGTTCGTTAGCCGAGTGGCCTTTTATGATTTATTTATTGATTGATTGATATCTATAACAATACTATTTGTAATATTGCGTGGTTTCATTCATTGCATTTTTAAGTTGTTATCCAATAGATTAAATCAAAACACGTTTGAATCTACAAATTTTAATAAAAATACTACAGATAATCAGTTCAATAATCTCATCTGAAATGATTTGATGTAATACTATAATTTATACAAATTTTCTTAGATAATTTTGATATTTTTGTTTCACAATATATTTTGATTATTTTGAGTTTGTTGTTTACACGATAATTTACTTTTAATGATATTTTGGAAATACACATAGAAGTTATACAAAAAATAAATTTAATTATTGAAATGTTAATTCAATATTTAGTTTTATATAACTTAATTAAATATTATAATTAGAAAATTATAGAACTAAACTATATTTGACAAGTTACTTTACAAGTAATAAGGAATATCTATTTTTACAGTTACAATAAATATTATAAATGCAATTTATTTAAATATAAGTGATTTTATAAATATAAGTTTTTTAATTAGTATTTTTCTATTTAGTTACTTTATTAGTTTCCTCTTTTCAGCAGTGATCGTCGAATTCTTAAATTTTAAGGGGTAATAAGGACTTTTAGCAATTAAAATTCTATATATTTATGACAAAATTAGAATTAGACAAGATAGCCTTGATAACTTTAAATCTAAAGTATTTTTTTTTGTAAAAGTTAGAAACAGTTATATTATATGCCACTTGTTTACTCGAATTGGTTTCATTAAGTATATGAAAACAATCGTCGAAACAATTACATTACATTAGATCATTATCGACATTAATAATAGTGTTTTCAAGACCCAATAGACTCGTGCTAATAATATGTGTATTTACTAATTGGTTACATAATTAGTATTATTAATTAAACTCAATTCATTTATGAATTGTATTTAATGAAAACTAGATATTGCAATATACAAATTACATTAAGTAATTATTACTGTTAATAATAATTGCTTTAATATCTGTTGATCTGATATTACTAATAAATGTTTGTTATAAGAGTTTACGTAATAAATATTATTAAATAAATACAATTATTTAATATTGTTAATTACATTCAGTAATTAATATTTATATAATAATTTTCCTGATCTTTTAATCTTCTATTGATTTTATAGTTTATATAGATAGATGTTATAGTTTATATAACAAGTTTAATTAAGGAATATATTTTTTTCTCAATTGTAAAGTTAACTTTTACTTTTATGCTAATAGTAAATAATTGCAAACAATAGAATTCAATAAATACTTTATTTTTCTTGTTATCAATAAAAATTTAACGTTCGAATTCATTTCACTGTTTATCTCTGATGAACGATGGCCCTATTGCCGGAAGCACCGAGAGGGCTCACAAAGGTCCTGGCTTGACCAGGATTCGAAGCGTCGCCGGTTCGATCGTAGGCTATTAGTCGCCCTAAATTATTTATATAAATATTTAATAATTAAATAAATTAGATTATTATTAATATTTATTTAATCTATTTTCAAATCTCATGCTAATACTTAAAGATTATTGTAACAGTTTATGTAAGAAAAACTAGTCACAGTTGTATACTATTTTTTTTTCTAGTTGTCAATGAAAATTGAATATTCGAATGCTTCGAGAATACATGATTAGGTACACACTTTTAAATATTCAGTAGATGTATTACTTCAATGAATAGTGTCGTTCTTTCTAATTGAAAACAAATTGGATTGCATACAAATGACAATACGATTAATCATAATAATAATAAACAGTAATCATTTGTATCAGTCTCGTGTGTAAACAAATATAATTAATATCGTGCTATAAATAGTATTGTTCACGTGAATTTGTTGATATTTTCCATCATTGTTATTGCACGTGAAATGATGTAAAACTTATATTATCAGAATTTAATTTAATTACAATGCTTTCAAAATATAAAAATAATTTAAGAAATATGTAAACTAATTTGTGAGGGGAAAATTTGATGGAATTACAAAATGTTTAAATCAATTTGGTAAACATTTTTTGTTATGATTGTTAGTTAAATTTATAAATTAATTTTATAAAGAATACCCTAAAATTATATACTAAAGTGTGTAGCGTGTAAAATTTTGTATATTTTAGTGACAAAAGGGTTGTGGAAATTTTACTGAATTAATACAAATGTTTAAATAATTTTGGTAAACATTATATCTTTAAATTAAATTTATAAATGTATTTAAAATTTACTGCCCTCAAAATGTAAACTAATTTGGAAAGGGTGTAAAATGTTAAGTACACTAAAGGGTTGTTATGAAATTATAAAGAAGTTCAAATAGATTAGATAAACACTGCTTTTTCTATGTTTATAAATTAAATTTATAAATATAGTGGAACTCCAATATTCGTCATTAATCTGTTGAGAGGAGGACGATTATCAAACAAAACAATTTCAACAAAAAAAGGACGAAAATAAAAAAAGACGAACATTGTCGTAGACGAATATTGGACTTCCACTGTGTATTTCAAATACAAAATATAAACTCATTTATGGCAATTGTTTTTGTTTTAGAACCCTAAAGGTTTGTGGAAAGATTATGAAAATAAAAATACGTTCAAATAGATTTGCTATGTTTGAAATAAAATACTCTAATTGGTGAGGGGTGTGAAATATTAAGTACACTAAAGTGTTGTTGAACGTCTATAGAATTAAAAACACCTTCAAATCGATTAAGTAAACATATTTTTTATGTTTATAAATAAAATTTATAAATGTAATTCAAATAAACTACTCTCAAAATGTAAACTAATTTGTGAGCAATATTAAATACACTAAAGGGTTGTTGAAAATGTACAGAATTAAAAACACGTGCAAATCGATTGAGTAAACATATTTTTTTTGCTATGTTTATAAACATACCCGCCGAGTTGCATTCATTATGTAACGTCCTTTCTCACCCCGCAATCGCCCTCTGCATAATTCAGATGAAACCCGACGTCCATTCAATTAATGTAATTAATAAAGGCGATGATCATTACCGCAACATCGATCGATCATTTGACCGGCGATTGGGATGATGAAGGCTTTCTTTCTCCACTTGGTTTTCCAACGTCGACACGATCGGGCCTCTACACTCATTCCTTTCCTCCAATTACCAAAATCCCAATTCCGAGAAGGGGTGGAATCTTACCTCGAGGATTGATGAACTTGGCAGATAATGCACACGAGCGCAATAGCCAATCGGAATGTCCTTTGAAGGTTGCCTCCTCGCTCCTTCCTCCTCGGTTATGATATACTCAAATCAATCTATTATATTATTATTGTTTGTGCCCGATTCTGGTTGTGTCGTGTGAGTGGTCGCATGTGTATCATCATCAGCAACAACAACATTATTTTTATATAATAATAATTTAACACAACTTCGAGCGAAACGCATCCAACATGGGTTTGTGTGCAACCAGAATTATACACAATTTTCCAGTTAATTTTACTAACCGACGTCTTCTGGTCAATTTGCAGGTTTGGACTTTATTGAAGGACAAGGAGAGGACTTCGAAAGGGCTCTGGAAAGCACAGGTAAAAAATATTATATTTTTAACATTATTTGTTGTTTATATATTTTTTTTTTAAATTACGAAATTTTGTCAATTTGAATAATCACCTTTTTTTATCCATTCACGATCGGCATGCAAATGGAATATTAAGAGTTGTTTATATTCTCCTACGCTTCGGCTTCGACTTTCACTGGTTGCGTAACTGAAACTATTCCATCCGAATTCGTATATCAATCAACTTAAGATTGCTAATTGATATTTTTTATTTACTTTTTTTCATATACACACTAATGTTTAAACTTAATTGATTGACTTTAATTATTCAATTTTATGTGCTTTTTAAATTAATCAGTCAATGGTTATTTTATTATGAGTTTTCTTCATCCATTTAGTTAAATTGGAAAGAAAAGAGATTATTGGGTCGCTTGGGAATTTGATATTTTGATAAAGTAATGATGTCAAGAATGGAATGGATATGATCGATACTTTTTGCCAACTCTAAATAGATTGAATATTGTTTTAGTGAACGAGGGATGATTTGCTACTTCATTATGTTTACACATATTATCATATTACAATTCAAATAATATTGAGAAAAGTATAAGAAGAAGAATAATAATATTTATTGATATAATCATACAAAAATTAATGAAAAAAAGTATTTACATAATCATAATAAATGAAAATAATAATTAACTTTTATTATGGGTTTGATCATAGCTTCAATTCTATTTAGATAATTATAATTTACCATATATTTTGGACCTTCGGAATTGATTTTTCTATGTAGAAAGGTGCCTATTATGGTCCGAAAAATATTAGAATTATATTATTGTACAATTGTAACGAATTTTTTAGTTTTTTTTTTGAAATTATATAAAATATTAGAAAATATGTTGTTTTTGTTATTACTAATATTGAGAATTTGTATAATGTAAAATATCAGAAAAGATAAATAGGAAAATAGAAAAATAAAAATTATTGCAACAAATGTAATAAAAAATTAATAAACAACAAAAAATAAATATACATTTACCATTATGACGGATTATTTGTAGAAAAAATAACTTTAATTGAAATCAAAAGTATTGCTTACAGTAAATATGTATAAAATAAATTTCATATTAATAATAATACATTTTGGAAACACTTATTTAATAATAATAATAATAGGTGATTTTTGTTTGTTTATTATAATTACAATAGTTTGGTAAATAATTTAAATTAATAATGACTTTTCATTGTTAGTAATTATACAATAATTAGTAAGTTATGATTTAAACTCATTCGCCAATACAAATAAATGCGAGTAAACAGTTAAAAATTGTAACTGAAATAAACAATTAGTAATAAGTAAATAATTTCAACATGCATATTCCTATTGTATTTATAATTTATGAGTCTTTGAAAAATAAGTTTCTGTTACTGATGGAAGACAACTATAGAATTTATTTCATGGTTTCTATCGTTTTTTTTTCATCAAATAATGTCTAATGATCTAAATCTAGTAATCTAAAAAGGAGAATTGTCTTAAATAATACAAATATTAATTGTAGTATCTTTATTTACTATATTTAATATAAATCCTCAGTAAATTTCTATGTTGATTTAGAAATTATTGATAAGAGATAAATTGTAAATTCAGACATATTCTATTGTTGTTTCTCATATTTGCTTAAATACCAAAGTCAGAAGTAATGGAAATAACATCTAGTAAAATGTAGATGATTTGCCCTCAAATACAAGTAGTTAAATAAATAATAAAATAAGTTGTTACTTTTTTATCTACAATACTAAAATATAATCATTTATGCCTACATTACCCCATTATGATAGAGGTCGTGGTAGATTAGCGAATGGATACATAAATGATGAACAATATTTTTCACAGATATTTATAATTTTAATTGCTTAACTTCATGAAATTACCACATCATTTCATGAACCCTGATATAAATCAAATCCGGATCAGGACCGGATAATAAGAAGTAGAGGGTGAGATCTTGCCCGCGGGCCAGGGGTAACTCATATATATCCTGTGGTATAGTATTTGTTGGTAGTCATGTTATACATTAATGTCTGCTCATTAACAACCCAAGTTTTCTTCCTAAATGTTTAATTTCCAAAACTCTGGTTAAAGTTCAATCGACCTATCATAAGTCTATTTGCTCTTCAGAAGATATTTTCATTTACTTTTCAAAATACAAGTTTTAACATAATGGTATACAAATACTTCGCCCAGTAACTAACATTATAATAAAGTTTATATTAGTTTTGTACATAATTAATTTATAATTTAGTAAAGAGACCGCGATCGATAGTCCTGTACATCGTATAGGTTTTATGTCATTTTTTTCAACTAGTTACAAATGTCTGTGATCTTCTCGGGAACAATCTTTGGTCAATAGACTTTTTCTCATAATATATTTGTAATTAACAATAATATTTATGAATAAGTCATAAATCAAGAAATATAATAAATTGCGTGGTTACGTTTTAAATAATCTGTCGATGTGTTTAATACATATAGCAATTACCATAATCGCTTTTTAATTAAGTAAGTAATATTTCGAAATGAACGTCACCTTTACGAGCTTAATATAACAAGCCGGTAATGAGCGAGTTCTACGATATTTTTATAATAAATCGCTCGAGGACGTGTGCAATTAAGTAACGATAATTACATGATTCAATGATATCTCACTGTGGAAATGGATTAATCCATTACACTGCACACAACCATCGATAATAATGAATGGTACGCTATTAATATTTTTTGTTGTATTGACCTAGTAAGTTTTTTTTTAATAAACCTCTAGCATTTCCTCAGTTCATATGCGAAAAAAAAATAATAAAGCGCACTTGTTGATAATTTTATACACGAAAATCTGTATTATTTTAAAACGAAAAAATAAAAGTGAATAAATCACCGACAAAATTAATTCAACGTTAATTTTATGGGATTATTCAATAGGTCATTAACTCGCTCAAACTGATTTCGTATGCTTAGCGCGTAGTAGCCACTTGAGGTATAGCATTTGTAGTTACTAAATTAACAACAATGCAACTTGATTGCACTTGACCCAATTGGTGTGATGCTGATGCGTGCCAAAATTCCGAATGACCCAGCAACCTTCTAAGAGCAAGTGAAACAGACAAATAAACACAACACAAGATATGCCAAGATGAAGGTTGATGGATTAATAATATAACGATCGTGTACGTAATACTTAACGTCTTGCTTTATTTACTTTAGGTTTCGGTAGATTTCACTTCGCAATCTTGACCGTTTGCGGATTGATCTACACGAATACAGCTCTGGCCATCACGATACTCTCCTTCGTGCTACCATCTGCGACATGCGACTTCCAGATGTCCTCGGCGGACAAAGGATGGCTCACGGCGACCCCTATGCTTGGTAAGCTAACAAATAGTCAATGTCAATGCATTGGGAATTGATAATTAGATGTAGTTTCTATTGAGGCTGCCTTCGAGGTTGTCACCTTACTCTTGCCCTTAACTCAAGGCTCAATCAATTCAATCTATTCTTATTCTCAACAGGAATAGTAAAAGGTTTTAATTTTTGAGATATACCTATTATGCTTTGTTGCTTTACCCTTCAATGCTCACATAATAAAAATTATTTTTCCTCAACAAGAATGCTAATAGGTTTTTACTATTTAGTTTTTTTTATATATATAAACCTAATACCTTGAAGGCTATTAACTTACCTTTCCTTTTAACCTAAGGTTTACAGAATTCTTTTATTCATCATCAATAGTAATAGGTACCTACTTTTGGGCAGATACCAAAATTCTATAAATACACCTTTTGACATTTTCTCAAGGCTCTTATAATTGAATTTCTTTATTTTTCAATTTATTTTGTAATAGATTCCTAAATTTGGTACTGCCTTCCAAATATCAAAATCTTTGCTTTTTAATTTCATTTGGAATTGTAATACGTTTTTAGTTTTGGGATTGACTTGCAGATATCAAACAACTTTGTGTTTTCCTAGATCTATAAAATTAAATTACTTCTTTTCCTCGATACGATTGGTAATAGATTCCTATATCAAATTCCTACAAAACTGCTTATCTTCAAAGCTATCAAATACCTTTTATCCGAAGATTTACATAATTCAATATATTTTTTTTTGCAATAGGAATGGTAATAGGTTCCTACTTTTGGGGATGTCTTGCCGACACCAAAGGACGAAAAGTAGTACTCATTGCAGCTCTTCTCATGGACGGCGTTTGCGGTCTTCTATCCAGCATCTCACAATCCTATCTACTATTCATGTTCCTAAGATTCTGCAATGGATTTGCGTAAGTTTAGCTACAACATAACACCTACAATAAACATCAATAACCTTCCTATAAATAGCATCACAGGAGCCATGTTAATCTGTTTCCCATACCTCGGTGAATTCCAACCTGCAAAGTACCGTGAAATCATCTTGTGCTGGATGGAACTCTTTTGGACCGTCGGAGTAATAGTTCTACCTGGTAACTAATAACTTAATTCTATTCCAAAATTGATTACTAACAAAAATTTAAATTGTAGGTATCGCCTGGATCATAATCCCAATGGATTTCCAGTACGTGACCGATGGATTTAAATTCGCCAGTTGGAACCTCTTCGTGGCAGCTTGTTCTCTTCCAAGCATCTTCATCGGATTTTGGCTTTTCTTTTTCCCAGAAAGTCCCAAATTCCTTTTGGAATGCGGAGAACCCGATGAAGCTTTGGAGGTTTTGCGTAACATGTACGCCACCAACACCGGTGATTCCGCAATTAACTACCCAGTAATTACACATATATTAAAAAAAAACTATAATATATTAATTATAATTAATCAATATAAATTTTATTTTTATCCTAGGTATTAAGTTTAAGAGAGAAAGTGAGAACGATGAGTGTAATTTCGCAAATGTCTACAAGGAGCGTTAGGAATTTAAGGTTGAGGAAACCTAAGGAATTGAAGCTTTTGATGCAAGAAATCTGGGAACAAACTAAAGCCCTTTGCAAACCTCCCCATTTAAGATACACCATCATCACTTGCTTAATACAATTTGGTTTAACCACTAGGTATTATTAATATAAATTATTATTAAATAACTTATATAATTAATTATTTATTAGTTATTACACATTGATGATTTGGTTCCCGGAATTGTTCTACCGCTTCGAGGAATTCGAGTCTCTTCATCCAGGTGAAAGCGCTTCCGTTTGTGAGGTGTCTTCAGTTGTTGTATCTAATAGCACCAATCCAAATGCTGAATTCTGTGGAGAACCCATCGGCGATTCCGTTTTCCTTCACACTTTGATCATAGGCTTAGCCTGTATTCCTACCAGTTTTTGGTTACCACTTTGCGTGCATCGACTTGGAGCTAAATTTTTCTTAGGTTTGATACAAAATCTTCAATATAAATAGTATTTACTTAACAAATATGTAATAGTTTTCAGTTTGTTAGTGGCTGGTGGCGTAACTATTGGATTATACTTTGTCAATTCGACATTATCAAATTTGATCTTATCCTGTGTATTTGAAGCCCTAACCAGTATGGGTATAAGTACTGTTTATTGCGTTATGGTGGATTTATTTCCAACTAATCTTAGGTAAGTTTTTAACATAATAATTATGAGTAAATTAAAGAATCTGTTGGTATAATTCCACATTTTGAGTTATTGATTAATTTTTTAAAAATAAATTTGTTCTGCAATAGATGTTCTGAATACGTTTAAAAATATTCAAATTATTATGCAATACATAGTTGTTAAAGATTGTTATTAAGACTACTTATCTAATTAGTATTTCAAGTGAAGTTCTGAGTATATTTAACTATATAAATTGGTTTGTGTTGTAGGGTTATGGCCGCAGCGCTGTCGTTAACATTCGGAAGAGGTGGAGCGTTGTTAGGAAACCTGGTGTTTGGCTTTCTCATTGATCTGAACTGTGTCGTACCAATAGCACTGTTCGCAGTAATGCTCATAGGTGAGTGTTAATTGGCACTAAAATGGGTCTGTTTTTACAAGCACTCAAGGTTCTCTTTAGCGCCATTACGGCGTTTAAATTTACACCGCAAACAAATACAGCCATGATGAAGATGCCAGATTCGAAACTCTTCCATATTTGACTTGTATTTTCTATTGCAGCGAGCGGATTTTTGTGTCTGATGTTACCGAACACAGGAAAAGGTGCACTGGACTGATGATGACTTCTCTCTACAAAGGACAAAGTGTATACCCCGAAAAGTCATGTGATAAAAGACATTTTTATTTAAATATATATTTGGAAACTTTTCACGGTGCGCACAGAAAAAACACATATTAATCAGATATTTATATTCTCCAAACTAACATTATTTATTTATTTTTACGTATAGTAATGTAATTATATATGTATATTTATTTATTTATTTATTGACGAAACAAATATATTCGTATTTTTTGTTTAAATATCCGAATGGGACGCAAGCATACAACGTAGTATTACATAATTAAGTGCGGAAATTCGTAGAATGTTAATCGAAATGGATTGATTCTTCTCTTAATTTACCTCAAAACTACATTTTTTACTTATATATAATTAATGAAAGAAGAAAAAACATATCTTTAGAGATTAATTAGTATAACTGATGTAAAGATATACATAGTATATTGATTATTTTGGATACAAAATAAATATTTCATCTCATGATTTTAATTTATGTTAATACCCAAATATCCTTAATTTATTCTAACATAAATGTTTTAACGTACATTATTGATATAACTATAACTCAGATACGTAAAATATGTTAAAAACAAGTCTATAAGAATTCCCAAATGGTGCAAACTATTCTAATAATAGTACTAATCTCGCTAATTCTATAGATCATGTTTAAAAATAGCAATACGAAATTTCTAATAATAATCATAATAATAAATAACTAAACAAATTCGTAAGTCATACAAAAATATGTTGTAATATAATAATTATACTACATATTAATATAATTTAAAATTATTGTGCATTATATAAATCTACTACTTAACACTAAAGTATATTATTTATAAAGATGAAAATAAGTAAACTATTTGCGGAGTTCAAAAGGAACCACGGTACAGAGCTGTGGTACTGGGAAACTTTTATACATTAAAACTATTTGATTTCATATATCTCACTGCAACATTTAATATCAGCTAAAGTATACCTAATACTATACTAGGGGTGGCCAGACTTTTTGCAGCAAGAGCCGCACCTAAGCTTTTTGGCATAATAATTTTAAAAAATCTTAATCATAATATAAAATATACATATAATATGTGTGTTTTGTTGTGGCTACACTAGCCACAACAAGACTCTTAAAGAGCCGCAGTCGGCTCGCGAGCCACAGTGTGGAAACCCAAGTACTATAATGTTCGGAGCTTAAAAACAAGTTATATTTTGTAGTTTTTATAATCCATTTAACATAGCGAGTGATACCCTTTTTGACTTCTCCGACCACTAAATTCAAAATTATGAATACCGTCCACTACAATTTTTTTTTAAATAAGTTTATAAATATATTCTTATTACTTTATGAACCTAGGAAAATCTCTTACGGACCACCACCAGCTTTTAAAAAATATAATGAACTGGTGCTTTTTCGCACCTTCTTTTATTTTAAAAGATTTGTAGAAGTATAATCGCATCGCTCGGAACTAAATCTCAAACTCTGATCTAAATCTTTTATCTAATTCATTTAATCAAAATATGTTTGTCTTTATTGTATTATCTGAGGAATTATATTTGTTGGTTGTATACTAAACATTTTCAGAAAATACGTTATTTTATTACGTTATGTTATTAATTGTTCTAATAACTTTGATTTTTACTGTTTTAACTTTATTAGAATATCTTTCATTCTTCAAAATGTAGCACTTATAACATCAAATGCAAAGGAAATATTATACAATTTCTATTACGAAGTGCTCTCACCTGGAGTTATGAGACTGTACTATATCACACAACTATTAAATAGTAATAGCAGTATAAACATTTGCCATGCAACTTTATTTTTAATCATTCACGTGTATATTTGAGTTTATTTATTACATAAATCAGAAAGAAGCTGAATCTACTTCTTTTGTGTTGATTGTTTAATTTTATAAGAATGAATATTGACAATCTTTCAATAGGTTTCGAGTGTATTACCTATTACATATTATTCTCAGAAAATAGAAAATAATTGTAAAAGTAAATAAGTAAAAAAATACACTGTATGCATATACTAAGAAAACTCATAAAAGTATATAGTAATGTGATAATGTTATATTTGAAAAATTTAACACATCTATTTAAAGTAAGATCATTTGTACACTATCATAACATTAATGTTTGTAATAGAAAAAACTATAATTAAACAAATATGATTCATAGATATTTCAATTAATTATATAATATTTTCATGAGAAAAAATCATATTTAATGTAATGAAACCCAAATATAACTTTATTAAAATATTATACAGCTTTCATAATTCGGAAAAATTACAATGCGAAATAAGTTTAATTAAGTTTGAAAATAATATAAGAAAATTAAAACATCTAAACTCGTATGACTTTTGTAGGAATAATCAAAAGTCGAGAAACTAAAATGAGAAATACTTATTTTTACAAGATTTTAAACCATTAACGATTATTAACGATTAGTAACTTATTAATCAATGTATCTGGATGATATAATTAATACTATTATTATTTATTTAGAAAAAACAATTTTAATTTATTGTAGAATTTATTCAACTCATTTTTATTAAATTTAAAGCATTGCTGTAAACGAAATATACTAGACAAATTATGAAAAAAAAATAAGTTGATAGTATTTAGTTGTAATGAAGTTTCGTACTACGAAACTAAATAAAAAATATAATTATTTAATTATTGTTTTATTTTCTTTATTTACAAATATTCTACATAAACGATATGTAGTAACATATTCTAATGATTTATAATCTTATTTTTCTTTACATATATAAGGTACAAATATTTTTTCGTTGCAATATTATATTATTACATACACAAATAAGTTATAAACTTGTATTTTACAACAAATTTTACACTTCATTAATGCCAAGTTAATATGTTCATAAGATACAATTGATAGATTTCATTACTACCTATTTTCAATGCTATAACTAACAAGACAAATTTAATCATCTTATGTAATGAATCTTAGGCACAATTATACAAATAATTTTTTTCAATAAGGAATTTTTAAATTTTCAAAAATAATTAAAAATATAATACACGTTATAAAATGATTTAAACTATCCAAAATTTTGTTTTATACTTTGTTGAGTAAATTAAAATGTATTTTATATAAAAATAATGAATGCTGGGATTATATTGTTAATGTAATTGTAACATACAGATTTCGATTATTTGTATAATCGAGCCTTAATGTTAGTCTATTTACTACAATTGAAATAAATACAATTTATATTATATTTTTGGTAAATAAAGTGCTTTATTGCTTCTAATTTATGAAAATAAAAACATTTCCATTAAACAAAAAATAAAATAATTATAATTGCACATAATCCAAGTTACGGTGATCAGTTTATATAACAACGTGTGGAAGCTGATGATGTTAATTACCAGAGCTAATTATTTCGTCTTGAAGTTTCCGACGAATTGGAGTCCTCTATGTTGGGCATACCGAAGACGAGGGGTGAATAATACGGCGCGAAGAGTGCGGAATAGGGTTGAGGGGTTGGAGCGAAGTAATGGGGTGCAAAAAGACCCTGCCTTTGAGCCATTTTCAGGCGGGTCGTCAACTGCTTCTTCCATTTTGTCCTGCGATTCTGAAACCACGTCTTGATCTGCACTTCTGTTAAATTAAGAGCTTTCGATAGTTCCATCCTCTTGCTAACGCTCAAGTACTTGTCGATCTTGAATTCCGTCTCCAACTTCTCAAGTTGCTTAGCGCTGTAAGCTTGCCTAGGTTTTCGATCCAATCCAGGTTTCCTGGATCTCCGGTTAGACGGCTTCGGACCTGCAGATGAAAAGAACAAAAGCGTTACAGACAGAACAAAAGCAGATTTCTAATGGTAATTATTGTTTGCTGCGTCGATTAACGAGAAACAATGCTGAACTAGGGAGGCGCGTTAATTATAATTTACTGCGTCTCGGGTGCGTGTTAATTGTTAACAAAAGGGTACATTTTAAATATTGTTTGTTCGGATGGTTAGGTCCTCGAAGAAAGGCGGCGGATTTTGTGTAATGTTGTTTTATTTCTGTTTTGTTTTTGGTCTTGTTTGCCCCGCAGTTTGACACTGGCTCGTCAATGTGTGGATGGAAACTTTACCATCCGGTGATAGTTTTTTTTTTCAGTTACCTGCCAAAAGGAAACGATAGGAAGAAGAAAAAACGTATCTTTGTTTGTACAAGTTTACAGGTGATTATCGTTCATCTCAAATTAAGATTGACATGGGTGGAAGAGTGCCTGTTGCATATTTTATGATTCGGCAAACATTCGACAAATATATGACAATTAAATTAGGGGGACTTATTAAAATTAACACCTCATTTTATGTGTCATGCTTATATAACGACGGCACAATGGAGATTTAAAATATACGTTTTTTATCTACGTGCTAAATGTTTCAGTTTACTGTCGACGCGGCTCTGTTTGCTTAGAGGTGGACGAGGAAGAATGGAGCAGAGTCGGAGTGTACTTGTTGTGCACATGATAGATGAGCACGGATCCTACGCTTTGCGTGCCCTTCTATTTGGAAACATTTCACACGTCTTCAGATTCTTCTACGAACAGGCGAGGTTTATGAGTTTGTACATATAGGAGTTTATACGCTCCGAGCTCCGGGTTCCCGCAACACGGTCTCGTTGAAATCACCAGTATTCATATTTCAGACGAGCCAAAATTAAAACAACAAACAAACGAACACCTTTCTCTACTCACATTCTAGGAACTACATCAAGTTTCCTCTAACATTTTTCACAAAATTCTAAATATATAAAAAAAAATTCAATCATTTAAAAAATATGTAATAAATTTACTGATTCATATAATATATTGAAATTTATACAAAATTAGAAAACAAATTGACAAAATATGATCGTAATGCGACATTTAATTATGTATTATTGTTTTATTTATTTATTTATAATTTTTAAAAATATTATTAATATTCTATTATTTTACATTAAGAAATATTCAAAAACAGAACATTTTAAGAATGTACTTAAATAAATGTAAAATATGTAGAAAAATATAAAATATTAAGAATATTTACACGTTTATAACATTTTCTAGTATTTGAATAGAATTTATTATAGGATGGATAAGATAAAAGTAAAATTACTCTAATGTTTATTGGAACGGTCATACAAAAATATATAGGAGATTGAAAACTATTTACAAATGAAATAAATAAAATGATTCGCATGAAAATTGATTAAGTAGTCATGAAAAAAATAAAAAAACTATAATTGATTGAATACTCACAGAAGATTGATAAAATAGTCACAAAAGAAATTAAGAAAATTTCTAGAATAAAAATTGATCAACTAATCATAAAAGTTTGATAAAGTAGTCATAGAATAAATCAAGAAAACTAATAAAGAAGAAGTGGGCAGGCAAGGTTGATAAAGTAATCAAGAAAACTACTTGAAAAGCTAAAGTAGTAATAGAAGAAATCAAGACATTAAAAATTGATCCTAATGTTGTTGTACGATCAAATAGTCATAGAAGATAAAGAAAAAGTAGTTTTAAAAGAAATAAATAAAATTACTTGAATAAAGATTAATTCCAAAGTTGTCATTTAAAAAAATCAAGAAAAACACTCTATGAAGATTGGTCAAGTTATCAGACAAGTTCGATAAAGTAGTCACAGAGGAAATCAAGAAAACTAATAAAAATTAATGAAGTAGGCATACGAGTTGGTGTGAAAAGTCATAGAAGATTGATTAAGCAGTTATAGAACATTGAAAAACTAGTCATAAAGTAAAACTACTTCAATTAAGATCGATCAAGTAGTCATAGAAGTATGACAATTTAGTTGTAAAAAGAAATAAGAAAACTACTTGAACAAGGAGTCATAAAAGTATAACAAAAGAGTGAAAGAAAAATATTCAAATAAATATTGATCATAAAAGAAATAAGAAACTACTGGATTAAAGATTATATCATATAAGATTTGTAAAGTACTTAAATTAAGAAAAATACTTGAGTAAAAATGGAGTTGAATTAAAGATTGATCATATAAGAAATGAAGAAAACTCGTCGAACAAAGATTTATTATAACGTTATCATTATTATCATATATATATAAACTTTGAAGAGAATTGAAATTGTAACGTGAAATTAGCACCACTTTCCCTACCAATTAAAATCCAATGTGCAAATAGCAAAGAAAACAAACGGCAAACACGTTTCAAAACTGATTTGATAAATAACTAAACTGGAATTCGAGTGGATGAGCAATTAGCAAGTGTTAATTGTTTATACTGTTTCCCGTTGACAAACGCGGATTCATTTGCATTGAAGCGATAGATGAGCCAGGGAATTAAGGTGATTAGTGAGGCTCTTCTATGATTGGGAAAGCAATTAAAGTTAGTTTACGCAAATGATTTTGACGCGTAGAAAACAAAAGGTGAGGAGCGTGGTGTCGCGTCGACACGTTTCACCTGTCGGTTAATTGTTGCTGGTAGTGCCGGATTTTTCCGATAATCCATCAGCACAATTAACATCAATTCGGATTATTGGGAATAATATTTACGTTACCAATACCCCGAGCCTTGATAGCAAGTCTATGAAAACACATACGATAATTGGTATTGATGGACTAAATTTACATATCTATCGTTCTTATTTCTTCTTCTATCTTTAGAGAAAGTCAATTTGCGAAACTAGATAGTTTGCAAATCAAACATCAATTGAGATATTTCAGGAACTTTTGTACCTCAATAAGTAAAGTGTTATGCGTAAATATAAGATGAAACATTATATTTATATTTATTTTCTAATGTAATGGTACGCACATATTGCAAGTAATTTAGGTGTACCAACTTAACCTTCAGAAATTAGAGAAAATTTATAGTAAGTTTAATTTAATTCATACATAGTTTATTTAAACTATTACAGTATTTTTTGCTAATGATTTTCCAATTAATTTCACAATTTGAAAAAAATATCATAATTGCTAAATTTTTTTTGATAAATTTATTTGAATTGAATACCGCTTGGTAAACGTACTTAGTAGATATCTAAATTGGTATACGCTAAGAAAATGTTCGTTAATCGGTAGAAAATTAGGATTTTTTTTAGTACAACGTTGTGTCCTCGTCCACATGAACGTTCTTATAAAATTATAATTTGCCGTCGGATCCCAGCTTAATATTATAAAAATATTATACATAGCTTTTAAAGGGTAATAACTAATTATGTACATATAAATTAACATAAAGATATATGTACGTTAAGTGATCATTGACTGTCAATATATGTTATTTTAGTATGGTCTTAGTAAATGTAAGTTGCATATAGATTATGAAGGGAAGCAGAATAATTATCCAAGTAGATTTTTTAGAGAATCCTCTTTATTTGGTAAAAACTATGTTCGTCACATCTGTTCGCACGGACATACTCGATGTTTATACTTAAGTACACTTTAAAGTCAGATCCAGTAAAATATTATGTAAGTTCTTATAGAAAACTTTGAAATGGATGTTACTAACGTATTAACGAATTTATACGTTAAGTTGGCGTTGTCAGATGATTTATATTATTTTATAGCCTTAGTGAACTTGTATATTTCAATTTTGAAGCTCTAGGGAAAGCATAATCATTTATGAAGTTAATTTACAGAATAATCATCAGACTAATCCGATTTAATTGCAGGTATTGACGAATCTGTATGATTGATGTAATTTTAGTATGGTCTTAGCAAACTTACACACTTAGCTAATGGAGTTACAAGTAGGCATAACAATTATTCAAACATTCTTTATTCAGTAAAAACTAGTCTATTATATATTTTTTGTATACAGTTGTCTCTTTGTTCGCACGAACGTACACGGCGTTTATAAGAAATTACATTTTGCCGTCGGATCCTGGTATATTATGGAAATTCATACACAAAACATTTAAAGAATCGCATTACGTATGTTAACGAACATGTACGTTAAGTGAACATTAACTACTAATATAAGACCAAACCTTTGTAAATTCATACTAAGATTATGAAACTTAAAGTAGGTAGAATAATTATCACCAATTAACTTATCAAAACAATCGATAGTGTTCATCCCAGATGGGCGAGGAAACCAATTTGCGGACCGGAAAAGGGAGAACGTGTTATCCGACAAAGATAATCTCATTTTTAACGCCACACAAGTAGATTAATAATCGCATAATGGAAGTAAAATTGGTGCCCATTGTTGGGGTGCTCTTGGACACAATACAAATGGAACTGGCGGCGTACGAGGGGTGCGTGGGGGAGGGTTGATGTTGTGTGCGGATGAAACACCTTTCATCCCCCAGGTGTTTGCAGGGGTTACGTCGTGCAGCGTTTGAGGTGAGAGTAAATGCGAGTATCGCGTGCCTCTCGATCCCCGTGTGTAATACGCCCGGAATTATAAAAGGCCTCCTCATCAGCAATTTACAAATCGTTCTCGCGTTTATTTTAATGCCTTTCGTTGCCGTATTATTATTATCATCGCTCATTGGCCCTTTTTATTAACAACTCTTCCTCACCTCTCCCTACCCATATTACGTATTACGAGAATTGTATAATCGGGTCTGTGATTTATTATGTGCCTTCCATAGAACACTTCTCATTTCCAAGTTGGGTCTCTTTTAATTTACTCCAAACCAATTTGGGATGAAACCTTACACGATTCATTCATTCATTAAGCAAGAAAGAAAATAAATATTTTTATAATTAAATTTATAAAAACAAATCTGTAATAAAACACAAGTTTAAATATGTATCAGACGTACTTTGATCTTTTTCTTTTTACACAAAAATATCTACGAATATTTGGCAGCCTATTGATATATATTTTTATTATATGTTAAAATTTATTTATGTATAAATTGTACTTTTTTTTTCTTCTTCTTATGTATTAATGTTTGGCCAATAAATTTTTATTATTAAATTTATCTACGAAAAAAAAAAATATAATATTAAAGTTATATAAAAAAAATATAATATAATGAATTAAATGCAAGTTCTAAAATATTGTTTCAGGAATTATATACAGGACAATTCGAATTCATTTATAGATATAATTTTTTTTTGGCGAATCATGATCAAATTATTTGTAAAACAAATTTTAAATAATTATATGTATGTAGTATGTCGAATGTGGACAAAAAATCTATAAAAATATGGTAGTATGATAATACAGACTGAAAAAATAGTCGATTACGCAAATAATTGTTCAATAGTATTAAATTAAATTTAATACAACAATTTTAAGATTAATAATAGGTATAATTCTGTTAAATAGTGACATTTTTTAGATATATTTATAATATGTAGACATTTCTTTCAATGCTAACAATGTACACTAAAACCTCGCATAGTGCGGTTTCGATCAGTCTATTAACTATAGTCCGGTTTAAAAATTTTACTACAACTAATTTTACACAAAATTATAGTTTTTATGATCGTTAATTTATACAGTGAAGTCATTCTTTGTGTGGTTTATTTTTGTATGTATTCAGTTCTTCCATTAGTACGGTTTCAAACACTCCTGATAACCAATTACCCGCACTATGCGAGTTATTGTTAAAGTACACAATTATAGCATTATACTACAACAAAATAAAAGTATACATTGATGATATTTTATAATTTGTAGTAAAAAGAAGTAATAAAAAATCTCAGTTAATTGATAACTGTCATGTATACAGTAGTTTTAGACAATATTCGTTACCCAAATTGTTCTATAACCGAAAAAGCGACGTAAGCTTCATAACATCACTACATTACATCAATCGGTCACTAAAGTGTTCGTAATTCGCATATGTCTTTGTTATCCGAACATACAAATCTTTCGCAAAGGTGTTTGTTCGTTAACCGAGCATTTACTGTATTCTCAAATTGAAATTGTTGTAGTTTTTTTTCATAGATTGTTCAAAAATAGTTTATAATTAAAAGTTTTTAATAAATATATAGTAAAAATTACCTTGTAATCCAAATATGTGACTAGATCTTTTCTGTTCATTGGCCAGCCAATTTGTGTAGAGTATCGAGGAGCTCGACGTTCCAGGATGAATGTATGGGTGAAAGGATGTGGCGGAGTCGGCCGATTGATTTGGGGATAATTTGCAGCCTGTTATGATGTCGATTAAAGTTGAATCTGGTGGAGCCGGATCTGGCCTATTGAATTCCGGAATCTCTACTAAAGATTGATACAAGGATGCTGAAAACAAAAAATCAAGTAAATAAATCTGTAATACTAATATTTAAAATAATATTACAAACGAAACAAATTATTCACTACTTTTTTTAAATCTACTTTAATTAAAGTTTCTAATCAGGAAATTTAAATTTAAATAATAATAAAAAATATTGGGACAATCATAAAATTGCTTATAATATTTCACAAACAACAAATATATTATAACAAGTAAAATTAAATATAGTAAAACCAAACGTGCTTAGTGCTAAGAATGCACTAAACGAAACAGCGCTAAATAAAGTCAAATTAACATATAATAAATATGTAAATTTAGAGCTTTTTATAGGCTTCTGGTACACTGCGGTATATCGAATTACCGTTAATTGAGGAAACTCTAAATAAGTTCTTACTGTATTATAATTATACAATAAGTTACATAAATTAAAATCATTTTTTTTAAATAATCTATCTATTTTATAAGTTTCTATGAATTTATTTAATAAAACTTTTGTGTTACTATTTTTTTTACACAAAATTATGTTCTAAGTTTTGTTAAATTAATAAAATAATTTTAAAAGTGGTCAACGAACGTATTATAATTGGTTAGTAAATATTGTATAAGTGAAGAAGAATGCCTAAAATTAATAAATTATTTGCAACTTTCAACTTAAAATTTATTAAAACATTATTTGTATTATTTAAATAGCAGCATAATATATAAGGGCTAAGGGTTTCAGTTGTTTAATATTTGTGTTAGAGGTTTTTATTACTATAATTTGTGGATTATATTTTGGTTTGTATCTAGTTTTTTTAACATTTTATCATCATGAATATTAAAAATATTTGATTAGGGTAACTGTAAGTACCTGTAAGCTTTTATTTGTAGTAAATATTAACTATGTTTGAATGTAATATATTATTTACAATTATCGGAATTAAATATAGTATGTTGTAATTGAACTTACCCACTCTTGTTGGTTGTAGAGGTAAAGGTTTAACAAACTTAATATCATGATTATTGCACTGAACCACGTCAGATTTGTCTTTGGAAGAATCATCTTCATCACTTTTACTGATGCCGAGGATGCGGTCAATGGAAAACTTGTTGGAGTTCTGGCACTTGTCTTTGGGGGAGGTGTCGCTTGCGTTCAAGCTGCTGGGGCTGCCGTTGATGATGTCCACGCACTGCTCCTCATCATCAGAGCAATAATCTGAAGAATCGGATCCATCATCCGACGGCAGATGATTGCCGTCGTTGCGCGCCATAAAATCCATCATCGGATCGATTGATGGTAGCAGTAGTGGTAGAAAGTAGTAATAGTAACAACAACAATAAAAAATGTACAAGAAGAAGTTACATCATAATATGATGTTCATGTGACGGAGGCGTTTTATAGACTGGCTACCGTTAAGTAGTTGTTGTGGTCCATTAGGTCCTTAACTGAATCAACTAACACCTTATGTATATAACGCTCACACGCATATACACACACAGAGGAATGGAAGATTGTTCCCCGCCTATGAGCATACAGATACTTCTTCCCGCCCCGCGGTGAGCTCATCTCCCGCCGCCACAGATTGGTATTTCGCGTGTTTTCAACTTGCCCTAAAATCCATTTTCACACCTATACACTTCCTGCACCTGAAATCCCCAAACTGTTTATCGAATCCTTCCGAAAACGCATGCATCTGGTGTCTCCGGAAGTTAAAACCAAATTTAGGAGCGGCCATTTGTATGACCACTTCGATATCCAGCAATTAGCACGAATTAGTTAATGAAAGAAGGCCACTCCGATGGGCGTCTACTGTTTGGTGCCGCAGGTCCAGTGGCAGCATCCAACACGTACCTATTACGATTCTCCCACACTACTCAAAAGCTCGGGGGTTGCTCTTCTCTCTTCCATCTCACCGCCGCCCATCCACCTCCGACCCTCTGTATCTCTTCCTCTCTCACCCACTCACATTAGAACTCTTCTTTCGGTTCCTCTTCTTTTTCAGTTTATTTTTCATAAAATGGGGAGCGCTCCCGTCGAGATATAGCCGCATTAAGGCTCTTTTGTGTTAGTTATTTAATGGTTCGCGCTGGTTAACAGGATTCGGCATAACAACAAAACTCTACCCGAGATAAATGTGCTTAAGTGCTCCCCGTTTCATATCCTTTTTCGACGGAGCGAATCTGCATCGGGGGTGAAAAGGGGTCTTCCATCCCACGTTTGTCCATCGCGCATCCAAGAGAAAAATGAGATTACCTGGATCATATTTCACACTCCCAACGTTTATCAATTAATCCGCATCCACGCGATCCTACGTTAAATAACTAAACGATTCTAAAATGTTTATAACAGTTTCTTTAACAATATATTTTATAATACTAACCTTTTATACCATCAATATTGAACAAGAAAACTTAAAATAACTGTTTAGATTTGAAAGCGAACACTAGTTAAAAGAAATAACATTAATATAATTAAAAAGAATCAAGATAAATTAAATTGAAATACAAAAAAAACGTAGATATTGGAAAAAGGGAACACAAAAATAGATCAATAAATTTGTAAATATAAATAATAATACAAATCACTGCTTTTATTTTTTAAATATGAACTAGATTGAAGTTATTAAATTTGAACTAGGGTAATATTCCAAAATAAGGCAAAAATATACAAAGATACTATAATATATTGAAATATGAGTAAAATAAATGACAATAATTATAATTTTATTAACAATAAACTATCCATAATTTACATTCCAGATGACGATTTTACTTAACAGCTTACGAGAGTTATAAACAATTAGAAAATTATAATTATTCATAACTTTCGATTATAATTTTGTGTATTTACAGATATATAGGAACATAAATTGACAGTAAATATAATTATACGGTTCAGCAAGAAACTTCAACATTGTAATACTCCAGTGATTACAATTTAAGACGTTGCAAACAAATACCATTGTGTTAAGTAGATTTTTAAAACACAATATTTTGGATCTACCTAATTATTGTTATAAATTTAAAACAAAATTAAATTTAAACACGAATTATTTTATTTTTATTTAACATATTTATTAACAATTATCAACCGAAAACAGTAATCAATATATTTAATTGGGCACAAATATTTATGGCCCTTTGTAGTAGTTACTTCTATCTTTCTTTGATTATTATTATTGTATGAAAATGTTTATTTTTGTATGTTATTGTGATAATATTATAATATTTATTTTTTTGTTTAAATTTATATTGAAGGTTTTATTTAAAAATAATAAAAGTAATTGAAAGAACTTTATTAAAAGACTATTATTTATACTTTTATATAGGAACATTGGTATTATTTAGTTTTATTATTTATTAATACATAAATATTTTATAATAAAGGAAATACACATAATAACACTTTTTTTTGTCCGACGGATAAAAAACATAGTTTCAATTTGTATCTATTTTTTATAATGTATTCTAAAGTATAAACTAATTCATTATTTATGCTATGTCAAAAACACTTTGTATTATATATGAGTTTGTGGACAAAAAATATGAATAATTGTTGATTTTCATCTAAATTATGCATTCAATGTATGGAAGAAGGAAGGAGAATTTAATAACAATATTTATTAAAAAAAGTTACAATTATTCAAAAGAATATAAAAGGTGGGAGGACTTTTCGATTAATAAATACGTTTTAAATGAATGGTATGCAATGTTAATAAAACTAACTACAAATAAAATTTCAGGACATTCGGTTCCATTGACAAGGAAAAATATCATGTCTTTTTTAGAAAAAAAAGTGTGCCACGTGAATGGAGTGTCATTGAATGGTATTCATGAATGACAAAACATCGTATATTGACAATTTGTGGTTATCCCTCCTTGTACCTGTACAAGTGTGCATGTTAGTGGTTGAAAAGGGGACCAGAGGGATATGAATGAATGTAATAAGAGTAGCATTGACGCATTGAGCCCCGATATGAAGGGCTTTTAACGGTGATTTATCTGTTTATGAGTAGCGCGTGTTAGGGCCCTGCAACCCAACACATACGTTTAAACAGGTGCTCCAGACATGTGCTCTCCCACAAATCATACTCATGCCCTTCTAAAGATTTAGTTTCAGTGAACTCACTAAAATAATTACTCTTAACAAATTGATTGTTCTATAAAACGTACATGTGTGCAACTAAAAAATAAATTAATAAGTAAAATGTGTAATATTTTTTAGGGGTTGATTTAACAGCTGATGAAGTTCGCATGAAGATTCATATTAAGCGCTGCTTATATATTTGTTTGTTTCTCTCGAAAACAGGATAATTTATAATCGTGACAATACTCCAAAAGGAGCGAATAGGTGTAAAAGCTCCGTTAAAGAGGTGTGCTTTTAGAAGTGATGCGCATGGACTGTACTCGACCAATGCGATGCTCGGAATGCTAACCGATGGGACGAGTCTACAAGTGGGGAAGAATATTGATAATTGATATTAACACATCTCCATGGAATCCACTTCACACTTTTCATTTCTTTTCTTTTTTTCCCTGAAAATCCAAAAGAACGCACCGCGCGTAATACAACATTGTATGCATGATACTTTCTGAAGCAAACAAAACGATTTTACCAAGAAGATGTCTAGGTACCAGAACCGAACGTTGTCCCAAATCCGGAAAAACTGCAGAAAAAAACATAATTCCTAGCGGTTTGCTCCATTATTCCGCACATCAATTAAAACTGTAACTAAAATTCTGTCAAGAGTCATTCAATAACCGTATAATAACGTTGTCGTTGTTGTCGTGCATTTTTCACACTCGAGGACTCGCACAAATTGCAGCGATTTGGTCCAAGAAATCTCCTTCATAATCCCATCCCCGAGCAGTTTCCTCTCAGTCCTCAACAGAACTCGTAGTAGGTAGGATGAAACTTAACGAAGAAAATGTTTCAAAATGTTTGCTGATCTTAATGTTGTTGTTCATCGGAATCTACGCGAAATATCAAAATGTCATCGATGTTGACGATATCCTCTCGCCTGATTTTATGCCTGGAAGTTTGATGATGTTGGAGAGTCCAGAAAATACTGAATTCGTTAATTCTTCGAAACCTTCGCGTACTTTTTTGAATCAAAGTATTTTGGATGGAAGCATTCACGGTGCCTTCACAACAATGGGATTCCATAGGTAAACTAATAATGAATGATATAATAGAATAAATGTACAATTTATACATTTTACAGATCAATGATGAACGAGTATTTATGTCGGAATTATATAGCAGAGCAAATCGTCGAGGATATGTCTATAACTCGGATGAGGAGAAGATTGGGTGGTGATATTGATATAAAGAAAGTGATGCATGATAAGAATAAACCAACAGTTTTGGATAATTTGATCGAGGATGAAGGATCTTCGAATTACAAGAGTTGGCTGACCAAGTAATTCAGTTTTTCTGTAATTTTCGATATAATCGACATGTCATGATTCTAGGAGTACTACTTTGGAGGATATTTATAAGCATTATCAGAACGTGGAAGAGAGAGATGATGAGGAAGATGAAGAGGAAAAAGAAGAGGAACAACAGTATGATCAACATGTCACTGGATATGGGTACGGGCAGCAACATGCACCGCCAAAATTAGGTCATTCAGGAATTGGAATTAGTTATCCTTCGGGAGCTGCTTATGGCCATGGACAATCCCTTGGATACAGTTATACAGGCCATGGAATTAGTGGGCACCCAGCCACAGGACATGGATATGCATTTGGTGGTCAGGAACGTAAGTAATAATCTTGCAAAAAATATTATTATTTCTTCAAATCACATATATTTTTCAAGTATTTTTAAAAATAGAGGAATGTATTAAATAATCAATAATTCAACCTGTTTGTCGTGCGGCCAAACATATTTGTTAAGTATATTTCACTCTATGAAACAAAATGTCATTTTACAATCAATTAAAAATACAACACGATCCATTTCTTTATAAACGCTGATCTAAATATGTTTCATATCTAACAAACATCTAACACAGTTACAGTACACTTTATTTGCACTTAATATAATCTAAATTTAACATATTTACATTCTATAGATCATCAGTACTAGAATAAGTAATAAATGCAATAATTTAGGGTTGAAATTTTACAATATAAATATATTTGTTACAGCGAATCATCCATATGAAGAAATAGGTCATATTCACATACATCACGATACGCCGACTAAGCACTATGAGAGTCACGGTAGTGGTGGCAAAGATTTGAGCGAACTCTTCGAGATTGCGTTAACCGCTCTTGCGTACCTATCGTTTGGCATGTTTATAGTGCACGTAATTTTGTGTATCTCTCAAGCGGTAAATTGTTGTCTTTGGCATAGTTAGCGAGTACTTTA